CAAGAGGAGGCTTGTCATTCAGTTAAGCTGATTGCATGCCATACAGCAAGAGTCCCCACAGAATTGGATCGATCTACGTAGACCGATGGTGTTGATGGGAATGGGGCCTTAAAGTACTCTTACAAAGAGTAAGAGAAAATATTTTTATTGCCTCGAGTCAAGTCTGACTTTTTATAGAGCCAAATGATGTGCGGTGCAACACACAATTCTTGCTTACTATAGCATTACTGATAATTGGTAATGATGTGGAATGATTCAGATTCACAAGCATCCTGTCAACTCAATCCCAGATGTTATATGTTAAAGCTATATGCTACCCATGCAAACGTGTGCTCGTTGACTATCCTCTCATTTACAGCACCTACCTCATTATTCCTCACTACAGTTTCTCTTCATTTGCCAGCCACCTTTGAAATTCCAAGTAGTGGACGTATAAAGTTTGATTCCTCTGTGGTTCAGATTGTTTCCGTTTGCAAGCAACTCTTTGAAACGGCTGCCTGTCGATTTTGTCATTGATGTCATTTAATTTCCATCTACAAGGGCAGCCATGAAGTCAAGCAAAGTGCAGCTCTTGGTAAATTGCAAATGAATGCAAATTCTACACCAAATTTATGAACAAGTGATTGACTTTTCGCTTTATATCACTATACCTGACATAAAGCTAGAATGCTAACGTTTCTGCGATACAATCAATAGCGTTATAACAGATAGGCAGATGCGTGTGCTACTAGTCCATACCTACGATGCGTCTCCTAGGCAACCGTTTTCTTTGAATGACGTCTGATGTTGTTAGGTTTCACATTCATTATGACAACGTTTGATAAGATATATATAGTCGCACAGCATATGAATGATAACGGAAATCAAGGTTTTATACCCCGTTAGCCAAAATCAGAAATCAATCTCTTTATATAAATACTGGCTGTTATAATATTATTGATAATTATACAATGTTCATGGATGTTATTTGTTATAATAGTCTTAACAATTATAATGTCCATGAATATTGCTTGTCCTCAGAAAAAGTATTATCATTATCTGAAGACTTCATATCAGCATTTTATTTATTTTAATAAATCAATTAATGTATCTTTTTTTTTTTTTTGGCGAAAGAGCTATTTTTGTTTCTTTGGTGTTCTTTACTACCTAAGCTTATATCAGAGGAGTGCCAATGACGAACGTTTTGATTGATAACTTTAAGTTACACAAAATTTTTATACAGACCTTGGTAATCAAGACCGCCTAATATCAGTTTAAAGGGGGCATTTTGCACACATTTTCATTTCCAGACTTGAAAAAATAAATAGTATTTTAATATATCATCAGATATATCTCAATGTTTTGTGGCTCTAACAGGATTTAGAGAAGTGCGGGACCAAAAATAATGAGTAAAAGCTGAAAATATTCACGGATATTTGGGGTTTTCTTAAGAATTGCCGAATTACAGTTACTACACAACTAAAAGTCACATTTGTGTGGGTTTCTAAGACGACATTTCCAGCACATAGATTTTTACCGTACGACATCATGCAGTACCGCCAGTCTCTTTTTCAGTTGTATTTGATAATGCCCTTTTATACTAAGTAGGCCTATAACAAAATGCTGACCCAGATAAATAAATACTAATTCATCACCTTTAGTATAAGTAGACAGAAGTCAGGCGATCTGCTTAAATCTTATGTTAATGCTGTATTAGTTTGTAATAGATTACATAATATCAAGCAAAACCAAGACGTAGTTTTGTATGAACACAAAACACTTGCCGTTCTCCACTTTGATTGCCTTGAATCGTGACAACAATTTATGCATGTAAAGTATTAATCTCATATTCACAGTTACTGATACTGGACTATGATTCACTAAAGATTCTAGAAATTAATACCTACATGTATGCCCTACTCGTGAATTGTCTACAGTTATATACAGTTGTAGTATGACCAAATACATGATAGTTGATATTAGCGAAAAGTCTAGTTTAAAAGGGCATTGCCCTATATAGTATCTCTTGATGATGTAAATAAGGAAGTTAATGCGCACCAGTTCTTGGACAAAACCAGATTACTTAAATATACAGTATATTCACAGTTTAGAAATATATTGTATTGTAAAAAAGCATCTATATACATTTCTTGTTTCTTTTTTTTTTAATAACAAATACAAGAATTCGATTGAAGTTAATTTTATTTCAACTGAAACAACTGAAATTGAGATTAAAGGGTGACTTGTACTACATATAGAACTTCAACTGACCATTGGGCTAAAGCCAGTGGTAAAAAAGTAGTCTTTAAAACGTATATCTGTAGGGTATATTTGGTTTAATAACCGATAGAGAATTGTCAGTATCATCCGGGAAGTTCATTTTTGCATATTTTCTCACCAATTGCAAGTTATGAAGGAACTCGCCCCTGTTTACGTCACCCGGTACTTGTGGTGCTAAAATCAATCCCAGTAAAAGCATCTACCGGTACATGAAGGAACGGCATTTGCGATGTAATGCTACGACTCTGACCATTCCACACTTACAAAACTACTCGTTCAATATTGAACCTAGAGAAATGAACAGGAAATTATATTTTAAGAGAGCATGCTTATTACATATGAAAATGCATCTGAATTCTTGTAATATTTCGGATAGTTATTTACTTTTCTGCTGTGTTAATAGGTGAGCAGTGGAAATAACATGTTCGTAGGCTGGAAAATAACACGGGAGTATCTGGAGTATCAACGGTCGCAGAACAATAGGCCAGGAAGTCGACACCAGGTGCTTGCTTTAATTTGAAGTTATTGTACTTGGATGTGTGACGTTCAGAATCGATTCAATATATCAAATTACAAAGCTCGTCAGACCAGAGATCTGACGCTGGCATCATGCTTCAAAATTGGTTCGTGTTTGTTCGCTTAGGCTTGCGTTGATTGTTCAACTTACCATATTAATAAATGATTTTTAACAATTACACAGACATTCTTATAATGAATACCATACTGTTGGGAAGTAAATTAAAATTTAGGACGAAGTAGGCCTACTCTGTGAACACAAATTGTGTGTACGTATGTATACTAGTAGAAATATGTTTTGGTGCACCTATCCAGGTTTGTCTCGAACATATTTGAATGAAACCTATATTTTATATTGATCGACAATGACAAACATTGTATTGGTGTATTATGTAAGGAACGCGGTTGCACCCCCTAGCATGTCACCTTAGATGCCGTGTGCCTCTCGTGACACCTGCCTTGTGAGTTTAGATAACATCTTAAGTTTATATGTAATATTTCAATAGGACGTGTGAGGTAAAGCTGGATATGAATTGGATATGACTGGCGGTGGGTAGATTAGACACGGACTTAAGGACTTAGGCAGTGGGAATAAAGCTGTTTGGAAGCCACGACTCTGGTTGCTTACTTCTTCTCTATCGGTGAATGTAAAATCGAAACTTACGATTAGTTCTTTCGTAAAAGAGAGAATATCAGTCTTGTATCAATCACTAAAATCCAAGCTGCCAGACTTATTGAGTCGAGCCTTTAAAACCATTGGTGTTGCGTGGTGTTGATGAGAAAAAAATAGACGTCTAACTTTCAACCAGCTTACGCGGGGGTCGTAGTTGTTTTGATCGTCTTGCACGCACTACAAAGTTCCTTGAAGATTCGAAAACACGAATTATGGCGATAACACACGCTCTTTAGGTTATGGTGACATCTATTTGCTAAACATAATTGGACGAAGTTTTGCTTAGATAAGTGCAATTACCACCTGTCAGTTTATTAATCTCTGTAATTTTGACGAAAACTTATCATATGCTTGACTATCACCTTGATACACACACAGACTTAATAATTAAGACTTAAGAACACCACACTACTCTATCACAACAACAACAACAACAACAACTATAATAATAACAACGATCAAAGGAATCAGTTTATTATTTTACTTAAATCTAATAAAATCAACATATGAAAAAATGGAACAATGAAAGTATGTGTATGATTATTTTCCCAACAAGGAAGCTTTAAATTCCATAACGAAAGGCTGAAAATGGCGGTTGACTTTAAAGCACACTTTGCACGCGCACGGGCCTTACTCTGGGGTTTCTTTGCAGAAGATTTATAAACGAAGAACGGCACAATTTAGTCTAGGATGTTTTAAACTTTTAAGTAGGTGGACTTACTGATTTGATGGCTGTTTCTATTTTTTTCACGGTTGTAGTTGGAGTTTTTGTGTCGTGAGCTTCTTTTGTTAGTAGACTGCACAGCCATTATGGCGTGCATTTTTTAAATTGGGTTTATCCTACCCAACCAATTTTGATCGGGTTTATTGCATTTTGGTAGACTAGCGTGGTAATCTATAGTCGTTTTATGTGGTTTTTAGATTTATTAACCGATCAAGGTGATAGCCGTGTGTGTGTTCAGCAGTGTATTACAAAGCTTGGCAGAAATCAATAAATTATTATGAGACATACATGTATTGTATCTTTTTTTACTAAGAATGGATGAACATAAGATAAGAATAAAAAAAATGCAAACGCATTAAAATTTGATAAAACAAAATTGGGTATAAATTAAATCTAAGATTAGGCATACGCTTATTAATTTCATATACAGCAATTTCCTATAATTGCTCGGGTTGAGTTGTATTCAAAGCCCACTGGGAACCTGTTTTTAAAAAATCCTGAAATCCGTCCCTGCAATAAAAGGTGCTTCTTTTTTCTTTTGGGAAAATAAACATCTGATCTGAAGATTGGGGAAAATGTTTAGAAATTTTTAATCTATAGATAATAATTTTATCATTTGTACCTGGTAATGATGGCTTGAAATTTACTGTCAAGGTAATCCCCAAAAGTTATTTTTCACAGTGCATTAGCTGTGCAGCAAAGTACCTCGCTGCGTTGGCCTTTTCACTATTGCGACAGGTGTGACTGCGATATAAAAATGGCGCTTACATGTCGGTTGGTCTGATGACCTTTGAGACAAACACATTGGGGCAGTGACGTCATGTCTCATTATCATGGCGGCCAAACAAGAGGTGGGAGGCAAGTGCGAGGTGATCATGTGATAGAAGCTCTATACACCATCAGCCGAGGAAATATTGGATATAACTAAAATGATGAGCGAGGAAAAGGATGCCCTTAGTCTTACTGATGAAGAGGAAGATGATGAGTTTGAAGACGACATAACTTTTCCATATGAACTGCAGCAGACACTCAGTAAATGGACGAATTACATCCACGGTTGGCAGGATCGTTACTTTGTACTCAAAGATGCCACTCTCAGTTACTATAAATCTGAAAATGAAACGGCCTTTGGGTGTCGTGGTGCTGTCAGCTTGCTCAGGGCATCAATTCGGGTAAATTTGGATTATCATTTTCATTTCCTACTTTCAGATCTTTACCCAATGATTTATAATTTAATGATATAATGACCCAGTGCCATTACGCAAATTACGACATCGTCGTAGTGGAGGGATCCTAACGTTAGATAGTGAAGCTTACTAGCTGTGTTGTGTTGAAAAGGTCATTTTGAGTGAGATTTTCTGGGAAATATTATTTTCGAGCCATATAAATTTGAAGAAAACTTGGGTTTAGTATATTGCAGATCGGTTGTACCAGTTAAGTGAAGCTTTTGTTGACATACCGCTAAAAGTAAGTACTTATACTGTACATGCATTTGTGCAGTATGCTCCCAAAACTTAAAAGACCAGTTTTCCAGTGCACACTCAAAATGACCTCAGTCTCCTATTCAAATTGGCTACTGGTTGAAGTTTTATTATAAAACATTGAAAATTGACATGCATTTCAAATTACAAGCCAATTTACTTGGATAACACAGACTTCTCCAACTTCTCCAACACAACCAAATTTAGAAAGAAATCTTAAATCCAGTACTTAAAGAGATAAGTTAGGGATTGGGGGGGGGGGGGGGAAGTGCCAAATACTGCCCTTATTTTATAAAAAGAAACAAAAGACTGGTTTTTAAGTAAGAACCAAATTCTTGAAACAAAATATTAGAAAAAGATGTAATGCTTATCATCTAGTTGACAAGATATCTACATCTTTTATGTTTGTTGATAGATTGACCATTTTATATGGTCTTTAAAAAGAATGCCTAAATGAAAAAAAGCATTTTTTTCACATGTAGTTTAAAACAGCTATATTTTATTAATTTAAAGAATCAATCTCTAGTTCAGGTGTCATTTGTAAAGTAACACAAACATGAAATTCTGTCCCTTTTATTCTTTCAGGTGACATAATATTCAAATTTCATCATCATATCTGAATAAAATTTCAAAAATAGTTAAGTTATGGACTTGGTAATTTAATAATAATACCATGTTGACAAATAGAATTGTGATCATTGCTTTTTCATAATTGAAATCCATATAGAGTATTCTAATGTTAGGTGCACTGTTTACAACAACCAACCTTGATAGTAAGAAATACTAGTAGTAGCATTGATATCTCATGGCTGAGGCCCCTGGGACCATATGACTGCTGTATTATATGTGGCTTCTGTCAATACCTCACTGAGAGTGGAATGCTGAGAATGATGGAAGTGGACATCCAGTAATTAGAAAACAAATGGCTGGACATTCCATACAGGCCAGACCTGGGAAAACAACTGCAATTATAGTGATGCATCAAATAAGAATGCTGAGCTTCTGACTGTTTTTGTCTGACATGAGTTACTTTGGTAGAGGAATGCAATAGGTTGTCTTTACTTTGATCCACTGCCACCAAAATAATTTATATACATAAAATTGGGAACCAATAATTAATGTAGATGTATTGTTAAATATAACAAGCTGCCAAAATTCACAGTTGCTCCAGGGGTATGAGAATATTGCACTGGAGAATATTATAACAGGACTATTAACATTCTGAATGGATCAAAACTGGATTTTCAGTTGCATTTGGTTTTCATTGAATCACAGATAAATTATAAGAGCCCCAACTTTTTATATGATTCTTAAAACTGGATACTTGTCATCTGAATCACATTGACCTTGATTATTTAGCCACCACAAGAGACTATCCTATCCACATTGAAGGGGTTGTTTTGTAAATTACCTGTTATCACTTTTAGTACTTCTGACATGCCTTTTAACCATTATTAACCCAACCCTCCTCTGTTGATCATTTCTGAAATAAATTAGGGGTAAAAAATTTAGGTCAGTCAATCTTGTTAAAATGTACACGCAGGTCTACCCAACTATCAGACTCGGCAGTGAACGATCCTACATCAGTGGTAGATCGGTCCACAATACCCGTTTTCAGGGTGTGCATCAGTGCACGTTTCACAGTATCATACCCCGGAACAAATTTTGAGATGAGCTGCACTACTTTTCAACCTTGCTCATCGCTATCACATCGCATGCTAGGCAAGAGCGGTGTCACTTCTGATACTTCGAAACGAGTATTGATGCACACATTGAAAAGGGGTAGTGTGGTCCAATCTACCGGTGAATTCTGGATCATTCGGTGCCAATTCTGTTAGTTGGGTAGGCTTGACATGGCACTTGACAAATTCTTGTTGTGTTTTTGTAAGGTTAAGTTAAACCTGAAATGTTCCTAGCATCTGGAATACTGAGCGGGATTACCTACCTATAAGAAACTCCCTTTCCTTTCATTAAAAAGATTAATTTATGTTTGGCAGTTTAAAGGAGTTTGGCCTTTTTCTGGTTCTGGGTCAAACTTGATTAGAACACAACTTGAGAAAGAATGCATGCAGTCTTGATTGAATACATTACATAGCTGTTAAGGTCACAGTGAGTCATGGAACTGTGCACTCTTGTGGTTTTCCTAGGAATTCTTTAATGGGACCATAGACCTGTGTTTATGATATATTTTTTGTAGAAAAGCTTTACCCAGCTGATGGAAGACACTGTTAAAACAGGTGTTAATGTTCTATTATCATTTACACAGGGTCATATGTTGCATAATGCCTTGTGCTTACTAAGAGTGCATCCAGAACAGATCTAAATATGGCTGACCCCATTTAAAAGCAAGCCACCTAGTCCCCTGATGGTCTCCCTGTTTCACAAGCACCATTTAACAGATCAAATCTCAGCTCCGAGGTTTAAGTGCTAGGCCCCTGCAGGGGCAGCGTATGTGTAGACAGGTAGACCATCAGGGAATAAGTGGGTATTGTTTTTAAGTGGGTTGGAGATATTTGATCTGCAGATCTGTTAGTTGTTATCAAAAGCCTAGTCTATTCTCATCTAAAAAATATTTCTTTTAGTACAGTTTTAAAGTAAAATTTGCAATTATGTGTATGATAAAAAGGGCAAATTTTGTTATTGGCAAGCATTTGTGGCATAGAGACACTTTGTTTAATAACATTTGAACTACATGAGCTGTTAAAAAATGATATTTGTGAAAGCACAGTGGTGTCTCGTTGTGACTGAAATTAAAAAAGTCAATTTTTAAAGACATGTTCGGAATACAAATAAATGAAGTTGACATTGACCATTGCGAAAGAAATATATAAAAAAATCCAATCAAATTTCCCAAACAATATTTCGCTCCCTATGCCTTCCAGTGCTGGGACAATTTCCCTGTCTGCTGACCTTATATCAAAAATGTACATGTTGAAATCAATTCCACTTATATGGCAATCATCTCTGCTGCTGACAGCAAATAGATGAAGCAGTGCTGTTGCCATAGTTTTAGACACTTACCTTCTACTATGTATCTGCTGCAAAAAGGCTTTATTGATCAAGTCGTTAACATTACCATCACATGCAAGCAGCAACTGCTCAGTAATAAATCCTATATATCCATTATTTATATTGGTGTTCCATGTTCTATTGGTCTGGATATTTCATATTAGGATGTGAGGTGCCAGAATGTTCAATAAGTCATTTCATTATTTATTAGTTAATTTATTAATGATTTTAGTCATGCAATGTGTTTGGGAGGAAGGGAGGTTTTTTCTTCATGCACTAATCCTGTGATTGTTTACACTGGCACTTAAAGAGTAGGATAATATCTACAGAGATTTAGCTGGTAGAAAAAAATGTGTGCTACGTATATTAGGTGAATTTAAATTTGAAAGAATACGTTAATAATTGATATTAATGCTTTGTTTAATGTACACACAATCCATTTTTTATAACCAATATTTGCTTTTTTTTTTTCAGCCCCATCCATACGATGAGTGCCGTTTTGACGTCAGTGTAAATGACTGTCTCTGGTACCTTCGAGCAGAAAATGCTGAGGCCAGACAGAAGTGGGTGGAAGCCTTAGAAACACACAGGGTAAGCTGAAAGATGTGTAAATACTGGAATTAAACTGTATTTAAATTGGATGTGTACTCAGGAGGCTCTTTGAATAAATATCATTCATATTGGGATTACAGTATTGATGTGTGAAATGTACACCATACAGGAACTTGACCAGTGCTGCCAGAAAGTAAATTTTGAAAGGTAGTCCACGGCAGGGCAGGAAACTACCAAAGCATCCAACTCCCAAAGCATCAGTGACAGTAGTTCTAGTTACCAGCTGTTCCTAGGCTCTGAACTGTTGCGGGACTTCTTTCACAGAAAGGTTCAAAAATTCAGCTCAGCCAAAGAATCTAAAGGCTGCTTTCCTTATATTGGGTCTATAGCGGCTAGCCAGTCCCGTTGAGCAAATTACCATTAGCTGAGGTAACAGCAGCCTGTTTGGGTTTATCAGCTACAATAAGACTGGGCCAATCATTTATAGAATGAAATTTTATCAGTTTTAGCACAGAAAAAATTCATGATATTTGTGAAATGGGCCTTTGACCTCCAGTAGGAATAGTCACCAGCTCAGCAGTAGGCCACCTGAAGTTGAGAAAATAAATTGTAGCTGTACACAGAAAGTGTCTGCTGTTTGTTTGGGAATGATCAGAGTAGGCCTTTTGTTTCAACTTAGCGTTCCATCTTTTGTATTCAGCTTTGAGAGAGTGACTGTCTAGTATCTAAGTGGGGCTACTGTAATTGTCATGGCTTATTAATAAGCAGTAAGTTTTTTCTACTCACTGAGGCTTTGCTCATCATTCATCCTATTTCTGCTATGTTGAAGAGCCTATAGAACTTTCACCCAAACATTAGGTAACATTCTTGTGATAGAGAGTGATGTCTCCTATAGAAATCGTCATTACATGTCATGGTAGGACATCCCAAAGCATACTGCTAAAAAGGTGGAACACTGCTTGTGAGAAGTCCTTATAACTTCAGTTGATGATTTAAGTTGGAATGCTGCAAAACCTGTGTGAATGTAATTTGAATAGTGCTTATAATATTTCCTTCTGTATTGATTGCTACATGTCTGTCTACCCTGAATTATTTGCTTTTCGTTATATATTTATTATTAACTTGAAGTATTAAATCTCAGATAAGACTTGAATTTTCTCTGATAAGTTGTGTGGTTCAAGGCTTAAACTTTTTCTGTGCATCTCTAGGCTTGCCAAATTTATTACATAACATTTTTGTACTAGTATATTTGAAACCCGTTTTAGTATAAGTAACTGTAAGTGAGTTGTTTCAATAGAAAATGGATATTGCTTGCTGCTTTAAATTTTGTCTTTCTGATGATTCATACCAATCAGCACTTAGGTGATTGAAAATACTAGTTATATCTAGTTGCTTCCAGGTGCATGTTGAAAAATGCTTCTGTGAGCATCATGTTTGGCAGTTTCCCCACTTTCATGGCTCTTGGGTAGATTTGCTTTGCAAGGCTGCATCAATAACAGATAGGGAGGGAAATGTTTCGACACAAATAAAAAGAGTGTAACATATATCTCTCGAGACTCTTGTGCTGTAATGTTATATTGATTGCATTTTGTGCTGAAGTAATGTTACATTAAATTGGTATCAGTTGATGGATTAAAAAAGCATTTAGAAACATAAAAATAGAATAATTTATGGTTTAGTGTTACAGACTACAATGCTTAATTTTTTTGGCAGCTGCCAGAAGAACTTATTAAGTCATAATATTTGCATCTCACCCCCTTTTGATATAAACAAATGAAGGCGCATTTCTTAAAAGAGAAATGTTCAATAGTTCAAAACATGATGGAGTTGTACAGTTAGGATGATCCTGATTGTTCAATTGTGTGTTAGGGTGCATATCTATATTCCGAGGGTCTTAAGTTCCGAGGGTCCGTTATCCCAGGGACTTTTGTCCAAAGGGCGGCTGTTCTGAGGGACTAATGAATCGAGGGTCCGCTATTCCGAAGCGATATGTATATGAGCTTATGAGCCATATTATATGAGTGCAGACAACAAAATGGCGCAGGAAGGAGCAGCAAATCTCACAGCAAAAAATAGTTAAAAGTGCCTTCCTACACGTGCAAGCAAAAGCATATACGTGTTGCTATGGCATTAATAACTTCTTTCGGAATAGCAGATCTTCAGTCTAAGAAGCATTTGGAATATCGGACCCTCTACCCTTTGGAATATTGGGCCCTCAGAACAGTGGTCAATTTCTTAACCTGGCTCCCACAGTCTTTGGAATATCGGACCCTCGGAACAATAAACCTTCAGAATATAAGGATGTCTTCTTGTCAAGATTATACTCCCACTCCTTGTCAAGTACCTGGTAGTTAATTGATCCAGAAATACAATGGTATGCTCCAACTCTCATTGTCTGTTTAGTTCTCCTTCTTTCAAATTCACTTGGTGATAAATAAACCAAATCATTGCTTCCTAGTTCCTAGTAATTATTTCAGAAATACTGCCTGTGTTACTTCTGCTAAACCAATTGATTATGATAATGATAGTTGTTTTAATGCAAAATTTCAGTTTGATTTACTTATAATATTAGCCATTTTTTATGGACTATCACATTAGAAGAAAGTGCTTTTTAGTCACCATTTACCTGACCCAAAACCTGTTCTTAAAAGAAGAATGAAATGTTAATTACATTCTTGCATGAAAAACCTTTCAGGTGGAACTGGACTATGAAACTGTATCCATTTTATGCATGGTCAAAATAATATATTATGAAACTCATGAACAAGGGCTGTTCTGTCTTGTAGTTGTTTGTTTAGCTACCACCAGAATTACTGATACTGCATACTTACATTTACAATGGCTGCTCCATACTATAAAAAATATCTTGAGATTTTTCACTCCACTTAAATATGGTTCTTTTCATCAGTAAACAGTCATATCTTATAAATGAATAAATATGCAATCAAATTTTGCCACTATGTAAAGAAATACAAATCTATACATAAAACATGAATCGCCATTAGCCCATTTCTTTTGATGTCTGATCAACATTCTGCTTATAAATCTTTCATTCATGTTCAACTCTGTATGGGAAATGAAGTTTCTCTGACACTTGTCTATTAGGTTAAAGTGTGTGTGGCAAACCAAGAGTATAACTAAATAGCACTTGTTTGATTATCTGTTTTTGCACTCATGCAAAAACTAAACGGTAGAAAAGGGTTCACTGCCTTTGGCAATGTTTTTTGCCTTGTGGAATGCTCTGGCATAAATAAGTTGGTTTTACAGTCAATTAACCCCCTCAGTGCAGATACCTTGAACTCTTTGAAGTAAGCATGATACCTATAGTATTTCACTGGTATGTAACATCCAGGTTCACATGATGATGTGTGCAGGATTATTAATATGGAGGAAAATTTGTTTTTCATCCATAATACGAAGGTTGCTATGTATGGTTACATACCTAGAGATGTTATGTGACCATGGGGCTATATACTTTATTTGGTTTTAGGGGTGTGTTTTTGTGAAATGCCAGTACTTTCTCTTGGTATGTATGTCAAATAATACATTGCCAACCTCTGGTAATGTGTGCCTTGGACACTCAAGGTATTCTGGCATTTCTTTCTCATGGTGCTGGTGTATCACACAACCCTCCTCCCAACCCACGAGTATATCAGAAATTTGAGAGTCAAATTGCAGATTATCTCAACTAAGATAATAAATGTGAGTTCCTATCTATCAGGTGGACACCCCCACCCCCCACACTCCCCCACCCCTGCACCAACCACACCCATCCAACCGGCTGTGCATCTCTTTCAAGAAAAGTTAAATTTGTGAGGCAGAATGGAGGTTTTACTTGCTGAGCCAAAAAGGTAGTACTCCCAGACTAGCAGGTAGAGTAATCTCCTCCCTCCCCTATCACTGCATGCAGGTATTAACACTGTACATCAGCATTGCTGTCATATCAGTTCACAATGGTATTAGTGAGTCACGATCAGTATGTTCTATCAATCTATAGGTTGGTGACTCAACATCCTCTGCCATTGTCTGACCCATGTTTTTCCTTTTATATTTGATCTCCTCAGTTATCATTAGATATCACCTGGTTTTCCATTATAACTTCAGCAAATAGAAAATGTTGCGTATGGAAAGGTTATACTCACTTGCTAAGAAATGAAAGGCCCTATTGAATGCCAGCGGTTAGTAGGATGGCCCAAGCAACAGCTCCTTATGTAATACTCAGAATATGGCTCTGTCATTATAACTTACAGACAATCACACTGTGGTTATTAAATGAAGGGACACAAAGTAGACTGAAATTACATCTCAGTAAATTGCCACAAATCCATTGTGGTCTTATTTGAGAGGACATATGCTCTCCTTATGCCTACCTTTTAAACTCTTTATGACTGATTTGATATAGTTTTCGAGTGACTTTATGAGTCTGATAAGTGGAACATACCTTATATGAAAGAGGGATAAGTGCACTGTAAGTAAGTAAGAGTGGACAAATAAAGTCAAAATTACAGCTTCGATTAAATATTGTGGTCTACCAAAAGTGTTGTTTTTAAGTTAGTGGCCTGGCTGCAAATGCAGCGGCAGATGACACCCCCTTTTTTTGCTTCGGACAAAAAAAGAAAATAAAGTGCGAAAAGCTTACGGATTGCTTGATAAAGTAGAACAGGAAATAGTGACCAAGTTCAAGGGAGTGTGCAACGTGCATGCAATCCATCTCCTCAACACTTTTTTGCCTGTTGAGCACTGACCATTTGAACTGACTTGCAACTGAAATCTATAACCATCTACTCCTCCAAATTATTGAACAAAAAAGCAATTTTGTTTAAATTTGACTATTCGTTTTTGTTGTTGTTGCTGTGATTAAAATCATTTGCTTTTTAAGCTTTCACTTCAGCATTTTGCTCATGTAGTAAGCACATATTTTTAATGGCTTCTGTACCTAGTTATTGATTATTTAAATGAATATCTAGGACACTGTCATCACTGGTTCTAATTTTTTCCTTGTTCATTTTTAGCAGACAGAATCTGGCTATGGCAGCGAGAACAGCCTACGAAGACATGGCTCCATGTTATCCATTACATCAGGGACCAGTTTGTCCACACAGTCAACATCATCCTTCAAGGTAAGCATCTTTTTTTTCTAAGTGAAGTAGTTTCTACATGATTAAATTTTGTGCGTGCATGTTTGTGTGTGCAATGCACTGTTGTGGATTGATCTTTCTATAGAAAAGGAACCAGATCACATAATGTCATGTCATAATTTTCATAGCTATGTATACAATGAAACTTAAGGATAGCATTCTCATTCTTTGGTATTAAACGTACATGTCTGTGCTGGGCTCACTCTAGCATAGTATGAAATAAAATATTTAATTAGGTTTTTGAAACATATATCATTGGGTTAATCCAAGTTTCTGACTTGGATAAATCATTCACTTTTATGTAGAGAGATCCTGTCCTTGAGTGAACCCAGCAATGTATCTGATTTTGACTTATACTTCGTTTTGATATAATATATGTGTATGACATAAAAATTTGTTTCAGAGAGGAAGAGGTTTGCGAGAAAAGCTGGCAGAAATGGAAACGTTCAGGGACATATTATGTCGGCAGGTGGACACCCTTCAGGGCTACTTTGATGCCTGTGCGGAGGCTATGAAAGCAGCTGGCTTACATCATGGTTGGTTTTATTTATTTGTCTGCCTGTGTGTCTGTCTGTCCAGTGGGTATAAGGGCCACATTTTCCATCTTCCCTCAGTCATTTATGTATATGAAAGATAGCAACAAAGTAGCACAGATAGTAACAATTAGTAACAGTGAAGACCTATTTAAAAATTGTGCAGAATCAGACATGGTACCACAAGTTTGGCATTAGAGAGTTTCCGTTGCCGGTGAGATACGCCGGCTAGATTAATACGTCATCGGTTTGTGCGCACTTGTGACGTTCACCGCATTCATATACCGTCATCCCATCTAGTCTGCGGAATACAAGCGCTCCTATCTAGCCAGTGCGGAAGATTATTGAAAATAGTTATTAAAGGTTATGTTTGCTAATTTATATGACTTATATACTTTTTTACAATAGTTCAAGTGTACGTTCATGCAAATTTCGACTTTTTAACAGAGAGGAGCCGCTAGTTTTGGTTTGTCAGGCACGTAGTCGGGGGTTGATCGTGGGGTTCTTACGAACCACCATTTTTGTCGGGAAAAATTGCACTTTTGGGTAATATTTGTCTCCTTTTTCATAAAAAAGAATCCCCCCCCTTGGGAATAGATGGCTACGGGGCCGTATATTGTTATTATTACATTGGAATGAGCGCCAGCATTCCGGGACATTACCGGAACGCGAAGAGAGAAGCGCGTTACTGGATACATTAGCACATACGTAACAATCTAGCCGTCGTATCCCAACTGCACCGGAAACTCTCTATTGTCAAGAGCTAAGCATTGTTACAAAATATCCTGAGTTTTTTTTTTGCACTTCACCTATTTTATTCCTTTCATCAGTAGACAGTCATATCTCATGAGTAAATGAATAGGCACTATATAAAACAGATACAAATCTATGTAGAAAGGTGTTGTTGAGGTGACTCTCACGTAATAGCCAGGGTATTAAGTTGTCAGTGTCTGAGGGTGACCTGGTGTAGACTGTATCTCTTCAGTAAAGTGCTGGATGTGAGAAGGGCCTGTCTTTAGGAAGGCAGTGCAATCCTTTACAATCACATGATCTGCTATAGTGCAGTAAATTTTGTCTGATGTCAGTGTCAGCTGACTAGAAGTAGACCTATTCATGCAGTAGTATTAAGTGGTTGCATTTCCTCTGGCCTAGAGATCCACAAATGAAGGGTTTATTTCAAACTACGTGGTATACTCCCTAGTAGGTTTTGGACTTTCTTTTCATTGGCAATTTCAACATAGATAGTTTTGCCAAATGTATGTCTGTATTTTACATGGCACCTGTTTGCAATTCCAGCTTTTCATTTCCTCCCATAGAAATCCATGCTAATTAAAGTTAATCTAAGGGCGCATTCCCATAGATTTTAGATCGATCTATCCCCATGGGGAGTCTCACTAGATTACTGTCACATAATCCGACTTAAATATCCGTCCCACCTATTACAAGCTGTATGGGGTAATTAACTTCCGTGCGCGGTCGGCTGACTGCAATTTAGCGTGAACCCCCAGGGAGTTTGGTCGATCTAGTAAGATTGATCTTAATCTCTGGAAATGCCCTCTAAGTTATCTTGGTACCCATTATGGCGTTATATCTTTGTTGGATTTAATGCATTCAGATTTAAAATCTGTTTTGTCATATGATGATTAATTCTGCCTACTATTCTAAGTGGAATATCATGTAAAATATCTAATTGGTCTTTTTCCAACTCTAACAAGCAAAATTTGCTACCAGGATCTTAAGGCTACAATGGATTCCCCGGTCTGCCAGTACAATACATATGTCTGGAGTCAGTCCAGCTTTTCAAAATGTATCAAATACCAACTAAACAGAATTTTTAAAATATTTAGACGTTTGATTCTATATATCCTAGGCTTATGTCTCCCAAGTTGGACATTTGTTCTGAGTAGTAGATAACTGGCATATCCACACATATCCCCTCTTCTCCCAGGTAAAAGCCCCTAAAAGATAGTGATAGAATCCTATATCGCAAACATGATCATATGTGGACTTCATTGGTGTAGAAAATACTTGTTATCTGATACTGTGGAGATAAAACTATGACAACTGCAAGTCACATTTACACAGGCAGTACATTTTGTGCTATTCTAGTGGACAAATGTAGATATAATGTAGCCAGGAAAGTCTGGCAATCATATTTGAGGGTGCACTTGTGAGATAATGCTGTAAATATGGTGGTAGCTTTGCCTTTTGGGTTGCTCCCTTTTTGCCCTTCATGGACATATAAGTTTGATGTAATCATTTTCTCTTTTACTGAAGGTGGCTGTTTTTCTAAAAACCAACAAAATGGCTATCATTTGAAAAATCAAGATTACTGTTTAAGTGGTCAGCTATTGAATGTTAGTTATTTATTGCTTTAAGCTAAAATCAGTTTGCAAAAATATCATGGCTGCTGTCTTTAGCCTACTAGTTTCCACCCAAATATTTTCTTATTATTACTCAAATGCATGTTAATGGAATAATGCCCATACTTAAAATAGAAAATTTGTATTTGTCAGTTTAAATTGATTTTTAAACACAATCAGTTAAGTCTTAATACATGTATTGAACCATACCTTTGGGCTAGTCATTAGACAAATGTGATGAAACTGTTGTCTTTTGTTAAGACATGGAGTGAACAGACCTAAGGCATTTCTGATTGTTCAGTAGAAAAGTACAGAGAAACTAAAGTAATGGTTCTGACATAATCTGTAAAAATAAGCGCCTTTAGACACTAGTTAAAGTATTTCTGTGATCTCTAGAGATGAAATGATGTATCTAACATACCATATGGTCATCTGTATTTTATTGGGTCTGAACAGACAAGTATTTTTTTGAACTGGTGAATCTGTGGAATTGAGTATGTAAAGAAAACTCTTTTTTTTTTGGCCAATACATCTGCCAGATTCACGTCAGTATAAATCTGTATAATTTAACATTGCTGATCAGGATCTTCCTGCAACCTTTTTGTTTTAGGTTGTTTCCATCTTAAATAGTCCTTGTCTGAACAGACCTCTATATAGGTGCAAGGCTGTGGCGTTTGTCTGGTATCTTACTCTTAATTAGATTATGATTGACTTGGGAACCAGTCTGTTGCACATAATACTATTACTAACATCATATGTATTTACCTCCTCCACCAGAATAGACTGTACAGCTATTCTTAACAGTGCAGATGTGGCGTGATACTAGGAATGCCTATACTAAACAAGTGGTATCATTCTGATCCAGGTTGCCCCAGTAGTCCTCGCCTAGAATGTTAACCAGACTGAGGTGGGATTTCTTAACTGTAGCACCGAATTCAGTCCCATTGAGGATTATCGTTTGGAATTAAGAGATTTTATGTGATTCTTTTTATTTATGTTTTCAGTGGATAGTGATGACATCGATGATGTGGATGATTATGATACGCCAAGAGTAAGCTCACCATCTTCCAAGGATGCTCCTAACAGTCTGTTTAGTGAGAAGTTGTCCAAAGGAGAAGATTTTGGTAGGTTATTTTGAAATTTTGTAATTAACTTTGGTGTAAAACATTTGGTCTTGAATATGTTTCCTTTGAAAATTCTTCATGTGAAGTTGTATGACTTGTAGATTTAGTAAAAATAGAAATTTTTTGGGTGGATTTTGCCTGTATGTTTGTAAAACTTTTTGGAAAAAAGGTTGAGGAGGGAGAAACAATATCTCATCTTTGTGGGGTTTATATTTTGAACCAGTTTGCAGAATGTTTCATTTAATAATCTTTCTTTCACTCAGCATGGGTTTCAGTATTTTAATCACAAGATACATCCATATTATTATAAAACTGATGAACTTTTTTCTAATTCCTTTATTTAATCACCCATTTTGTATGGTCCCTTGTTTTCTTAGATTTATGAGGGAAAACAATTTTCACTTATGTCTTTTCACTCAACTAAATCTGAACATTTCCATTTCTCTTACCCTTACATCATTCACCTAGGGGATGGTTTTCACTTGTACACTAAAGCTTTCAGTCAACTTTAACACAATAAATCAGCTGAAATTTAATAATAATAATAATAATAATAATAATAATAATAATAATAATAATAATCAGCTGAAATTTATTTGCACCTTTAGCACAGAAAAAAAGCCAATGTTTTAGATCATGGAAAGGGCTAATCTAGATTTGTCCTGAATATCAAATTATACAAAACTTTCTGTCTCTGATGAAGATCAGTTCAGGTGTTCTCAATAAAACCAACCCCCAGAACCCCTTTCAATTCCTGTGTTGTACTGTGTTGTACTTGATGACATTGAAAATTAAAAGTGCCTTTTCGAGTATGCCTTTTAAAAACATAAGTGAGAAACTGCTGGTACTCTTATTAATGTACTTCAGTTTTCCATATGTGTTATTAGACAAAAAAAAAGCTGTTCATCCAAGGGCAATTTATTTAATGTTAGTATGACCGTACATGTTTGGCTTGCCACGATGACACAGATGGCATATCATACTGTACTGAAGGAAATAAGGCTTCGTTCACATGGAAAGTCTATTTTCTAAAAATCTATTTTCTATTCGCGGTATATCTTGTGATCACAGTCTGTGCCCTAAAAGTTACTATAAGTAACTAGCTCGCGCTGCCAGTAATTACGGCACAGACCGTGATCATAAGATACCGCGAATAGAAAATAGATTTNTACCATATGGTCATCTGTATTTTATTGGGTCTGAACAGACAAGTAATTTTTTGAACTGGTGAATCTGTGGAATTGAGTATGTAAAGAAAACTCTTTTTTTTTTTTTGGCCAATACATCTGCCAGATTCACGTCAGTATAAATCTGTATAATTTAACATTGCTGATCAGGATCTTCCTGCAACCTTTTTGTTTTAGGTTGTTTCCATCCAAAATAGTCCTTGTCTGAACAGACCTCTATATAGGTGCAAGGCTGTGGCGTTTGTCTGGTATCTAAGGCTCTGTTCTCACAACTTTTAGATCGATCTATCACCGCGGGGAGTCTCACTAGATTACTGTCAGATAATCCCCCTTAAGTGTCCGTCCCCGCCTACTACAAGCTTTAAGGGGTAATTAACTTTCGTGTCCGCCCGGCTGACAGCTATTTAGCGTGAACCCCCAGATAGTTAGGTCGATCCAATGTAGGTCGATCTAATCTATGAGAATGGGGTGTTACTCTTAATTAGATTATGATTGACTTGGGAACCAGTCTGTTGCACATAATACTATTACTAACATCATATGTATTTACCTCCTCCACCAGAATAGACTGTACAGCTATTCTTAACAGTGCAGATGTGGCGTGATACTAGGAATGCCTATACTAAACAAGTGGTATCATTCTGATCCAGGTTGCCCCAGTAGTCCTCGCTTAGAATGTTAACCAGACTGAGGTGGGATTTCTTAACTGTAGTACCTAATCCAGTCCCACTGAGGATTATCGTTTGAAATTAAGAGATTTTATGTGATTCTTTTTATTTATGTTTTCAGTGGATAGTGATGACATCGATGATGTGGATGATTATGATACGCCAAGAGTAAGCTCACCATCTTCCAAGGATGCTCCTAACAGTTTGTTTAGTGAGAAGTTGTCCAAAGGAGAAGATTTTGGTAGGTTATTTTGAAATTTTGAAATTAACTTTGGTGTAAAACATTTGGTCTTGAATATGTTTCCTTTGAAAATTCTTCATGTTAAGTTGTATGACTTGAAGATTTAGTAAAAATAGAAATTTTTTGGGTGGATTTTGCCTGTATGTTTGTTAAACTTTTTGGAAAAAAGGTTGAGGAGGGAGAAACAATATCTCATCTTTGTGGGGTTTATATTTTGAACCAGTTTGCAGAATGTTTCATTTAATAATCTTTCTTTCACTCAGCATGGGTTTCAGTATTTTAATCGCAAGATACATCCATATTGTTATAAAACTGATGAACTTTTTTTCTAATTCCTTTATTTAATCACCCATTTTGTATGGTCCCCTGTTTTCTTAGATTTATGAGGGAAAACAATTTTCACTTATGTCTTTTCACTCAACTAAATCTGAACATTTCCATTTCTCTTACCCTTACATCATTCACCTAGGGGATGGTTTTCACTTGTACACTAAAGCTTTCAGTCAACTTTAACACAATAAATCAGCTGAAATTTAATAATAATAATAATAATAATAATAATAATAATAATAATAATAATAATAATAATAATAATCAGCTGAAATTTATTTGCACCTTTAGCACAGAAAAAAAGCCAATGTTTTAGATCATGGAAAGGACTAATCCAGATTTGTCCTGAATATCAAGTTATACAAAACTTTCTGTCTCTGATGAAGATCAGTTCAGGTGTTCTCAATAAAACCAACCCCCAGAACCCCTTTCAAAACCTGTGTTGTACTGTGTTGTACTTGATGACATTGAAAATTAAAAGTACCTTTTCGAGTATGCTTTATAAAAACTAAGTGAGAAACTGCTGGTACTCTTATTAATGTACTTCAGTTTTCCATATGTGTTATTAGACAAAAAAAAGATGTTCATCCAAGGGCAATTTATTTAATGTTAGTATGACAGTACATGTTTGGCTTGCCACGATGACACAGATGGCATATCATACTGTACTGAAGGAAATGAGACTTGAGTGATAAAAAGGACACTATTCCTAATCCTTTAATCTTTGAACAGAGAGGTGGTAGCAGTGGAAGATAAAATGATCTAAGTTAAGACTGCATCATGGTGTATGCTGCCAAAACACAGTGAGAAATAATTGTGCGTTATTAGGATTTTGTGATTGGTTTTTATATAAACACATCTAGGTTTTTCATGTTCTTTAAGTCTAAGTAGGTGTAAGTGCAGAGAAGCCAAGCATCAAAGTACCATGTACAGCTACAAAAATCAATTACTCTGACACTGAACAGAGCCTGAGGGTATAAAGCACCAGGGTGCTTTTGGTCTGATATAAAAGAACATTTGTTATGATTGCATTTTCTGCTTGTATTTCAGAAATTATCAGTTAAATTATTGTTAAGGGTAAAAGTGATGATTGATTGATACTGAATAATTATTTAATTTGTAGGTTTATGCCATGTTTTTATTACCAGTCAATACCTTATGTGTCAAATTCACCTTTTAGATTCACCCTACATACTGTATTTCAATGCAGTTTCTAGATTTAAAAAATGAAATGAAATATCCAATATAATTCACTGTCACCTCTCCTTGTTATGAGCCTGCCCGCTTGAGTTTTTTTTTACATTTAATGCAGATAAAATGTATTTTAACTTGACATATAATAGTCCTATTATGCAATCAGTCACAAAATACATCCTACTTTGCCTCTAGGCTATGCATACACATTTGAATGCCTTTGAAGTTTCAAGTATACCCCATGGCTATCAAAGCAAAACAAACTGGATTTAGTCTCCACTTCCATCGTTTGATATCGGAGTTGATAACTTTGAATGTTAATGAAAGGCCAAAGAAAAGTTGATATTCTTCTCTCTCTTTTTTCTACTCCATCAAACTTTTGATTGCTCAAGGGTTTCCATACATGCTAATGAGGCAGTTGTGAGTGTAGTAGTAGTAGTAGCCAGCCAAATGCAACACAGACAAAAGAAGAGAAAAATTATAAATTAACCTATGAAAAAAATTAGTCCTAATTATTAAAAACTAAGAAATTTTGTGAGAACTGCTTACATCTAACATATATAGTCAACTCTTCAAACTTTTTAAAATTAAATTTCTTTCAGTTGGAATTTTTTCCCAACACGGAGCACATGCTATAGACTTCAAGGGAGAAGCCTTCACATTCAAGGCTACAACAGCAGGCATAGTGGCCACGCTCAACCACTGTATAGAACTCATGTCACAGAGGGAAGACGCCTGGAGGAAAAGATCAGAGAGAGAGACTGAAAAAAGGAAAAAGATAGAAGAAGCCTACAAAGCTTTGTTACAAGATAGCAAGAAACCACCCATTGTCATAGGCGGACCTGATTATGAGGTAGGTGTCTTATGTGCACACCTCTGTGTTGTTCAACTGGTGGGGTGGGTGGGGGGGGATTGGATGCAAATTCTATGCACTTTACTGAAATCAGAAATACACAGAATCAATTTTCTTTGGTCTGCAGCTAGTAATGGATATCTTAATGCCATAATTCTTCTTTGTAAATTGTCTTTCTCAGTAGCTTACCCTGATCAGATTGACTAAAATTTACAACCGTCATTACTAGAAGCCATTTTTTATGTGAAACAGCCTGCTAAGTGTCCCACAGCTCAAACAACAATGGGTTTTCATTGTTTTTCAGTGTGTAATATTGGTAATTTCTCATGATTTATAACAAAAGATATTGTCTGGACTTTGATTGTTGGGAGATTTCATGGAAAACAGCCTGGTTAATGTTATTGGACATGATGCTGTGTATGGTTATATGAAAAGTGGAGACAGTAAAAGGGTTTATTGGCTCTTCCAGGAGGGACCACATTGTGCAATTAATGAAGATGAATTTTTCGATGCAGTCGATGCATCACTAGATAAACTAGATAAAGAAGTGGAGAATGTAAGTATTGAGACATTTGCAAGGAATGAATGACTGTAGTTGGGTAATTTTTGATATTAAGTTCTTATCTGTGCAAGATCATTTTGAAAAATCTGAAGTAGTAGTGCAAAGATATACATATTTTCATGTAGAATGCTGTTACATATGTATATAATTCAGCAACTGTGCATTTTTTATATTTCAGAAATTGAGCATACAGAAAATAAAGCCTCCAAAGGCCCCTAAAACTTCCCTTAGTCCCAAGCATAAGTATTATAAAGAAGTAAGTAAATAGATCTAAGCTTTCTGTATATTAACAGGACTAAAGTGAAAAACATGACAAATCCTGCTGAGATACACATTTTAAATTTTGTTTCTAGAAAAGCTCTCATTAAAAAGAAAGATAGATGTATGTCTGCAGAACACTTCAAGTGCACTCCCATACTAGATAAGAAAAAAAAAACGTGTATACGTCCAAAAAAAAAAATAGGTATTAAAATTTTTAATATGCTCACAATAGGTACCAGTCAGGAGGTTATGAACACTATCAATACTACAAAGCACTATCATTTGATTGATACATTAATAGCAAGACATTTTCATATTAATTAAGTAAAAGCCAGGCAAGTCAAACACACTGTCTAACTTGCCATAGGCAACATGGGAATTTATGTAACAGCAACATCGTTTAATCCCTGATGACATTCTGTAATCATTGAAAGAGGTCTCTTTCCAAATTGATGATGAGTTGACAGGGCATCAGTCAGTGTTTGTGTGCATGCACTTCATTCTGAATTCATTAATTTTTATGCCACTAATTTCCAGATAAATGAAGTAATAGCAGAACACATTAAGTATGCAGCCAAGTTAGACATAGACAACACATGGGAGCTGATACATGACGAGGGGGAGATGAAAGTGTTTAAGAGAGAAATGGAGGAAGACGGCATGGTGGTTGACCCCCTCAAAGCTGTACATACAGTCAAGGTGGGTAGTGCAATCAGTCTGTTTGTTAGGCAATCCGATCCAGTCACCCATTTTTTTTTTTTTTAATTTTTTGTTTGTTTGTTTAGAGATGAAAAAATGTTTAAGTTCACTTAACATATATAGCATTTCTATAACATTCCAGACTTTGTGGTAATTATCACATAATGAGCCAGAGTTGAAATTCTCTTGATCTTTGTGAATTTTTGAAATTTTGTCCAAGAGTTTTTGTGAAACCTATACTGGCATACAACTGAAGTTTTATGTTGCTACAGTCCTTTCAGTTTATAATTTTGCCTGGTTCAAAATTAGACAACTTATGAGACCACCTCACTAAATTTGATCTTTTCTTTATTTAGCCCAGGTATCCATACCCAGATTGGCTAACAAAGGCATATAGGGAAATCATTTCTGCACCTCGAAGTCGTACTTAAATAAACTACTCCTGGCTAAATTTTGTTTTTGGATAACCTGGCTGGTTGTATAAATGTGTGAATGTTTTTTTTCTCCAGGGTATCACAGGACATGAAGTGTGCCATTACTTCTGGAATCCAGATGTCAGAATGGAGTGGGAAGGTAAGGGTGCTAGCAGTTCATCCAGATATTTGAGCCAAATTAAATAAATTTGACTAGAACTATCTATTTTTGATTAAATGCAGTAATTACTCAAACATGTAATTTTGTATTAATTTCATCAGCTTAATGGTATTCTTGAAAGGGTGCAATTTGGACATTTTTTCATTACAAAATCATGCAATTCTTTCCCAATTACTCTGCCCACAGGTACACTAGAAAGTGCTCAAGTATTGGACTGGTTCTCAGAGGACACCTGTGTGTGTTATCAGATCCACAAGAAGGTGTGGCCCACCACCCAGAGAGAGGCCCTGTTCTGGACACAGATCAGGCATGTGCCTAATGAAGATGAAGACGAGGATGGCCCAGATTACTGGATTGTGTGCAATTACTCTATACCTGATCATGACAAGTGCCCTGTAAGTTGATATATTTATTGATGTGTATATTTTATATTGATGTCAATTGACAGGTTACATACACAGTACAAGTTAATGTTTTGTCCATTCACAGGTAGATGTAACTGCTTCTGTGTTTTGAAATTCAGTTATAGTTATGTAAGTTAAACATATCTATTTTTTTACATGAAATATCATATTTAGTGAGATATACTCAGATGAAGTACAATGACAGTAACTAGAGTTTTAAGAATAAAGGACAGCTTTCATACACTAATGATTAAAGTAATAAGCAAAATAAAAATTTCACAGTATGTTTATAGACAAATTCATTTGCATTGCAAGAGTGACCATTCATTATTAATAAATATAGTGGTTTTGTGTTTTTCAGTTGCAGGAAATTCATTGAAATGTATGAAATTGTATGAACTGATGTAGAAATATTTACAATGAAGACCAGGAGGTACAGATTTGTTTTGAGATTCCAGTTCAGAATGACTTGTTGGGAAATACACTTTCAGCATTTACAGTATGTTTTGAATATTTTCTTTTAGGAGAAAACAAAAAATATTCGTGCTATAATGAATGTTGCAATGATCTGCGAGACTGTGGTAGAGCCACCACAAAGCGACAGAAACATTACCCGTGAAAATATAACTTGTAAGATACAATATCATGCAAACGGTAAGAAATTTCCGAACCTTTCAGAAGAAAATTGCTTATGGTGCCTGCACTGAATACTAACACTGGAATACTGGAGGATAGTGACTGCAACATTTTACACTTTTTTTATTACGGCTGATTTTGCAAATCATCACGTAGAAGAAATGGTGCCATTTGTCACCATAGAGACTGCCTTAAACAAATATGCATTTTCAGTCCTAATTTTGTATTTGAAAAAGTAAGAAGATGTTAAGTATTAAAAATTGATGAATAAATAATTTTCTTGTGATATTTGCAAAATCATCCAACCATTTCTTAGGTCTGCATGGAATATCAGATACAGAATATGTGTACATGTTTAACTCTTTTTGTAGTAGGGGACTCTGGGAAGGTACCTATGCTTGTTTTTTTTTTTTTTTTTTTTTTTTTTTTTTTGTGATAACAGGGAGTGCATGCAGTTTTTTTTATTGGTCTGCTTTGGCACTTGGAATAATTTTAGGCATCAAAAAATGTGCGCATCAACATGAATGTGGCAATGGTGTGCGAGACGTCTATGGAGCCTCCTAGCAGCCATGATGGGGAAATCACAAGAGACCATATAACCTGTCGCATTACCTATGCAGCTAATGGTGAGACTAGCATGGCGAAACTGTGAACCCAAACTGCAGCTTTTAAGCTGTAGGAATCTAGCTCATGTTGAAGTATACTTCGTGTGTCTTTAAACAACAGGGGAAAATGTCTTGAAAATTTCTTCTAGGCCTAAAGTCACTGTGTTGCTAATTCCAATTTAATTGTTCTTCAAAGGGAAATTTGGACATTATTTGAACTGAAATAATGACAAGGATTGAACTTTCAAGACATTGGTAAAATTGTTGAAGACTCTGAATTTTCCTCTCAGTCTTTACATCCACTGTAGCATGACTTTCTCATTTGAAGAAACATGTTTAGGATTATTCTTTTTATCTGACTACACAACCAAAAAGAAAACATAATTTATTCAAAAACAGCTTGCTGATACGAAGGCATTATAGGATAAACATGTCATAAAACAATAGTTAACGTTACTAACAAACAGATGTAATTTGTATAAGCAAAATTGCAACACCATTACACACTGATGATGGCTTCCTCTGCATGGCTGTATACAATTTGCTGTTTTATATTTGAATTCTGTAATGGTGGAAAGGTTTTTATTAGTCTTCTATATCATTATAGATTGACAAATTTACTTACAACCTGCATATATAGACCAAAGCTCTTAGTAAACAGTAATTATGATTGAGTCATCTAAAATGTTTAAATACTGCGTAATTATTTGATGCACATTTTTTACAGTACTTCCTTTTATAGTCAGTTCGTATATAACAGTAACTGTTTATGAACCAATAGAAAAAAAAGATGACAACATTTTTTACTATAAAAATAATATTGTGATCATAATATAATTTGTTTTTCCTTTTCCTTTTCCTTTTAGTGCATGTATGATGTAGATGTATATAAATGGTTTTCCACTCTTATTTCCAGTCAACCCTGGAGGCTGGGCCCCGGCCTCAGTATTACGGGCTGTGTACAAACGGGAATATCCCAAGTTCCTGAAGAGGTTTACACAGTACGTGATGGACCAAACCAAAGACAAACCAATCATGTTTTAATCTTAACCAGTCCACCAACGTTGAAGAAATGGAGGCCTGCTGTCTGATAAGTTGAGGAAAAAACTTAGGGATTCATGGAATAGAATTATCAAAGGGAAATTTCAATACTTCAGAACTGGAGATTGGAGATGGAGCAGGGATTCCCTGCTGTGAAAAGATTTTATTCTGATTATGTCACAGCCTTGACTTAGTTTAAAATGCCTGGAAACTTCAATAATTTTTAATGGCCAGATTGCCGGATGGCAGAGGGGAAAAAGAGGAAGGACTTTCATCATTGCTTTTCTAGAATAAATGCAGGGATTTAAGTTGCTTTAACAGGGAAAAGCTGGAAACTGAAAGTGAGATTTCACTTAATGTCCGAAAAAAGACCTGGTATTGAACTGGGAAATGAAAATTGAATTTTGCTACAGTTAGTTACTTTAGAGAGTATATATTTTGGTGAGCAACTAAAAATATTGCAAGGGGGGGGGGGGGGGGGGGGTAAAAATTTAAAACTAGTATATGATAACTATTGATAGGATGTGAAAGACCCATCTCAGGACATGACACCTGGTTAGAATGCACATGATGAAAAGGCAGTTTTGAGAGTTTCTTTCAAATTAATATATTATGTAACAGATGACAACAAATTGTCAAAAAGAAGATTTCTCTTAAAATGTGTCAGTATTGGTAGGGTGGGTCTCCATTACTACATTGGCGTGGGAACTAAGAGGTGAAAAGGAGATTTCTAATGAGTTGACATGCCTGTGTAAATGTACAAAGTGATATTTTCTTATGAATATAGGTATGGTGTACATTGGACATTATGGATACAGGAACTTCAACTGAAGGGCTGATGTATCTTATCTGCCGTTTTTACATCAATTCAACAGCTAAGGGCTTAAGCACTTCTTTTTGTATGATAACCTGAACATACCACAAAATGAAAAAACTTCACATTACATTCTGACTTAATCATTTAGTGATTCAGTTATGACTTCACTAGACTACAAAAATGCTTATGTACTTTTTTGAATGACATATCAAGACAAGATGGCAGTTGAAATCTCTTACAGCATTCCTCATACAGAAACATTGGCCTGGTGTACCTTAAACTGTACTCTGTCTCTTTTGTGTGACCTAGTTGTAGTGTTGCCAGCAATTTTTGATTGAATTGTCAGAATTCCATAGCTAATGCCTGATGTGGTTTGTCTTTGTTACGTGATTTGTTTAAGTTTGTGAGTGATTGCTTCTACAGTTAGATTTTGATTTGCACAGTGAGTGCGTTCCACAACATCCCTGAATTTGGAGGCAGAAAATTCCTTTTTAAGAACAAAATAGAAAATATATCTTATTTAAGAGAATAGCTGGATTTGTCTCCGTATTACAGATTATCAGTAATCCATTCATTCATTTATCTTTTTGTTGTTGTTGTTGTTTTCATTTTTTTTTTCTTTTTTACAATGTGAAAGTAATATACCTGCTAAAATCTAAGGTCATTCTTGCTTATGTATTTTTACAATGGATTAACATTATAACACTTATTCATGCCAATTCATCATGAATTTGATTAAGGAGGAAGTATTTTTTCTAATGTCAATAATATTTTAGCTGGAGTGAGGCATCGAGTACACTGATGAAAATTTTCTTAAACATTAAAAGGGAGAGCAGAATAGACTGAATGTCTCTCTGAGATAGTTTGTTGTTGTCTTACCAATATACGGAGAGGCCAGTTATTTTGTATTAATGTGTTTAAGGGGAGAGGAAACGCCTACCAAGCATGGCATTTGTGTTGTGGTGCTAAAAGACAATATTGTGATACATTGCAACTGTATATAGAAGTAGTGCATTTTCAGTCACATATAGCATTACTGTACATTAAGACCCAAATAACAAAACCTCTAACCTGACTTGTCATCTAAGACATGGAGTACAAAGAGTAAAAGGTATCTTCAATACTTGTAGAGTTCCCCAACTTGAAAATTTGATGATGTTTTGATCCATAGAGCATAGTTGATCTAATAGATGGATACTGCAACAGTTTACTATGCAGTTTCATTTACTTCCACAGCCATACTACTTGATCTCAAGTCAAATATACTAGTCAATAGTTATATTTTTGGCCATAAATAGAGTGCATGTAGCTGTATATAAAAGGTTGGAGGTGTGTAACAGCATTACCTGCCTAATGTTTCAGGTAGTGCAAGATTCAATGCAATGTTTTACAAGTATTAATTTTATTTAAGAGACACTATGTAAAAGGACAAAAGAGAACGAATTGTAACCTGGAGAACTAGTTCTTTACTGTATGTAAGATGTGTAAAAAGCATATAGAATGCACATGTGTACAGGTGCACCCCTCACATATTCACTGTGCACAAATCAATGGAGTATTTTTGAATCTTTTTCTATGTGTAAATATGATATACTTATTGTTGGACAAATTTGCTATACTTGTGTAGATATTTTTGAATTATTAATGGGAAATTGCTTTGTCAATTTTTTTCGTTTTAACTGGCAGTTGTTTTTTCTGCATTCTAATACACTACACGGTTTCCTTGTTTTGCTTTGCAAGTAAATGCCAGTGGAACAGGAAAGGTAGTCCTAAAAACGAATGTCTAGAGTCCCCTATGCTTGGTCTAGGTTTGACAGCTGGGAGTATTAGGGTCAGTAATAGGCACGTGTGTCATGTGTACTAAGCAATGGGGGAACGGACCAGTCTCTAGCGGACTACCATACCTGCACCCCTGGGTCAGCTATGTAACGTTGCTCTCTGAGGTAGTTGTATTGGGATTGAGATTGTATAAGCTATGTAAAAGGGGAGAAAATAACATTTTCTAAAGCAAAGTTGTGTGTAGTGTTTTTTATTATAATGGTATGAAAACGTTAGGACCAATTAAAGCCATAAGGGGCCTAAAAGAAAAATTTAATGTGACCTGTGTTTGTGTATGAGGGGAGTGGGGGCGACATGTTTTATGGAGAGGGTTGATGGTGTGTGTGTGCGCGCTCGCGCGGGGAGGGGGGAGCTGAGGAACAGACCCAGTGTTTAGCGTTGGTGGCCAATTTGCTGTGTACAGCGGTTGGTAGTCACCGTTCAATGCGTGCAACTAGTCGGCTTAACAGAAGAAGGAACAATTGTGGCAAAAACATTGCCCAGATTGACGACAATATTTACGTGGCTACCACATTTATACGCCAGCCATTATACATCTTTTCAAAAACGTCAGTTAAGTAGTATAACAATTACCCTAGAACTAAATTAATTTAGTTTCACAAATTTTTCCATATTGCTTACTGATAAATACAGCAAAAAATTCAAGAGATATTTCTATTTGTATATTTACCCACGTTGACTTGCTCAGAACTTTACATATTATAATATTACACACATATACACTTTACACATCGAAAAGAAAAAAAAACATTTTTTAAGATCAATATTATACATATTTACAAAATAAATGATTTAAGAAACCAGCTAACATCACTGATTTGGTCATTTACTCAGATAATAAGTGAAATCGCGTTTTCAGAGGAACATCATTTCAGAGGAACATCATTAGATCAGAAACTTTCCTTGTTAAGCTAAAATGACGTAGGGTTAACCACCCTAAATATAATTAATCATGGGAGCCTTTTCCAGTGCAGATTAAGAAAGTTTGAAAATCATAAATCAGTTCATTAGTTGGACGTCTCCAGAGGCCAAAGGTGAGAAAACCGGTCGGTGGATGGGTGAGAGTCGTACCGAGTTTAGCAAGGTCTCTCCTCTTCCTCGACGCTCCCTAGAGAAAATGCGGATTATCATAATACGTGTGATTAAATCTATCAATGAATGATTCAATTTATTCTTTTAAAAAATATTATTTTTAACGTATGATTTAAAGCAAACCAGGAAAGACACATATATTTACAATAAATACAATATAACACCTTGCTCAGCTGCCTCTTTCAGTGCGGCATTTCTGGCCAGCTCGTACTGGCAGGCGATGGAGGGAATCCACTGCCTGAGATACGTTGGGCACTTGCAGTATTTTCCCTTCAGCGCCGCCTGGGTCTTAGCACATGGTGGTTCCCGCTCCTTTGGACGAAGACCCTTATGGGGAGGTGGCTTATACCATATCCCTGGTTCCATATAAGCAGACTTAGTAGTGGATACTGTAGCTACCCTGGGAGTGTCGGATGCACTGTATTCGTAGCTAGTTTGGCTTACGGTGGAAGAGGAGCTTCTCTCTAAGGGACCAGGAGACACTGATTTGAAGTTGAAATCTTCCTTGGATGTTTTTTTGGTTAATCTGAATTCCACTTCCTTGAAAGTATAGACTGTTCTCTCTGAAGTGGGACCTAGTTTGACTGGACTTTCTGGGTTCAGACTAGGAAGACTGTCGCTACTTTTGGGCATATAAGGTTCTGTGATATTGGCGCAGTTCGTAGATTTTGTCGTTGGACTTTTGATGGTCTGCAATTAAATATATTGATTTCATATAATTTAATACTCTTGGTAAAATAAATTCAAAAGACCTTGAATGCAACAGTTAAGTGCAACAAGTATCTATTCTTACGGAGTATCTATCTTCTAACCTTCCTAATTTAGATTAATATTCTTCTGATGCAAATGAAAATTGAAGATGAATTAATATTTTGTCGTAATTATTACTAAATTCTATTCTACTTGATCCGATTTTAGGTAAAAAAGAATAACACAAGATTCAAAACTTACCAATTTATTATGGCTGCCATTTCTTTCAAGAGGTATGTTTCTCAAAGAAATGAGTTGGTTCTTTTTCCGACTGAAATAATGATACAAACGTAAATAAATGTTGTCCTTTGTATATTTCAACATTGCATACATGACTCATGGAAAGATTTATTTGACTTGAATGCTGGTACTTCAATAAACAAAGCAGATTCACCAAGAAGAAAAACTACTGAAATAAGGATATACATAACAAACCTTAAGAACATGGTTTGTTTTTAGTACATTTCGACATCGCATGCAAAACTCTTGGGAAAAATCAATTTGTTTTGATTCATGGCATTTTCAGGAACATGTTTTTCCACACAACAAGAACGAAGATGGAGAAGTATATTACCGTCCAGCTTGCTCGCTTTCCAGTTCATCCATTGCATTTTCGTTAGACACCAATCGTAATTCAGGATTTCCACGAGATGCACTCATGTTCTCATCCAATGGTGTGCTGAAAGAATATGTTATTATTTGCCAGTTGATGTACATGGTGGGTGTGGTTTCTAATGAACTATGTAACGAAATACAGGTCAGATTACCTCATTTGTTTGGATTTATCTCTTCTAAAATTCTTTAGCTGTTGTTTTGCTTCATCTTCTAATATCTTTTCTCGTTTTCTGCGACCCTGAAAAATAGCATTTATTGCTGTGAAAAAAAAAAACGTGTTGTAGAACCTTTCCACATTGTGATTCCAGAACTAATTTTAAATTTTGTTTCACAAATATGGTATTCACAACTAATTAAATAATTTTGCTTTATGAGAAATAACGTCATTTGTTATTTACTTTGTGTAACTATTCGTTGATCTTCAATTTTAATATACGTGTTAATTACTTATAGAGAATATTGGACTGACATATGGTGACACTTAATTAGTTTCCATCTATTGGAAAACAGCTATTTTGACTGAATAAGAAAGAGAACGGAACACAATGAACTACTGTTAGGCTACCATCCTGCTTTACGCATTTTACAAAATTTACTAGTATGAAGGGATTGATAGTAAAAAATTTAAAGTTTTATCGTATCGGTGGTTTCAAGTTTTAATTCTCATAATTTAATTTTGTTTATATAATTTATTGTGCTTATATTTTAAACATACTATTAACTGGCGTTCACGTGTTTAATTGAAGGCATAAATCAAATTCCAATGTGCATTTTATAAATAAGCGTAATAAAATCGGTACAACATCAAATACCTTCCCGTTTTTCTTATTTGGAACAATCTCTTCACTTAGGGTTTCTTCTTTCTCGAAACTTTCTACTATAGTGGATGGATTATTCATGTTTCTTATGGGTGCCTGTAGTGATCGGCGACGCCTTCGTAACCTTGACTGAATATAAGCCGAGGCTGCTAAAAATCTTTCGCGAATGCGAAAATTCACAGGTATGCAACAAGCCATCGAGTCTGGTTGCTACGGTTGCTGTCTTTGCAACATACGTCACAGATAAGCGAATGGTTACGTATACGTAAATAAATTTTACGTCACACAGAAACCCCACGTAATGTGACGTACGGAAGAACAAAGCATGCGTGCGAGTGAGAGATTCAGAGAGGGAGGGGACGACATAGATCTTATGCTCATTTGGCTGCACTTAGCAATTGTTGCTTTTGTATTGTTGGGAATGAAAGATACTGTCGCCATATGTCTGTTTTTATCAAAAGCGTAAATATGAGGAAAATAAGGAGTATCTTGGCTATCCCTGACAGTACCCTTATATACAAGCTGTTTCTGCTGCTCTTTTGCAAATAAATAAATATTAATAATAAAAGAATACAGAAAGTGAAAGAAATTTCCACATTTTAAATAGAATTTTTAAAAAGTAAGTGGTAAGGAAATGCACAAGTATAAAAAAAAAATTGACAGCTCTTTAACAACACATTACATATATATATTATTCTTTATTCTACTCTTAAAACAAAAATAGCATGTACTTTAAAAAGACACAAAGAATGAATCTCAAGATGTGGTCACTTGACTGATGTAGAAAAATAGTTGTCCAGATTTCAACTGGCAATTAAACCAATAAAAATTATGTGGAATAATACCATAATAATACCATAATACCCTGACAATCTGCCAGATGTTTGGTAACAAAAAGTATCACAGATAAAGATACTTTTTAACGTCTAAATTTGTTATTATGACTAAAATCTGAACACAACAGGCTTAAAGCTATGAAGTTAACCTCCCCTCTCACAACCCCCCCTCTACTACTTTCCTGGGACCAGGCCACATGAGGGAATATAACTTATGTTATGACCCTGGGTAAACTTTTCTGGCCTAATTTATCAAAAGAAAAAATATTTTCTATTATAAGAATCATAAATAAGATATAAGCATTAGTCAGATTATTTAAAATGTTCTGTTCACTGAATATTATGATAAAACCATGTAAAATATCACAACTATTTTAGAATACTTGTTGCATAAACAGATTTCCCCGTAAACAATACTATGCACCTGTAAAATGGCAGGGCAGTCCAATTTATATGTTATAAATGTTTTTTTTTTTATTTTAAGTTCAGAAGAGGAAATCTAGAAATACTTGACATTCTTGAATGTAAAAAATTACACAGTATGGAACTTGTAACTTGTAATAATATTCCACTTACTGTCTGGAATAAATAAATCCTTTAATACTCACTTGATTTTCATCATTTTCTGATTGATACTGAGGTGAAAAACAAACTACCTTTCTCACAACATCTAAGCATAATTGCCATGTAACTGTTAACATACTTCTTGCTTAATCTAACCTTCATTTATGCTGAAAAAATCACCTCCCTTCATGACTTTTTGAAAATGCATTTGTGTAAAATATGCAGTTTATACTTTATGTATATAATAACTATAATAGTCATTGCATAATGTCTGCTTCAAGTTTGATTAGTCCAAGGTGGTACAAGATCATAATAATCACCATCCTGTTACTTGTGTGAGGGCAACTTGGACCGAGTGGTGGACATCCTTTTTCTTCCAGTTTCCTGCTGTTGCAATTCCTGCAAAACCAAATTTAAAACATGATCTCCATCCACTTCCAAACCAATTCCAACAGACATTTTTTGAATATGGGTTTATTTCAGCAAAGCAGCATGGTATATTTTTATATGATCTCCTCATGAGAATAAATCATGATATCATCTTTTATATTTCATTAGTTTGATGCAATGTATATGGAACAGTGATTTTTTTCTATAAAAGAAAAATCGGTAGCACAATGCTTATTATGTGTTGCATTGCAGTTAAACTCAAAAGGTAAATCCTACTGAAATATATAGTTTTACAGATAAATCCTCTATATGAAACTTTCCCTTTTACCTGGTCCTGAATCAATCTTAAATAGGCCTCCTCTGGAGGTTTTTGTGGCAGAGGTCGTCCACCCATCTTTCCCCTTTCAGCTTCTAGGGCTGTGGCATAGCTGTAATGGCGATCTGGTAATGGTGGCCCCACTGAGCCTTTGCTTCTCCCCTAAAAATAATGAAACAAAATATTAAAAGAGAGTGACCAATTTTCTTAGTTTTGTTAAAAAGGTAAAGCCATTTTCAAAAACATCTAGTCAAAAATGGCAAAACCTACATACAGGCTACAGCAAAAAATATATATAACTTAGATTCAAATGACATTTTTCAGTTTTCAACTTGGAACTTTACTAATTCAAATTACAATGTGATTTGTAGAGAGTGGAACAGGGTTTCTGATATTATAACTGTTAATATCAGAAATAGAAGCACTTCTACCCAGAGCATGCGTGCAATAGCATTAACCAATTATGTGCCTGCATTTCAAGCTAACATTCCAGTTTTTAAGCATGTTTTCTCAAATTCTCAAAAGTTTGTTGTACATGGGAAATTTTAATCAAAATTATATCCTAAAGTACATTGATTTCTAAAGCTGCATTCATGCTGGACAACTTTAAAAAATCAACCAGATTACAAAGAAACAATAATACCCCCATATCATCTGGCCACCTGATGACAAAAGAAAGATTCCTACTCTAGAGTGCAGGGGCGTAACCAGACCTTTAAAAATTGTACGCACAGATTTTTTAAATACCCAGCATGTACAGCAAAATGTACAGCAAAATAGACTAACGCAACAGATGAAGGACAGCGTAATCACAGCATATGTACCACACATCGTAGCTTAATTTCCATTTATGATAAAATCATCATTTAAGTCAAAAATGTACTCGCGATTTAATAAAGTTTCAATATTTTTATTTACCCAGAACGGTATATTCATTTAAAAGGAGGCTAACTTCGCATCAGCGGACCCCCCTCCCCTCTTCGAATAATCCTGGATCCTCCTCTGAGTTGAACTTATATGCGGTTTCATCCAGCTTTCATGCGGGTGCGTGGCTCCCAAAAACAACCAATTATATGACACAATAGAGCTCTGAAACATCTAAGTTTAATTATTTATTTGTGAAAATTGCCCATGCCATCCTGTTAGTTTGGAGGGCTTAGCTGGATCAAGTCCGTGTGAAATTCTTTGAAGCTTTGCAGGAAAAATTATTCTTTTGTTTCTGTAGCTCCTTATTAAACCTGGTGTCCAGATTTTATCTAGTGCCCCCAGGTCTACGGGAGCTGCTCTTTGAAAATAACTCACAGGTAGATTTTACCTGAGATAAATATCGTCAGCGATAGTGCATTCGTTACTCTCATGACAACAGAAGAGTTGAAGGCCACTTAACCCTCCAATTAAGAGGTAAAGGATGTTCCAGTTAGATGGACGATTAAGATAGGACTTGTAAAGGTAACAGGCATTGTTTATCTCAGTTGAATAAAAGTATGCAAGACGGGGGGTCAGAACAATTGTGCGTATACAGAGGATTTGTACATACAGGTGACTTTAATTCACAGAGGATTTTCGATATAAATTCGGTGAAAAATACACTAAATTTATATAAAATAATATCATGGTTGGCCGAGAAATTGTACGCACAGTGCATCCGTGCGTATGCCTAGTTACGCCCATGGAGTGATCCAGTATACATATGCACAGCCTGTTCATTCAAACAACCCAGACATACACACATACACACAACACTATAACAACAGGTGGCAATTAATATTTTCTAGGTTCCTCACTGCTGTGCAACATGAATTTTATAGTGAAAGTTACTTTCCTCTATGTAGTAAACAGCAGAGGGGTTATTAGAGATGGGGGTGGCATTTGTAGAGGTAAGGTTCCAATAAGCTCTGAACCTCAGATTGTCACATAGCAACTACTAGCATGCTGTCCACCGACCATGACATACCACTTCTGTGATCACATCAAAACTATCACTGAACAATCTGGCAGTTCCCTTTGACTTTCTTTCTTTGTCAAATGAAATCTAAATACAAGAGTAAATTTATGTGATTTTGCATGAATTATCATTATATCATTTCTGCGAAGAATAAAAATTTGCTTTGATTTTGACATTAGCTATGAATGTTTTTCATGCTCTTTTTTAAATTAAAAAAAATTAAAAAGTACAATCATATCACATACATACATAGATAACACATACATAGATAACTGATAAAAATAACACAAATTTGCACAGTCGTGTATTTCCTAATTTGAAAGACAAGCATGCAAACACATACACATGAATGCATTCAGAGAGGCATCATGCATTTCGTTTTCCTAGTTCCAGAATAAGAGTATATGAGTATGTCACTATGTGAGAATGAGCACTGTAGTGATGCAAACACTGGCATTGTTACTGATGCAATAAGCACATTTTGATATTAGAAAGTTCACAGAAGATTCTTCATTTGAACAGTGAACATTGAGGAGGCAGTCACAACTGAATGATGCATGCTAAACTACTTCTCTCTTTTCCATCCTTTTTCTCCCATGGTACATTCTTCTTGTCTGTTATTTGCAAAAAGATCAAATAAAATTATGCTTTGTAGGGAATTAAACTGCAAGAATCTGATTAGTTGCTAATACTACTAACAACAAGCAGTAAAGCTTATTGTATATATTGTATATATATATATATATATATATACTCTTTTCAAAATAATTAAGACACACTACCACTCAAAAGATATCCATGTCATGTCTGGTCATATACTACTAGTACTTGTTGGGCTTTCTCTGACAGTAAATTTCAGCCAATTAAAAAAAAAATACTCCAATAAGGCCAAGAAAATTGTAAAATATTATTTCATTTTTTCTCTTGCCAAATTTAATATTGACATACCTAAATACTTTGATTCATGAAAAATTCCCAGCTATCTGGTAAATAGCAATACTGTCCAAGAGCAAGTCCAAACAAACTACAGTGATTGCAATCAACAAAATCATGAAAGTTCAAAAGATTCTGTTGTCAGCTTGGCCTTGGTTTGGCACCTTAATTGTGAGCTGTTGTGCAGGAAGATAACTCAGTGAATGTCATCAAGTCCTTGTATTTGCAAAGACATTCAAATCATATTGCTAATAAAGCCTTCTATGTATTTTAAGTCCTAAAAGCTGTCAAAGCTAAAAGACATCCATTGTGAAATGCAAGCAGACTGGTACATATGCATAAGACGGAATCATATACTTGTAGTTTATAGTTTATATCACAGTTCGATAGTAATTTCCATCCTCCAAGATATTTCCCCCTCTATAAAACCTTTTTCATTTCTTTATTTTTCATATTTGAAAAATGCAGGTGAACCTCATGTCAATTCTTAAGCATTAATAACTGATAAATCAAAAAAAATTACAAAGGTTTACAAGGGAGGATAAATACAGATTATGGGGAAAATACTTTAAGATGGACCATTCATGAAAAGGAAAGCACTATGTAGCATTAAGAAGCCATGTGAAATGTATGCCTTGGTCAAAAGCTGTACACACTGTCTTACTTGGAACATGTTAACCTTGGGCTCAGGAACATTTGGATTAGCAGGAAAGTCTTTGGCAGCAGAATAAATACTGCTACCCGGCTGCAAAACATACACAATACATCATGCTATCTGTTTTTCATGCTTCTATGCTAACCACTGCTTTTGATGGGTTAATACTGATAATGTAATGGCATATGCATGCTTAAAGTACTACACTGTACCTGGTAATGTTTCTGTGTATACATAAAATATATATGTGCATGAAGTTAACAGAAAAAAGAAAACATGCGCTTTTATCATATTAAAACTAGTGGTTTTAAAAACAAATTAAGAAAATCATTGATTTATATTATTTAAGCTTTAGTAACTAGGAACCCAGTGATTCAATACTAAAAAAATTTCTCAAAGAAGAACAATTCATAAAATAAAACTAAGATCTAAAGCTACCTGCTATCGTAAACTGCTAAAATCAAAGTATCAAATTTAAAGCATAGGACAATATCCCTGAATGGAGGAAACAGGTGAATGAACAAACATAAAACAAGGAAATTCCATCTCTCCAACCTCTGCTGTAATATTCCCCTTTTATCATGAACAAACCAGCAATTTTTTTCCCCAAATGAATAGGGAAAAATCCCACAAAAGGAAAAAGAGGGCCTGTGTTGTGAATGGGTCTTACTTCATAGAAAAAAGGAAGAAAAAAAAAATAAATAAAAAAACTCACCTTCTCTGGCTCTAATTCAAAATACATTCCCTCATAACTATGATTTGTTGTTGGATCCACCAACTCCTGGTAATCACACTCTCCTGGGGCCTACAATGAAGTTATTTTGAATTCTTTTTTAATATATTTAATCCCCGGAGGCTGAAATTCAAGGAAAACTGCCAAGTCCTAGTTGTTAATTCCAATCTCTAAGTGGTAAAGCAGCCTGATCTGTTTATTGCTAATAATAAAGTAAAAAAGGCCCAAAAGAATAAGACCCAGGGCTGCATGCATTAATATGTATTAAATTAACAGGTAAAACATATACAAGAACTTCAACCTATTGTTTTTGCAATGAATAAAATAAACTACCTAAAAAACCTTTGACTATAAAACAACACCTGTCAATCATAGCCTTAAATGAAAGTTGTAATGGTCTTAAATCTTTGTCCTTCAAAACGATCAACTTCAATGATCATAGTATTTAGAACAAGGCTTTTCGCAACCAACCATCCAGCTGTCATTTGGATGGCCTTCAGTATCACTGGACGGCCTATATGATCTATGATGTATCTTTCACTTACCTGACCACATGGTACTGTAAGGAGCCCTGACCAGTTAGAGATACAGTGCTGAAAATGAACATTCAACATGTCTTCAGTTTTCACCATACATATTAATTTTATATGCTTTATTAATATAAAGGACTTTAATCAAGAAGTCAAGTCAATGACATATAGCAAAATACTTAAAGCATAAATGTACACAAACTACTATTCATAACAAAGGCCTTATGTATGAGCTATACTTGTGAAATAACAGTGCAGCAAAGGTTGCAGTAAAAAATTCCAAATTATCTAACCTCTCAGACACAATGAAATATAATCTACCTTCTGGTGGTATGCAACCAAATCATTCAATGTCTTATGAACTTTTGGTTCTCCTACTATAACATATTTGCCACTAGCTGTCTGGTCAACCATATAATGGCGGCATCTGTTTTCAGATCTAGAAGAAAATGATCAAAACTTTTAACTTACTACTGATGGATGAATGCCTGTCTAATACTCTTCTGTACAAAAACAGAAGCTCTAGTAAGGCCTCTCCTTGCTGTTTTTTGTTCTAATATCGTTAAACAAAACTTTTTACATTAATTATTTTTGAATTCTAAGTAATAACAATATGTATTGACATATTGATGGACTACTATGAAAAGTATAATCATTCATTTGTTATAAGCACATTTTGTTATAAGAACATCTATGTAGACTACATTTTACAACATACTTGAATGAGAGTGAATATCCAAATCTGCTTTCCCCAACTCTGACAAGGAAACAACCTATTTGCTTGCCCCTCAGGAGCTCTTCAGATTGCCTGTAAAATATATATATATAGTATAAAGTTGAAAAAAAATGTAACAGTATTAGACTTTGCTAAAATACTTAAAGCAAGAATGATAAAGGTTGTTTACAGATGGCTAAGAATCAAACTGGCTGCATTACTTTATGCAGTGAGGAGTGTGGTACATAAACACATGCATTACTGGTTCAGAAGAACATATGACATGAACAAAAGTAATGGTTTGGTTTAACTTTTTCTAGCTCTAAAATGTGCAATAAAGTAGGTGGAACTAAAGATCTAAGGATGCATGTCTACAAAAGTGACATAACAACCAACAACTTTTTAAGGCCCACTCCTGAACTCCTCCTAAATGTAGTAGAGCCCTCATAACACAAGCAGTGCGTCTCATACCTCCTCGTGATAATCCCATGAAACCAGGGAGCAAACCCTCCATGTGGCTGCCGTAGCTTGTCATACTGAGTGGCTCTAAACCACCTCATGGAGGCCTGCTTGGTACCTGCCGGGCCATACTTGGTCATTCCCGTTGTCTTCACAGGAACAAACTCATCTTCCAGGACCTCATCATCTGTGTCTGAGCCAGTTCCAGCTGTCTCCTTCAATATGGAATAGGAAGTGAATTGTGTTTCATCAATTGTTCCTTACTCTCACAACAGTGTTAGCAAATCATACCTCGTAAATTTTTTCATCTAATCTCAATTCTTATGAAAGTGTATGAAAACTATGCTTACAAAAATGGGCATGACCAATAAACAACCAACTATATTTTAGGCCAGAAACAAGTAATAAAATAATCAACAAATTGAATGTGTGTATCAGTCGTATCTGATTGAATTATTAGACCATACATATTTGTTTGCATGTTTGTGCATACATTCAAGCATCTGTGTGATTCTGTTGCAGCTTACATACTTCATTTGTTGTATCTGTTATCTGATCTTCTGTCAAAGGAGGTGGTGGGGGAGGGAAACCATAGTCTCCTGCAGGCTCATCATAGACAGCTTCATTAAAATACCCTTCAATAACACAATACAATCATTTCAGATGCATGCAATTTTAGAAGGCAAGTAGATAGACCAATAAGCACTTAAAGAGATATTCAAAATAGAAAGAAAGAAACTGAGGAGGAAAGAAAGAGTGGGTTGGAAAGACATAACTTACTGACAAGCACACAGCTTAATTGAAGTAGAAAAATATTTAAATAAAAATTTACCTAAATTTATCACTTAAAACATTTGAATACTTTATAGGTATTAAACTGGAGCCCCTGTTCAAAACTTATTTCATAGCATATAATACCTTCAGGAAGAGGTTCTCCAATTTTCTGCTGCCCTTCGTAACCTTGAATTCCTAACTTCTCAATCTCATGCAGAAGTTGCTGGACTCTTTCTGCTTGTTGCAGAGCCTCAGCTTGCTTCTTCTTCACATATCTCCTTCCCAGGAATCCTCTTATGACTAAAATTGAGTAATTTTTTTTTGATTCCCTCTGATACAGGGTCCACAGTGATTTTTCAAAAAAAATAAAAAATACATCAGGAAACATCCTATCACCTGTGGACTGTGTGAAAACTATAACCTTTCTCTGGCCGAACTAAAATTTTAATTATAGGCTAACCACCACTAGATTTAATTGTTTGACTTGGTTAAGATTTTACCTTTCTGTATCACAACTGCAACTAAAGATATCTCTTCCAATTTGACAGCAAGTGACTCAATGTGGTGCAGCTTCATAAATACTTTCGTTTTTCTTGAAAAAGAAAATAAAATCATTACTCCACATCATAAACAACCTACAAGTATTTGTGAACAGCCTCATAGATCAGTGTATCAAAAATCACCAGCCAAGAATATTCAACAACAATGACCAAAATCAGAGCTTTCTAGTGGCTTTGGAGAGATAACCTGAATTGGCAGTTTTTCATTGCAGGTTCTACCGAGGCTATACCACCTGAATGAAATAAACTTAGAGGCAGTATTCAAAGACTATGTGGTTTCTTGCAGCTATGCAATTAAAATATTTTCAAACACAGATTTGAGGAGTGCAGATTGAAATTTAAGGGCTTGTTTTTTTAAGTCCTTTATGTCCATTTTGGTTGAGCATCCCTGTTTTTGAAATCTTGGTATGTTCTATGCTCAGAAGTAAACCATGATATTTGAATTGTGAAAATAGTTTCATTGGATCTATTATTGATAGTGAAACAGTTTTCACTTATGACAGATCCACATATTCCTGAACAGGTTATTCAGTTGCGACCAAGTCTGTCAAGGTGATCAGACATGTAACAGCCAACAGGTAAATCAAATATGTGGATCCAGCATAAATGAAAACTGTTTAACTATGATGCTGTGAAAAACATAATATTAAGTGCCAACAGTGTATTTATCTATTTATAAATTCCACAAACAGAAAATCTTTTTATTTACCCAAGATGGTAGCCATTTAATCCAGCTGTTTGTAGAATCTGCAAACAGGCAGCTTTGTCATCATCCTTCCTAGGTTGTCTCAGCAAAATATCATATCTAAAATGCAGGTATACATGTATGATCCAATACAAAGAGCCAAATGCCAATATACAGAGCTATTTTTCATAATATGTGACTGCCTTAAAAATACCTTCCATGGTCTGCAAACTTGGTTCATGTTGTTTTAATGTGCACAATGCTTCACTTGCCATATTGTTATCAGAAACAAAAATACTAGATGAAAAAATTATAATCAACAATGCATAATACTTATCAATACTGATTAGGTACTACCAGTATACGGCTGCCATCAAGATCAGAGATTTGTAAGGTTTGTAATTCCCAACACAAGAGCACCCAAACACCATACTAATAACATCTCTTGCTGTTGTATGAACCAACCTTTCTATGAAATCAGAGAACAGAGGTCTGTAAGCATATCCCTCCCGCCTAATCTTTGTGGTCTCCAACATTCCAGTGTAGAGAAGCTGAAGAACATGAAGAACAATTTGCATCAAAACCTTTATAGTCAAAGTTATCTTTGCAGGCCAACTATATACGTGTAAAGTAAAAACTTTGAGAAATCCTGACTGAGGAAACCGAAAACCTGATTCACTAAGTGCACTTTTCATTGACAGCTTTCTGGTCACTAATTTAACTGTTCATTTATCAGGCCTCTGTGTTCATATCATTGTATATTTTTCTTGAAGCAAACTAAAATGTTATAAAAAATCTTTATTCTTTTATTAGTCAATTTGATCTTCAGTTTTTCTGAACCTTTTTTACTGTAGATGACAATTTAAAGTACATACAAAGCTCAGTATTAAAAATGAATAATTGCACAAAACTTTCACAGATATGCCAATTATGTAACTGGAACCATTTTCACCATGGTATGCAATTAAGTTATATGCAGTTATTTGATCTACCTGCACAAAAAATTATGTTTCCAGAACATCATTTTGTTAAAAAAATTCAATACATGATGAATATGCTGGCCATTGTAAAAATATATATTAGAAAACATATCAAAACCATTTATTACCTGGGCATTAACATATGCATCATCAAATGCTTTGGGTAATTTGTCATTGTTCGGTTTGATGCAGCGTACAAAATGTGGAGTGGCAACACTCATCCTCTCCATTAGCACTTGTAAAGAATTCTGGAATTGATATATTAAATACTACTGCATTGATCTGACTTTAACTGCTTGATTTAGATTCAAACCTCTGAAAGTGGAAAAACCAAGTTTTCAAAATCCTTTTATAAATCGTACAATGCACATTATATATCATATATAGTAGTTTAGAGGCAATATTAAGAGCTATTCCCTTGTGCCTTGAAGAATGTTCGTTGACAGTCACCATTCTACAGGAGAACAATAACTAATTCCAGCTGACTGGAGAGACCAGTTGAGTCAGAGTATTTACATATCTGCTCAAAAATATCAAACTCTTAAAAATTACAGCCATTGAAGTACAAAAGCACCTAATTAACTCCTAATGTCTTATTAACCCTTTGTGATTTGTACTTGATACCTTAAACTGTGTTCCAACTGTCAGTTTTCTTTTAGAAGTTACTGGATCTGGGGTCCCCTGGAAAAATGAACACTGTATTTATTCAACAATATTTTATCCTCAATACTTAAAAATCATCCTCAATCTTGGAATAGCACCACAGTACACTGAACATAGAGTACAAGTTGACAGCACTCTTCAAAATAAAATTCGATCTTAAGATAATCCTCAGAAAGATTGTTTTACCTTTTTCAGTCTAGTTGTACGTTTTTTTGAACTTCTGTTTTGTAAAGCTAAGGTTCCAGTTCTTGTGAAGGCAGCTGTAGAAAAAATTGCAATAACTGAATTTTATTTTTCTTTTCTTTCTTTTTTTATCAAACCTTAACAAAAGTATGATATAAATTACACCTTACAAAGAAAGACAAACACTGACTGTTGCCAGGTGCTTTATTGTGTAAAACAGTAGGTTCTCTATATACAAGCAGTGAAAACCTTACACTTTCCTTGAAATCACTTTGTATTATACATATACAAAGTTGATAAACATAACTGAATTATGCTTTTAAACTGTCGATGTTCCCACCTTTGAAAACCAGCTGCAGTAAGTGGTTTTTGCTCCGCTGTAATAACTCCAGTACACCAGCTGGTATGGTATCTCTGTTCTTTTCTAACCACCTACTAGCACTGTACTCCACCTGAGACAGAATAGTATCAAAATTAACTGGACATACCCTTTGATATGGTTCATTTAAGCCAAATGACTACACAATTTTTGCATTTTTAAAATTCAAAACTAAATAATATAATCTATATGGTGAAAAGGGTAAATAGTAAATATTTTTCCAAGTCAAATAAGAATAGCATTTGGCTAAAATATACTGTGTCAGAATGATAAATTACCAATGCTTCAGTATAATAGCATTTTCATAAAGAACTGACTCTCATATGACCTACCTTTCCTGCATAGTGTGCAATGGTGAACAGGTCTGACTTTGCATTTGGTGACTTAATGAAATATTTGTTGCCCTGCAGGTTCTTGTTCAATTTCTGCACAAATGTGGAATCTGTTGCCTATAGTAAACAAATGGTTTCATTAAGATGACTAACCAACAAACTGAATGTCATTTTCATCAGCCCTTCAAATTTCTAAGCTACAGAAAATGATTTAAAAATTGAATAAACAGCACATTATATTATTGTAAGGTTTAGTTTACTTTTGTTGTGATTGAGGAGCTTGGTGTCCGGCTCATCTAATGCACTCATTTGCATAATTGACATCTTTTCATTCAGGGTGGCGCCCCATGAGTTTTGCACTTTATTTCATTCATCACAGTGTCTCCGTAGGAGGAACACATAGTACTCTTACTTTTGAATCTGTTATTTCTACTTAAAATTTATAGTTTAAAGGAATGGCAGAAATGGTGAGTTTAATACTGTTTATTGATTATTGATGATTAGTTATTTATTATTGGTGATTATTGAGATGTACAAGTTTTTTGAGTAAGCAAATTTGAACACGTAAATAACCGTTAGTAAGAACATTGTTGTAATTTCCTTTTTCTTTTCTTCTTTTTAGTTTTTACGTGTCTTGTGAATCCATGTGAATAAACCAAGATCCAGTGAAAAACACATGCCTTTTCTTTGACTTTTAATACACCTATGTAGTCCTTGCGTGCTATAATTATCTTGAATTGAAATTTCCACATACCTGAAAAAAGTTACATTGCTCTGAAAATCAACCACATATTTTTTCTTCATTTTATCTTATTTGAAAAATATCAGTAACAATATCTAATTAAGAACCTATTCTACTAGTGTGGGCAGAATCACAAACCTTTGGAAACTGGCTCTCCTCATCCAGTAGAGCTATCAGACCAATGGGCTTGGCTATAAACAGATCCTAAATGATAAAGGAATAGGTTATTCAAAGTTGCATTTTCTAACAAAAATGGCAATTTAAAAATGCAATGTGTTTATTGGAAGACTGATTATTGGCCTGAATAAATGTATGTACCAAGTCTTTCGATAATGTTGAACTCTGTACAAAAAAATTAAACAGTTCTTCATTTTATACTTTTTCTACATTTATTGAAAGGGGATAGATGGGTTGTGGTGGTTAACCAAGGTCAAGTTTTAGTATAAAAAGTCTTATTTACAACACTAACCAGCAAAGGTTGATTGTCCACAAATTTGATCTCTGTCCAGTCCACACCTTCTCTCTTGTATTCTTCTTGTTCCATAAAAAATATGTGCTGTAAAACAGAAGAAAAGACAAATTAAATAATAAAGACTAATCATGATATTTGCAAAACTTGTATATTAATGTAATTGTGCACTATGTATGTTCTTTACTTTAATTAATTCATTCATTTATATAATATTCACTGAAATTGTGACACACAATTCCATGCTTGTTCAAGAACTCTGATCATGTTACCTTGTTAAAAAAGAAATGCAGCTGCTCATTGGCCAAATTAATACAAGCTTGCTCAAAGCTGTTCCTTTCAAAGTGCTCAAAGCCAAAGATATCCAGAATATCTAAATGTAAACAGAAATGGTAAATATTCTCCACACATGCAGTACACTAATAGTGGCATGAGTGATAAAAGGTATACAGTCACAACATTGTTTGTTTGTTTGTTTTTTTTTAATCTTTAAGAATTCAACTGTTTGCATTAGCCCTTGGTACAGAATTAAGTATGTTCCCATTACTCATTAATAAATGCATTCAAACTCCCCTTACTCTGGTATATCATTTGATCTAAATCTTAAGACTGTGTCTAATTCAATGATCAAAAATTACTTTAAGGGAATTACCTATTTCCATGGCCTCTGGTCCTAGAATTTCTTTTGGAGCCAGCAGCTGGTTGATTTTATTCACAATCCACCCAAACATTCTGCCATAAATTGCTTTAGCTGTGGCATCTCTAGAGTCTGAAACACAATCCTTCATATTGACCTGAAGTCTCTATAGAAGAACAGCAATCATAGCTGAAGTTTATTATTAATCAGTTGCCATAGTCCAACTGTGCAATTTTACTTAAAGTTAACTATCATGTGGCATGGTCCTTCTCTATTTTGTGGGCTCAAACTAACCTATAAAAGCTTTGGCAAATAGCTAAACTGGCAGAAAAAAATGAAACTTATTTTGAGCTTTTCTGAAATTTTTCATTATTTTGAATCAAAATTTTGAATTGGACACTGTTTTTTTAACTATTCGATGAAAGCAAAAATCATGATTTGCGTGAACCAAAATTGTACTATGACCCAAGTTATATACAATTTCCCACTTGAAAAATGTTATACGTAATAAGCCTATGACAACTTGGGTACAAAATGTAAAAAAATGTGTCAAGTTCAAAGTATATATTTAAATAAAAGTCTTACCCTCTGCTTGTTCTGTTGTATAATTTCTCCTGATGGACTCTCCTCTTGCAAAGGTCTCTGTGAAGGTCAGCACTTCTTCCAAATCTTTTGCTTCCACACCAAGCAGGCTCTAATGCAAGAAAATAAAAAAAGGTGAAAACCATTATATTGTATCTATCAGTTTTAATCTTTAATACAAGAGTCCACTATCAAATTCTTAACAACCAAACTTTGGAAGTCATGACTTGCATTCAAAACTTGTCTACATTTGAAAAGTTAACAAGTGTTAAATGATTAATGTTGATGCTCTGAAGTGTTTTAACAAAGTTTTTTTATAATGTTATTGAATTTAACAAACATCTTTAAATGAAAAGATTGCAAAGTTCTGAAAATAGTAAGAAAAAGGGAATAGAAAATGATAAAATTCTTCAACTGAATTTCTTCTAATTCTGAACATTTTATACAAAACATAGCAATTGTCTAAACTCCATTTCACATTTCATGAAGATAATATAAGGACTAAACCCTCCATTAGGAGATAGGAAAGTTTCCATTCCATTTCAGCACACTTACTGCTGCTGCCTGGACTTTGGTTTTATCAGTGACAAAAGCTGCCTCATGGTCATTCATTTCAAATGTTACATTTCCAAGGTTCAGGACACCTGATAAAATCACAAACAAGTCTTCTTGTTCCTGAAATCCATAAACATGTAAAAAAGAAAATGAATGATACACTTTCTAATTTTATTTCTAAGTAATAATTTTAATATACAATTCTAATGCAATTCAAAACTTGTAAGAATACTTGTTGCAAGTATATTTCAATAATGGATTGAGAGTATAGGAACTTTAAAACAATGAAATATAAAATCTGTCTTTAACAACAAATAAAATAAAGTGCAACAACAAACAAGTATTGGTATTTTTATTGTGTCATTTCTGATCTACACATCATTTGGAAATTACACTTCATAAACAATAACAGTTATATCAATGCAGCACACACATAATTTTCACAATAGCCTAAAACCTAATTATTATAAATAAAAATGTAAAATATGGCACAGTAACTGATATTTAATATATCCAGCTGAGGAATTTTCACAAAAATTACCTCATCATTAATATATTTTTTTCTTACCCAAACCTTCCAACAATTCATTTTTAGCATGGTGTGGAAATACCTGTGTTATGGATGATGTAGAGAAAGAGGGTGACATAATGAAGAGTTTCACATGACTCAAATCTATACTTACATCTGCATTGAACCCAACCAGGTCCATGTGGTTCACCACCTCTTCATAGGCCATGCTTAGTCTTTCGGCATGCTTCTTCAGGCACTGAGCCCCATTGGATAGGTATCTGTATCATAAACAAAAAAAATAAAAAAATAAAATAAATGAATGACTCCAAACTTTGTCAAAAAATAAGAAACCGTATTCAGTATATCTGGGAGAATTTTAACACTCACCTATAACTATCTGCTGGACCAAGACTGTATTTCTGCTTCTGTTCTTGTGACAGCCCAGCAAGCATGTAGTAAAAGATGTGAAAGTTTTCCTCTCCTCTGCTCTGTCTGACCAGGCGTGATTTTTCTAGCAAGTATTCTGAAATTTTGGCCCCCATGACTGAAATTTAAGAATAAATAGTTGTACATCCTGATATTAGTAGAAGTAAGTCTGTTTTCCAGTTTTCAATTGTTTTTCATTGTTTACATGTTCAGTGAAAGGTTACTTAGTATATATAACATTAAATGTACTAAGCATTCACATTATTATGACTCTGTGATGATACAGGCCAATTATCTCAATTTTTTTACTTGTGGGTCCAGGATTGTATTTAAAAATACATACAAATGTATGAGAAGCAAAAAGAAAACCCTTCATTCGAGCAGAAAGCAGTAGAAAAACAGTGGCAATTGAGCCATACAAAGCCACATACCTAAAAAAGGCTTACAAATGAATACCTGTAAAATCAGCTTACCATTTCCATGTTTAAATTTTAGCTGTATGTACTTTCCAAACCTACTGGAGTTGTCATTCATCAATGTCATGGCATTACCAAATGCCTCAAGCAGAGGATTCACCTATATAAATATGTTTACTAATGGAAATATTATATAATATATTACTTTAGGCTTAATAGAATGCAATGGAGAAAAGAGATTTTCTTAAAATGAACAAAAAGTCACATTTTATCATTGGAAAGTCATATTTTTCAAACTGCAATTTATGATAACTGTATTTTATTTACCCACTGAAATCATGTTATCTCTTCATTTAAACTCATTTGACATGTTCCAATTACTCCTTTAAGACAGGGGGTGATTATCTGCATCATTTAAGAAAGAGTTTTATTGTCTGTCAATAACCTTCACATTACTTATGTAATATAATATTTAAAAAAATAGCTGTCTTCATTACCTGACAAATAAAACATCAAAATATGAGATCACACATAAAAGCTCACAATGGCCAGAGAATAGCTGAATCTTGTTCAGGACAAACAAAATTGAAACCCAATCGAGCAAATACATTCAGATGCGGGTTTTGCATGAAAAATATGAATTTGGCCTATAGGGCCATGGGAGTTTTTGAAAAGGTTATCAAATCAGTTTGATGAGGTATTTTGTCCCAACAGTTCTTCCCCTTTGCCTTTCAACCATTCTCACCTGCAATATCTGTTGTTCCAGTTGTGTGTTGCCTTTGCACAACTCAATAAGCTGCCTAATGATTAACTTGGTGCTCTCAGTTTTTCCTGCACCTGATTCTCCACTACAATAAAAACATTAATTACCTAAATACACAGTTAATACATGCAGAATTTACAAATCAATACATACATCTAAATACTGATTTATCTAAAGTATGTGTTCAATGCATGATTTTATAGATATATTCATTTTTTTTTTCTGACATAAGACTGTACATATTTTTCAAAGATTGTGTTTAAATCTGAAATTCCAATGAATAAATACTGTAACATTAAAAAATTAAAAATATATACTGAATCAGTAAAAAAATAAACTGTTATACAATCATTTACTATAAAAGTTTCTCCAAATCAATAGCTTTTAAACTAGTGAACTAAAAAGGTGTAAAAGAGAAAAAAATGACATTCATTTTAAGTTACCTGATAAGTATACACTGGTTGTTTGGGTCATTTCCACTATGACCCATCATGGCTTGATATGTGGCATCAGCCACTGCATAGATATGTGGAGGATGGGATGCCCGCTTAGACATCTTATATTTATCAGATGCCTGGATTAAAGTAAAACAATATTGACATCACATGGAACACAATGTCAAAAAAAAAAAAAAAATAATAATAATAATAATAATTAAAAGTACACATAGATAAATGGAAACAATATCTCCTCTCCTTAGAAAAGGGGGGAAAAGACTGATATTATGCCCACAGAAGTAGAGCAAAGAATTCTCAAGTTGGAGAAGAGTGTGTGTGTGTGTGTGTGTGTGTGTGTGTGTGTGTGTGTGTGCGCATGCATGTGTCCATGGCAGGGGGGGGGGGGCTCTTGATAATTTATATTTGTCACCCTTCACATCTGAATGATTTATCACAATGTCACTTTCTCACTTAAAATTAAACAATTTCATATATGTTTAGCCCCTAGCTACTGATTTCACATTTACTCTAAATCACAAATTTTGAGAATTTTACATTTTCTCATTTAAATGTTAAGATAAAGAGAAACCAATGCACATGACAAAACACTTACAAATACTTCAATTTTTATGCAGATACTGGGTTAAAGGTATTACTAGGTGCATTACATCTCTATGAACATTTGCACAGATATCAAGTGACACATGATGGTTTGCAGCCTGAGGAAACTGTTATTTGTTCTACCTCTCTTAGCTAATAGTGAATCCCGAAAAAATCATAAGTACACATGAAATGATAATAATTCATATCTGGGTATCGTGAAACATGTCAAAGGACTTTGGCCCGCTGGCAAGTTGTGCTGCAGATTTTTTTTTTTTTTTTTAGCGCCACTTTGTTTATCATTAGTTGACAAAAACATTGGTTGAGGAATACTAAACTATGCCATATAAGATACAATTTTATTTGTTATATATTTCAAGACAAACAAATGGATTATTTGCATAGGATAAGCATACAGGTATCTACTATCTTTATTGGTAAAGTTATAATAATTCATATAAAACCTGATGCTATGGGAGTTCAGAAAGAAAGCTAGATCCTGTTATAGATCATATTACAAGTATGTTCTATTTGGTTGTGTGGACTATATTCCATGTTCTTAACACACTCAGCTCTTTGTATTGATTCCATATACTTCAGTGGCTGAATAAACACACGGTTACTAAACATGCAAGCTAGCCTACATTTGGTAAATAATATAAGACTTACAGGAATTAGAAGCAACACTCAAAGTTATTATAACAATTTATAATTCTCATGTACTAGTATACATGTACATATATTCTTGCTCAAATGTAAAGTTACAAAACTGTGAAGTGTATTAACTGGTAACAATCAGCATTTTCCCTTTTTGGGCAGAATGAAAAACAATAACATTTTGATATCATTAAAATACTTACATCTTTTCCATAGATTCCAAGATCCCGAAAAGGGTTCACTGCAACTAAGATGTCCCCAATGTATGTCTGAAAGACAGGTTCGAATAATTCCAAAATCACAATATGGTTAACAGCATTTAAACAAGCATTTATTAAAGTTGCATGTGTGGTCATACAGCACAGTCTATTCATCCACAAGCTTATATAAAGGGCCATGTCTCAGTCACATTCAGACTGACACAGTCAATCACTATGAGCTGATTATAAGAACCCTCCAGTTCGATATTGGTTTATATAGACATATGTAACAGCTAGGAAACAGGTGTAGGTTTTTAAACAATTCAAAGGGGTGTGGTATATGTTGTAGACCTGAACATACTGGTATTTATAACATCCTGGTTAAAACACTGGTCAGTAAATACAAACTCCAAAATGGTTCTAAGCGAATTCTGAGCTCCACATCTATATGCTTTCAAATGGGTGACAATAACAAGAATAGTATTTGTATCCGACCTTTATGTCTCTAAAACCCATACTTACCTTTTTTTTAATATTGTGAAAAAAAAAACATATTTCATATTTTTAATTTGTTTTATTATTGTACAAATTACCACAGGGGTGTTTGGGGTGGAGGTTCTATCTGAAAATGCATGTGTACCTTTTTGGGCAAGGCACATGAAAGCGGTCTTTTTCATATCCTGTTCATTCAAGCACATCGTACAACAAAGCAAGATGATGAAGCCGCGTAACTCAGTTTTGGACAAAAAGTGAGCACCTTATGGGCGACATGATGTTCACAAATGTATTTTGATTTTTACAACATGATATCAGACGGTGACCGTTCCAGCCTCCGATACTCTTCATTCATTGCTAGTGTGCCGGTCACTAAACGTCTTTTAACTTAAAGCTAGGATAGAACATAACTTATATTTTGGGTCCTAGCTTAAAGGAGGTGGCATTACTAGTAACGTAATCCGATCCCCACTTATTTAATGGGGGTCGTGGGCTTTTTATACTCACATATATTTTATCTTTTGCATAACGAGCTTTCAGTTCGTTTAGCAGCACTTTCTCGTCTAGTTTAGGTAATTCCGTAAGGTCCACAACTTCACCTAGTGCTGGATACTCCATAATCGTCTTCTGTCACCTGTCGAGTGTGTGCATGACCTATATATTGGATTGATATTTACACTTGGTTGTGACGTCATATAGGTGAGCAATGGGCGTGACTGGCACTTCTCACGGCATTTTGTTTCTTAGCCGACAGTCATGTATATGAAAGAATTATCTTGATTATTTGCATGAATCATGCTTTGAATTTGCATAGGGCCAATAAGCACGCAATAAGTTCATATTACGGAACATGATGTATTATTTACTTACCGGGTTTCTAAAAACTATTTTTATTTCTTTTATAAATCATTACTCATACAGAATGCTTTGGGTTTCCTAAATAATGAAACTATTTTTATTTCTTTTAGATCATTACTCACATAGCACGCTGCTGTTGGTCACTACTATAAATACGATTTTACGTTTTCTTAGGACCACCCTACATCGACATTAACGCGCAGAGCTTCATTTAGGCGAAATCTCTGTACATTATAAATCGTTCTTTGGAAGGGAGCTCCCAAGTGTTTCCTGTATAATCGGTTGTATAACTTTTTTCTTAGTAAAATAAGAGAATTTATAAGAACTGTCACATAAACCAAACATTCATGTTAGCCATGTTATCAGTGAGCCTTTTTTAAAAACAGTTTAGAAATTGTTTGGAGAGAACGTAGTTTAGAACTTGACCTTCACTTTATATTAAGTCCAGTGTTTCACTTAAAGGAAAATGTATAAATACTAAGTAAATAGTAGAATAAATGTCCAGTAAGCAGCAAAAAATCAGTCCCGAGTCCTGGTGAACAAAGTTTCACAGCCCTCATTTCCCTGATGAAGTCTGTTGGCAGAAGAAATATTGGCTTGTAAATATCAGTTAGTTATTTTTGCAGCTATTAAAAATTGAAGCTTTTGAGCATGTGATGTTCAACTTCAGTAACGACTCATCTTTTCCATCCTTAAAGTTGTGAGCATTCCAATCGAATGCTACAAACAAAATTGAAAACCCAAGCAATCTGTAGTTAATTTGTGCAGTGAAAGCAAAATAAACGCTAATTGAAATATAATGTATGCATTGATCCAGATTTATGCATACAAGTTTGTGTACATGTATAAGCATTATTTTGACTTGCATCACGAAGAACAGCAACTTCCATTTTTTTTCTTCCTTTATTTTTTTCTTATAACTTGGCATTTCATATATTTGACACTTTTACACAACTTTTGGGCCCATAAACATTTTTAGCAGCGAATTCCATGGGCTCTCCGTAGAATTCTGAAGTTATAAGCAAATAACTTGTATTAATGGGCTTTCAAATCATGATTTTAAGTAAGTTTTATATTTTACTTTTTTTTTCTCTCTTTGCCACTTTGCACCTGGTGAACTCTATCCAGTTTCAGCCAGTTTTTTTTAACATAACAGAACTCATATTGTCTATATTCATTGTAATAAATATGCCCAAACTGATGTCACAAGTACATGTATATAAAATCTTCTCAATCACATTTGTTACATTACACTTGTCAAAAAATCCGCTCCTTGGGACATGAACCCTGTTGAAAAGACTACATATACACATAAATGGTCTCATTTTGATTGATGGTGAAATGCTCTAGTCATCAGCCAGTTGTGTTTACAGCTTGTCAAGGTAATCGTCCAACTTGGGAAGACCCTCCTTCATCTTCTTGCGAGCCCTCGTCTCAGAGATGACTATGGCAGTCTTGCTGCCCTCTTCAGTTACATCGCCTGGCAGCAGGTCCCAGTGATCAAATACACACTGTGGGAAGGCCTGTCCCCCCGTTTCTTGGCGGATGTGTGACACAAAACCTAAATAACAAAAGACCAACAAATAATTCAGTTCACCTGCAGACTTAAATCAGAACAGTATCAACAACATCAAGCCCATTTCTCTTTCTTTTTCACAATAGACGTCTGGCTAAAATAGCATCAGCTACTATACTAGGTAACATTTACAAGCAGGTGGTAATCTTTATGAGTCTGTAAGAAGATGAATGACAGTTTCTTAATCCTGTTTCAAATGGTGACTTACCAAAAGATTCATTTACAGGCAAGAAAGCCTTGACCGTGTACTGCACTCCTCGATCAGTTGTGGCTTCATTCACTGTACCTCTTCGTTTATTTAACACACCATAGATATTGCCTACAACTGATTCAGGTGCCTAAAAGACAGGATTGTACATTATAAAATTACAAATGCCTATGACTAGTGCATGCTTTTCACAAATACAAGTTCAAATATGTATGTCACAAGCAAGACTGAAATCCAGGCAGAATAAAATGGTTATTCAATCAGAATATGTCTTTGCTAGTTTATACCAAAGTGCCAATTGCCAAATTAAGGCAACTGTGTGAATCACTTTTGATGGAAATTGTTGGCAAAGCACAAAATAATGGTTAGTTTCCCATTCAGCCCATAGGGGCATATACTGTATATAAAAGAAACTTGCAAAGGACCCTTTTCTTCTTTTCTACAGGTCTTGGAGAGAAATCAACTGACAATTTTTAGCAATTACAACTTACCTGGATTTCTACTAAGTAGACTGGCTCCATGAGTTTGGGTCTAGCCGTCAGTACACTGGCATACAGTACTCTTCTTGTAGTTGGGATAATCTGACCACCACCTCTGTGGATAGCATCAGCATGGAGAGTCACATCACAGATGTTAAAGCGAACCCCACGCATGTTTTCTTCACAGAGCACACCCTAGCAGAAGGTTTGAAGGTAAAATGACATATCACAAGGCATCAAGTTATAATGGACCTTCAGAGAATAGAAGGGTTTAGATAACATATGAATGGCATTACAAAAACAAATATAATGACAAAAATGGCCTCCTTAAATTAATCTAAAAAGACCCATCACACCTTCACTTGTAACAACATGGATTACTATTCAAAACTGAACACATTTCATATTTAGCACCTATGTAATCAAAACAAAATTTACTGTCAAAAATATTTTTCACATTTATTTTTTATGCCAATTAAAAGGTTTCACAGACTACTTTTTTGCTGCCCACTTTGTTGAGATAGCTTTTAAAGCAGTTTGTGAGCCTTGCTGTCAGTTGGCCTCTTGTTTGTCTAATTTCTTCTAGGTGTTTCATGGTTTTTACCTATTTACAAGGAGGCTGAACTCCCAAGTATATCGAGAAGAATAATTTAGGCATTTTGAAAATAGAAATAAAATTCAACTCCATGGCCAGATATTGTGAATTATTTTGGTGTTATTGTTGTTTTTACCATTAATTTAATGAAAGTCTATTTCCATTCGTCTTCCATGACAATTATAAATTAATAACACGTTTTTGTATTTCTTTCTTAAAACTCTGAAAGGGAGAAAAAACAAAACCCCACCTCTTTTGTTGCCCACTGGAATCCAGCAACCACACTTTCCTTGATCTCATTCAGGTACTGCACTCCCTTGGTGACATCTATAACCATGTTGGGGCCAGTACCCTCAGGCCCAAAGCTCCAGATCTTACGAGCTTCATTCACGTCCCAGTCATATGTATCAGCCAGATACCTGCCACGCTCCTTGGGGTCCTGTCTTGGTGTTACCTTGCCCTAAAAAATCAATGACATGGAAGTCATAGAAGAACTTTTATCAACTGTGTTGTTATAAGAATGGAATGAATTTATTTTATTTTGAAATGAATTATAGTAATGAATTTTTCTGTAATTGGCAGCTAATATTGGAATTATTTACCTCCAATTTTTCAAAATATTGGAGGTGAACAATGCAATATAAACTGATGATTGAAGAAAAAATAGCTACCTTTTACTTACTGACATAATACTTTCATTTCCACATCTATCACTTACCTCAAGCAAATTACCAGAGTTGAATTTTAAATTTCAGGCAAAGTATTTTAAACAATGGTAATAAGAAATTAATGATTTGATTATTGCACTAATACTGACTGTTCATCGATTCACACACATCCCTTCCACCCCTTAGGGCCAAGCATCTAAATGTCTATTATAAAGGCCTCTCAAAAAGTTCTTAGGTTTAGATAGTTCCTATGCATTCATGTTTTTTTTTTTTTTAAATATAAAATAACACTTACATCATCTATATCTTTAGGTAGTCCATCTGGCATGGGCTGGGCAGTCATGTAGAGACGGTTGTGCTTGTTGGGGGATTTGGAGAGACATGTCATTTTGGACATCTCTGCCACAGTCTCGCGGTAAGACACAACAGGTGGGGTCACCTTCAGTGGGATGCTAGCATGCTCCTCTTCCAGATCTTTAAGGCAGATCTCCAAATGTAATTCTCCTGCACCAGCAATAATGTGTTCACCAGATTCTTCAATACAACACAACACCATAGGATCTGACTTGGCCAAGCGCTTCAGACCTTCTACAAGCTTAGGCAATTCAGCAGGGTTCTTGGCTTCTACAGCTACTCTCACAACAGGGCTGACAGAAAACTTCATCATCTGAAAAATACAAAATTGTGGCCTTATAAATGTCTCTTTGTCAAAGCTATGTGTATGTGATAAACTGTCTGCACAGAAATCACTTGCAAATCCTGCTATCCAAAATAACCAGTATTCAAAAAGTTATCAAAATGTGCAAAGATATACCAATTTTAAAACAAATGCTAGATATTTTTCATCACGCCTCATTATCACAGCTAAAATACATTTCAATCAATTTTTTTTATTTAATAATCAGCATTAACAAGTAAAAAATTTGATACTGTCCACAGACATCAACAACCAATGTCGATTTTTGACATCGAATGATTTTGGAAAAAAAAAAGCATTTTGTCAATCAGAAGAAAATGTTAGTTGGCAGTGAAGTTGGTACTTGTATTGTTATTTTAGAGGATGTTGGCATAGGTCTAAATTTGTAAAAAACAAAACTTTGAGACTAAATCGTTTGGCACTAAGCCTTTATCAATACTGCTTATCTAAGGTTTGGGAAAAATTTGACCCATTTTATTATCAAAAGCTGAACTTAAAATATATATCCCACTTACCTTCATGTTGTGTGCCTGATCAAAAGTAGTAATGGTGCCAGTCTTCACCAAGAATTGATCCACACCAACCAAACCGCAAATGTTACCACAGGGAACATCCTCAATTGGCTCAGTGTAACGACCCATCATCAATATGGTCCTACGAATAAGACAAACAAACGAAATTGAAACAAACAAACATGGACAAGTTACAACTGTAACAAAAATCAGAAAAATGAACAAAGTCCCAAAACTGTCAAATGTACAGACAACAAGGCAGCAAAGCTGTCAAATGTACAGACAAAAAACAGAAAATAAAGATGCAAAATAGGTCATTTTGTCAATTTTGATGCAANAAAAAACAGTTTCCAGTTTATCGTGTTATCGGTAAAAGTGCACGGCGACGGCGACGACGGCGACAGCGACGACGGCGACGACAGACGCAGATGATGGCTATATGTACAGACACATCTGTGTCTGTACATAAAAAGCAGAAATTAATAATGCAAAAAAAATTTACACAATACACAATAACAGGTTTAACATCATTTTTATATTATTGACTAACAATATTGTTAAGATGCAGAATGTCAAAAAACACTTATGTATTTGATTAGGTCAATAATGAGACTGTTAACATTCCTAAGAATTGAATCAGAGGAAATGTGAAAAAAAAAAAACAGCATAACTTCTAAAATAATGGCCCGATTATGCTGATTTTCGAACTCAACCTGCGTATATATATATACAGGGCTCAACATAAAGCATTTTGCCCAAAGTACCCACCACATTTCATAGATTTTTTTAACAAAACATTTATTTTTCGATTTTGACATTGAACCGAGTAAAATACGTTTTCGTTAGTTCTGCAAAGCTCGCTCATGCGCTTCTTCTATGATATCTCGTCTATGTAAGACACCCTAGGAATTCACTTCTGTAGTATCGGGGGTGTTTGAATGCAATGCATATTTATTTAGTTAAATAATAACATTGCTACAATCCTACATCAACAAATTTCAATTTAATATTGTAATATTGAATGAACATTCTGTGTTTTCAGGTTCACTTCGAGTCTCTCAAGCATTTGCTTGCTGCCAATGCTGTTGTGCAGGTGGTCAGTGGCCAAGGTCCCATTGACAGGATTGTTCAGAAGCGGGGAGAAAAGAACAAGGAATTCATCCTGAAGCTCTTCAATACAGTGTATTTTGTCATCCACTATGAAATGCCATTCACCAGCTTTCCTAACATGCTTCAGTCTAGTCTGGTGTATATTTTTTTCATTGTTTACTTTTAATGTAATATGTAGTGTATGATTTGCAATGAATGTTAGCAATTTTTGAAGTGAATGTCATTGAATGATTTCATTCATATTTTATTGATATATTTTTTGTTATTTAGTTTCAGCTGCATAAAAATTAAATATTTCACAATGATGTAGGATCATGCCGTTGTACATTGTAATAAGGTATTCATTATCCACAGTTTGACTTTTAATTATATGAACTGAAGTCACTGAATGCAACTGTGACAAATAACAACATAAAAATGGTTACATAACTGAATTCATTTCATTTAACGTTGATCAAAAGCCAGAAATTCCCGTTAAAAAGGAGAGCTAGAAAGAATCTGAGGGGGCAAGTGAAAATTTTTGCCACTTGCCCCCCCAGGGCAAGTGGCCAAAAAAGTTAATGTTGAGCCCTGATATATATATATATATATATATATATATATATATATATATATATATATATATATATCAGGGCTCAGTAAGATTGATCACTCCTGTGAGTTTCAAGACAATAGGCCTAGGGGTTATCTTTGAAAAAGCCTATCGGTTTTCCTTAAAATTTTTTATCAGTGTTGCACATATGCTGAAAAAGTCCGCCCAATTATATAGTAATGTATGCCGCATTACTGCTGCAAGAACAATATCACAAATATATGATTTTACTTCATATGCAACTTTAAAAAAATTCTTTTGACAATAATTTGAGACAATATTCATTGAACATACCACACACAATATTCAAGACAGTGAAAAGAAATTGTAGATCAATTACCAGTACCAGGTACAACCAGTCACATGAATGTGTGTGAAATTAATCCTTCATTAAACAACTTTCACTTTGTCAGCTGGCACTATTGGATAACTGCACCCACCTCTGAATGTTCTTGACATACAAATCTTCCTTCTTGCCAGGTTTGAAGTTGGGGCCCATGATGCGTGCCTTCATTCCAGTGGCAATGGTACCAGAGAAAACACGACCAAAGGCATAGAAACGACCCTTATCAGAGGTTGGCACCATCTTGGAAATGTACATCATCAATTCTCCCTTTGGATCACATTCCTTCATAGCTTATTAATGAAAAAAGTTTTGTGACCATCAATTGAGAAAAAGTCTCAAGAGCAAAAATATGTTTCATACTAATATATACAACAAAGTACCACAACACCTCATTAACAAATGACATTGGCATTTTATAATATTCCACTGAGTGAAAAAACCATCCTTTTTGACTTTTAATTGCCTTTAATTTGGGGTGACCAAAAAGTAACTGCTAAAGCTGCTTATAACAAAATATTGTTTTTAAGTAAATGAAAATTAAATGTACTGATAATATATGACAAGCAGTTTATTAGCACATTAACCAAAAGGATTTACCTTGTGCAACCTTGTCATCAGGAGGTCCTTCATACAACAACTCTGTGCGGTACTTTTGGGAGGTCACAGGAGAGGGCAAATGTACACAGATCATCTGCAGCAGGGCATCACCTGCTGGCAGCCACTTGCGCATGACAGCCTGAAATTATGTTCAACTAGAGGATCAGAGAGGCGATACCGCCTCCAAATATTGTACCACCAGCTGGAGCAAACGCATTCGTATAGACCCCCACATACACAAAATAAGGGACACAGCCACCAGTTTTGTGCTTGACAAGCTGTAAAAATGCAATCAACAAGAATTTTTAAACTATTGCAAAAAATATATATGGTACAATCAAATTTAAGTTCCTCGTAAGGTAGGTCAAGGGTCAATTTCAAGGTCACAGTAAATTGCCAGTATATGACTTCCTATTCAAGTTCAAGAGTAACTATGGACCTATCTCTGTCAAGTTTGAAGTTAAAAGAGAAAGAAATTAGCAGAGTTCAGTTCATGATAAAAAGTAGGTCAAAGGTCAATTTCAAGGTCACACTTAGATTGCCAGTATATGACTTCCTATTCAAGTTCAATAGTAACTATGGACCTATCTCTGCCAGTTTTGGAGATAAAAGGGAAGCAAAATTTGCAAAGTTCAGTTCATGGTGAAAAGTAGGTCAAAGGTCAATTTTAAGGTCACATTTAGATTGCCAGTATATGACTTCCTATTCAAGTTCAATAGTAACTATGGACCTATCTCTGCCAGTTTTGGAGATAAAAGGGAAGCAAAATTTGCAAAGTTCAGTTCATGGTGAAAAGTAGGTCAAAGGTCAATTTTAAGGTCACATTTAGATTGCCAGTATATGACTTCCTATTCAAGTTCAATAGTAACTATGGACCTATCTCTGCCAGTTTTGGAGATAAAAGGGAAGCAAAATTTGCAAAGTTCAGTTCATGGTGAAAAGTAGGTCAAAGGTCAATTTCAAGGTCATAGTAAGATTGCCAGTATATGACTTCCTATTCAACTTCAATAGTAACTATGGACCTATCTCTGCCAGTTTTGGAGATATAAGGGACTAAATGTTATAATTTTGGAGTTACCATAATGTGCCTTAAATTTCGTACAGAAAAAATTAATTAAAATAAAGAAAATGTCATTTTGGTCAAAATTCTTGAAATAGGAGGTGCTCTGAAGTTTCAGAAGTTCAAATTTGATGAAATAATGTCATTTTTGAACACAAGTTGTCTGCTTTGCCAAGCCTTATGTTTTATTTTTCCAGAGTTCAAAATTTATTATCCATTACCGTACTGCACATTTTGCTTTTACCACCAATATGTACTTTTTGATACAGCGTAACTCGAAAACCGTATGGAATACAAAAAAACCGAGACCACCTCCAGTGTTGGGCTTTACATGCTCTACAAAATGCAAAAAAGAATGGGTCTCTAGCATTAACGGTTCCCGAATTAGAGACAGTTTTCAGTTTCGGTATCTTATGGCCGCTACTCCCGTGAAAATGCACCGATTGACCCCAAATTCATGGAGATGAAAGATGACCTGAAGGGTAACACTTTCCAATAATATTATTGGTTAAGTCTGTGTGGTGTCTGAATAACAGGGCAAAAAAAATTTTTTTCGTAAAAAATTTCATTTTTTTGAAAATTTTGGCCCATTTGACCTTGAAGTAAAGGTCAAAGGTCAAATCCAAGGGTATATTTGAAATCTACACATATGACTTTTGGAAAGCCGTCTATAGAAATTTTTCCCATAACTCCTTCCGTAGGGTAGATAATTAGCATTTAATTTTGCCATTTTTAGACAAGGGTGCATTGCAATGAGTGCCACACCCAGACCCCAATACCGACAAAGCCCAAATTTTACGTGGAACGAGTTGAGATTATAGGTGACCTAAATCCATGAGATGGGTACGGGGGCCCTTACCGTCTAGGAGGAGAAGCGGTAACGGTAGCCGTCCGGCGGAGCCGGCGGAACGATCCGGACGGGACCGAAACCATGTGTACCGCCAGCGCAAACGCTGGTGGTACAATTACAGGATAAAACCCAAAGTGCTGTAATTTTTTTTATTCTTTTCAAATTTTAAGCCAATACTGTAGCTAAATATGGCCCTAGCTGTGAAGAAACAATTTTCCAAATTTCATCTCATTCCACGGTGCTTCGGGGAAAGTGGTCTAAATCCACACCAGAATGGAGAAGACTACGCTACATCACTTGCTACCAAATCTCATGAGACTGATTTTTTGGGTTCTTACATTGTAAAATAAAATTGACCAATACTTACTTTGAGAAGAGGCTTATCTTTCAATTCTTTTTCCTCGGCAGACAATTTGACACCCATCTTCTCTATCAACTCCAGAACAGGAGTCTCAACATTTTCATTCTCCAAGTTAAGACCATCCACACATTTGTTGAAGACCTGAAAAGCCGATTAGCCCTTTCAACATGTAAGTTTTTAATTAGGTTGGGGAAATCAAGACTATTAGCATAAGCAAAGATGCTTCAAGATTATCTTTTTTATTTTTAAGTTGTAGTATGGTGTCTGTGCATTAAAAAACAACAACTTACATTGTAGATAGGAGTCAAGACATAGAGGGTAAACCCACGTTGACCTGACTTATCATCATTATTCTTAGCCCACTTCTTGGTCTTGGGATTAAAGAACTGGTCTCCCCAAAGCCTCTTCATCAGTTTTGCTGCTGGGACTTTGAATTTGGTGGCATACATATCAGCAAACATCTTCAGAGTGAAAGCCCAGCCGTGGAGACCTGACCCAAACCCAACCGTACCCTTAGTTGGTTCCACCTAGAATGATAGTAATCAAAGCAATTCAATGCCACTTTCTGTACCTGTAATCAGAACACAAGTGTGACACTAAAATACTTAAAAACAAAAAACCCATGCACAATGTTACTTAATTTTTATCAACCTACAAAGTGTTATAAATGTGTTAAGTTTAAAAATAGAACAAATGTAATTCTTGAAATCATGAGTAAAATTTTAGGTATTTCTTACCCATAGCCTGTTGGTGAGAAAGAAAAATTATTTAAGTTCTGTCACTGAATAAAGGAGCATTAGTGAACTCACAGTAAAATCTCCCATGGGACCATCTTCAGAAGCATACGTGGAAATGATCACATTGACACTTTCAATGGTACGTTGAAATTCGGTGTACATGGCTTCTCTATCCAACCGAAGAGTCAGGAGACCCAAGTCCATCTTGTTCATAAAAAGGACAGGCTTGATACGCTCAGCAATAGCCTGGCGCAGAACAGTCTCAGTCTGTACACAGACACCTGTTGGGTATTTGATGAAGAAAAATCAAACTTGACACCAACAATCAAAATCATGTAAAACAAATTACAGTCAACAAGTGCTGTGCAACAAGCAATTTCTCACCCTGTGCCAACTAATATTCCAATATTCAGCTGTTCACCAATAGACGTTCTATGGACTTTAATATAATTTTTTTCTTATGACTTGAATTGATACATTTCATTATCCAGTGAAACACCCATTCCTCATTTTCAACAATTGAGCAAATGAGAATCATCCAAGAAAGTTCAAAGCCTTGCAACTTATCGAAAAATCAATTGCCATTCTTCAGAATTTGAATAACGGCAAAACAGTTTCAACCTCAAGGCCATGTAAAAAGAGAGCCCCATCTCGTGTGGATTCTAACGTTTTCTAGCCACACAGAGGCAAAGGCCTTGTTAAAGGCCATCTTGCACGATTCCCACTGGCAAAGAGAAGCAGCTTGTTTAAAATTTTTATGTCATAATATCACTCCTTGTACCTGAAACGCAGTCAACCACAACTAGAGCACCATCTGTCACACGGAGTGCAGCAGTCACTTCAGAAGAGAAATCAACGTGACCTGGGGAGTCGATTAAGTTGATCAAGAAACCCTTCTCCTCATTGTATTTTTGAAACATGATATCCTTATCTTTCTCGGGGAGCTCATAGTAGAGAGAGATGGCGCTAAAAAGATAGGGATGTTTAAGAAATAAGTTTGAACAACCATCTTCCCACAAATTGTTAAGTTCCTTAAAATCCCTTATAAAAGTATAGTGGGGTGCAATGCTAAAATATATACAAAATTGGAAGCTGTACTATAAATTTTCTCTGAACATTTTCCATTTTAATACCTAAGAATTACATTATCATTGTAAATACATCTATGTAACATTATAAAATGCATCTTTTCTTCAAACTATTAATTTTAATGAAATATTTGGTTTTGACTTCTATTCACATCTTACGTTGACTTGATGGTGATGCATCTCTCCTGTTCATCCTTCCTGGTATCAGTGAACCGCGTTTCACCAGCTTTTGCAGAAGCTATAATACCAGCTTTACTGACTAAAGAATCAGTCAGGGTTGATTTACCATGATCTACGTGAGCTATCACGGACATATTTCTTATGTTCATTTTGTGATCCATGATCTCACGGATCTGGTCTACCGTGAAGTTCACCTAAAAATGAAAAATGTGTTAATAGTGTTATGTTTTAACATGAAATAAAGATACACACTTATATTTGACAATCTCAGTAATAACCATTTTATCACATAATCAAATTTATTTGACTCACTTGAACTCTACAAATGGACTATAAATTACATTCAATGTACAAACATAATATTAGATAAGCCCAATTTTCGAGAGACAAAAACAATATCATAAGATGACAACTCGTCTTAAATGCAATTATCCGACTTTGCACTATATCCGATTGCACAACCTTATTGTAATCTATGGCGTGTTATAGAAAATTCAGAGACCACATTTTTTTAGGACATCCCATGCAAGCCGGACAAAAAACCCATACGGCTAACACAGTTCTTACTAAAGTACGTTCAATGTTTATCCTTGAAAGAAAATATTATATACCTAAAAGTATGTGCCACATCATCCTCTGTGAATCACGTATGTAACACTTTTTTCAGCTTATATTAAAAGCACAAATTGGCGGCGTGCTCGTAAAAATACTATTCAAATATGGGTGAATATGATATGTAAGTCAAATAAATAAGTTGAAAATGCGCGATGACACTTACCATTTTGGATTTTTTTCGCTTTCACACAACCTCTATATTACATATGTTGTGTACTATGGCGGACTACGGGAAAAAGGAACGACCTTTAGGTCACGTGATCGGATAATACGTCATGCAGCTTTCTGTTTTAACTAAAATAGGTAGATTTCAAAAATCCAGTTTATCTCTGAATCATTACATTATACATAATTTTACTCACATACTTTCACAAAAATTGTTGGTTTTTTGTTCTGATTATCAGCATTATATACTATTACAAAAATTAAAGAACTTTATTTCCGCGAAGTGGCGCAAATGATCTCAAACGTATCACAGTCCACTGAACGTCCGAATGTTGCACATGGTTCGACGCTACAAACATCGATGATGTGAGTGTTAAATTTAGAACGTCCCTTGCAAAAGTTGCTGCCGAGGCAAATATTCAGCATGGATCTATGTATAAAGTCTCAATATATCCGGCATGCAAAAGAAACCAAGAAGAGGAGCTGTTTTCGGACGTGAACGTGCTAAATATATAATAATTACGTGAAACAAAATTTCTTGAACTGAGGTACATGAACTGTTGGATTCTCGTCGTCTGGTTTAATTTTTTGATAAAAGTAATTAGTCGTCAGTACAGGCAGTAGTAATAAGAGTCCTGTAGTTTTGTCTTCCTTCTTTCACCCCCGTTAAATTTTTATGCCAGGTATGTTGAGAGAAACTACTTTTATCAGTATGAAGACTTGGGTTAAACTATTATGAGACCAGACTGCCTTCTTTTATTTACAGCATGATCTTGTTTTTTTAGGTTGCATAAAGTACGATTGTTGTGAAAGAAGCACTTAGCAATATGTCTATATTTGAAGATATTCTGAGTGACCTTGGGTCATTTGGACCATACCAGGTTATTATTTTCATACTGGTCAGCTGTTTTGAGACCCCAGCAGCATGGGTGATGTTTTTGCCAGTGTTCACAGGGGCCAAATTACAGTGGGCATGCCCAGTGGAAGCTGACCAAAACAATAACCGTACTGATTGGTACAATGTGAATGGTACAGTTCAAAATTGGAGCATGAACACGTGTACGCCTGATAATAAAGTTTGTGAAGGGATACAGTACAACCAGGAATTTACATCTCTTATGTCTGAGGTGAGTTTGCTATGTAGAGGAGATATGGTAGTGTCAGTAAAATTGTTTGGTTAAGACTGTTTTGAAGAATGTGATGTCATCAATTTTTTAATTGATGCAGAAGCTATGAAAAACAATTGAAAACAGACAAATGGAACCAAAAACACAACTGCCTAGGCAGAGGTTATAAACAAGGATATGTGCAAAATCTTTTAGATTAACCTTGCAAGATATTTATTTTCTTTAAAAATTACAAGCATGGTACGAATTAAAATTGACAAGTAGTGGCGCACATGCAACATATGTAATAAATTCTCTTATGAAGTTGTGATTCAGTATTGTGCATCAATATTCATATTTCAGTGGAATTTGATTTGTGACCAGGCCTTCGTCAGCGAACTCATCACCACTATTCAGATGATAGGTGTTCTGGTGGGGGCATGCATCACAGGGCAGTTGGCAGACACATTTGGGCGGAAGCGTGTTCTGTATGTGGAGTACACCCTCATGTTGGCTGTATGGTTTTCCAGCTCCTTTGTCACATCCTGGCACCTGTATGCTGTATTGAGGTTTATCATTGGTGCTTTATTTGCTGGTAGGTGTATGGTAAGGGTGACCCGCCAAATAGCAACTAGTGGTGGAAATAACTTATAAAGTTCCCTTTGCCTGGCTCGCCATAGTATTTGTGAATAACTGGGATCTCGATTACACACTAAAAATTTTGTCCTGGAGTCTGTTTTTAATATTTCACTGTTTATTACTAGTATACTTTAATATGTAGCTAAACAAAGTCAAAGCTTGAGCAAAAAATGTTCATTTTCTTGGTAGTTCTATCATAAATGAAATTTATCAAACACAAAACATCTGCTCACATCAGTCTTATGAAGGCCTACGTCCAGGTTGGACGTAAGCTAACGGTTTGAAAGTTTCTCGGCTTGTGTTTGATAATTTTCATTTATAAAAGTCAAGGCTTCCTTTCAAAGCCAAATTTTATTATGGGCTTTCTGTGTACATTGCCGTTCTGTAAAACTTACATCATGTTTAAACTTTGATTATCTGTTTTAAAGACCCTTCTGAAGTTCCACTCCTTTCAGTATCTGTTACAGCTACTCTTCTGTTGTTGCCCTCTTCTATGGATACTTAACAAGTTAAATGAATATACTAGACATGGCTCAGGGTCAGTTTGCAGAAGGTCATGCATAGATATTCATATCTTGAATATTACTCTTCAATGAGTTCTTCACTTTAACATTTTGTACACTTTAAAATTTTCATCATATCTTTAAATGCCTCCTTTTTACATTTTTGCAAGCTCAAAATTTACTCAGAATATTTTTTGCCCGAACTGATATTCATGCTTGAAAGTAAAAAGCATGCTTTTATCTCTTAGAACTATTGAATTATTCCTGAACACCTGCCATTTAAAATATTTGAAAGTCATTCAATGTTTATTTCAGGAGTAATGATAGTAAACTTTGTTCTACCTATTGAGTTTGTTGGACCACAGTGGAGGACATTCTGCGGCTGTATAGGGTTCTGGGCTGTGGGCGTCATGACATTATCTCTGTGGGCCTACCTGATACGTGATTGGAGGACCTTATGTATTGCTACATCAGTTTCCAGTGTGGGCATCCTTCTGTCTTGGTGGTAGGAAAACTAACTAAATGTTTTTACCACGTGTATTTCATCACCATTCATTCTGTACTTTGCAAGGTCATAGAACAAAGAGCTGAAAGTTGAAAGCCAAATACTATTTGGTACTGGGGCATAAGTGATTTGTATTCTTGAATCAATACTTAGCAGCTGCTTATTTGTGCCCTCCTTAGTTCAAATTTCCATCAAACAAGTTGTTGAATGTGAGGCAGGTTTTGAGATTCATTATCATAATTTCTGGATAATTTCACACTTATATTGCTTGTATTTGTATGTTAAGAAGTTGATTTTATTGAACGGTATCTCCTTTAGGGTTGTACCAGAAAGTGCACGCTGGCTGGTGCAAAAAGGAAGATTCGAAGAGGCATATACTATTTTGAAAAGAGTGGCAAAGTTTAACAAAAAGACAGCACCAGACATTACTATGTTACAAGCTGCAGTTGAGGTTTGTTATCTTTACATCTTCTTATGTTTAAAGGATAAGCCATAGACATTTACATAAGTAAAAAAAAAAAAGGAAAGAAATGTGAAAGTCTTCCTTTTTTAAGATTATCAAATTTGTTATTGAACTAAATGAATAAGGACTTATATATAAGGATAAATAATTATAGTTAATTAGAAATTAAGTTGAACATGGGGCTTGGGTAATTTCTATGATTCTTTATCCATTTTTACAGGAAGAACAAAATAGATTGAAAGAAAATAAAAAGTACAGTTATTGGCATCTATTTAAGACTGTTCAAATGGCCAAGAACACTTGTACATCATTGTACATTTGGTGAGTAGTAAAGTGAAAAGGTCACTTTTGCCACAGTTTTTTTTTTTTTAACTTAAAAATTTTATCAAAATATATGTAAGAAAATTAAGTCTTGATACATAGAATATAATATACCCTTTTTTCCCCAATCCATAATTTTATTTATTTTTCAGGTTTGTGTGTGGGTCGGTGTATTACGGAATCTCTTTTAATGTAAAAAATCTGTCAGGAGACCGTTACATAAATAATTTCCTATCTGGACTGGTTGAGATTCCAGCCCTCATATTAGTGGTGGCAATCAACAATAAGTGAGTGTGAAAAGAAAGAAACATGATATAAAACAGAAACTGTGTAAAACTGTTGGGTTCATTGGAAAGTACATTTTAAATCGAAAAAATGCCATATGTGACATGATATTATGCATTTAAATTCTGTTATGTAGTGTTCAAATGGACAATTCGATGATCGCTGTGAATTAATGTGGTTTGTTGAAATTTAGAGTGCACTTATACATGGTCTTGCTTTCGAGAATACTTTTTTAATATTGCCATATTTTTCTGATTTTAGAGTTGGTAGAAAAAAGACACTGTTTGCTCTTCTCATGTTGGCTGGTTTGTCCAGTTTCTCAATATTTATTATATCATTTTCAAGTAAGTGAAATTATCTATTTTTTCACTTTGCCCATTTGACAAACAAGTTTTTTTTTATTCTAAAATAAGTAGATCAAAATTTCATTGTTTTGATATTGTTCTTACTCATGCTAGTAATTGTAGCCTCTGATATGTGATAGCAGAAGCAGGTACTTTCCTTTTTTTTTCATTTAATATGAAACTAAAAGGTTAAGAAGCTTTTACAGAGGGGAGAAAGATATAACAGAGGGGTAAGGATGCAATTTTCAGAATTGTCTTATTTGGAATTCCCCTATAACTATAATGCCATTGGGATTCCCTCAATTAAAGGTGAACTGAAGGAGCAAGTTGTGCTGACTCAAGTACTAGCAATGTTGGGGAAGTCTGGAATCAGTGGAGGCTGGGCTGCTGCACAAGTCTTCTCTGCTGAGATGTTCCCAACTGTGGTCAGGTAAGAAGGATAGCTTGTTTGTTGAAAACATTTTTTTTTAGTTCGTGAGGGATTATACATCTTAAAGGGATAACAACTCTTCATATGAGATCTATATTTCACAATAAATACATTGCAAACAACTCATAGAAATATAATGTATTCTTTTTTACCACAAAAAAAAAAAAAAAAAACGGCAGTAATAGCAATTATTCTAAAATCTGTGTGTGTCTTCAGACCACATGACCTCCATAGATGGCTATACTGTTTAATAATCTCTTTTTAGAAAAAGAAACAGGGACTAACTTTGAATGTTGAAATGGATTCATTAACCATTGGTAATTATGGGAAAATTGTCGTTTACCCCAGGAATTTTTTTTTTTTTTTTTTTTTTTGCCAAAATGAACAGTTGTTATCCTTTTAAGAATAAATGACAGTGCTTTGTTATAAGCCACTTTGAAATAATGTATGAAAATGTTAAAGGTACAATCCATGGGTTTGAAAATCCCCAAAATTTTTGCCACCTACAACTTATAAAACCTTACATACACCTAAAAATGATTTAACCCCTTAAATATGTTTTCTGGAGTATATTTTATATTGATTTCCATTAGAGCTTATAGGGAAATGGTCACTGTTGTAATGACTGGCCAGTCATTTTAAGCTAAAATCAACCTTTATAAGTTTTATCTAAGGTCGAATCCAAGTGCAGAAAGGGATAGATAAATCATAGAATAATTCATGAATTCGAGAAAATTAATTATTTTCCCAGGAAAATCCATTTTAGCAGGTAAATCTGATAGAGTGTACCTTTAAGCCACATTTACACTGTGAAGTCCAATGAATTTGTGAAGAGTTTTAAAATTTAAGAATAAATGGCAATGGGACCATTCAGAATGAGAAGAGCCGAGTGCTAGCTAGGCCACAACCTAAATATGGCGGGCCTACATGAAAGAAAGACCACTTAATCCTGTAATGGTCTCTCTGCCTCTCACACACCTCTCCACGCGTCGTCCCTGCAGGGGCACAGTAATTAAATCTCGGCTCAATTCAACCAGTCGAGGGACGACACGTGGGGAGGCGTGTGAGAGGCGAAGAGACCATTACAGGATTAAGCAGTCTTCCTTTCATGTAGGTCTACCATATTTAGGTCATGGTCTAGCTAGCACTCGGCTCTTCTCATTTTGAATGGTCCTAATGTTTCATAACAGCCAGAATGGTTTTCAAAATTTACAACTTGTTTTAAGATGACTTATACCAAAACTTGCTCATAGTAGTTATGGGCCTGTAGATTTAGACTCATTTATGGTTGGTTTCCTATAATTTTTCATTTGTGAGGGTCTATGATGTTGTGACTGTAAAGCCATGTTTCTCTTCATGATTTATTGTAGGAATTTAGGCTATGGTGCCTGCTCCATGTCAGCCAGAATAGGCCTAATATTAGCTCCGCAGTTTGTTTATCTGGTATGCATTATTTTCACTTCATAAATATTTAGGATAAGTATAAGAAATCTGTGTGCACTTTTGATAGATCTGTCAGTTTCTTTTGTGGAAAAGTCGAGATTTTAGGTGCAAGTGAACAGCTGTCCTGTTCATATTGAATGTTTGTGCAATTCACAAACAGAGAGAACTTTGACAATACACCATTATATTCATGCCAGATCAATTCAGAATATTTGTCACTTCTTGTAAATAGTTCCATTAATCTGTGAGCACTTAAAATTAGTTTTACCATCCAAAACATATGTAGTATATTTACTTGGCTACTGTAATACCAGTGTGTTTATTGTACAGTCAGTTGTGCATTATTTTGTCCTTGTATATTTCAGCATCAGTATACAGAATCTCTTCCGTATGTTGTGTTTGGAGTCCTAGGAATCACTAGTGCCATAAGCTGTTTGTTTCTACCAGAGACAACAGGCAAAGCATTACCGGAAGTTATTCAGCATAAACAACAACATTCAGAATGTCCAGCAAGAGACAGTCCTAGTCACAATGATCAGCTCCATGAAGATGTGAATCCACAACATGATGTCAGTTTGGATGAATTCCACAGCATGCAAGCAATACTGCAAAAGAATTCTACAGTCTAGAGCTTTTTTTAGATCTTTTTTATTTTAACTTAAAAGTTGTGATATTATTAAAAATAAATATTTATCTGTGTTTTTTTCTTTTTCAAAATCTGGGTCATTATTCAAGTGCCAAAGAGGAAGAAAGATGGAGAATGTGAACACATGATGGTTACATATCAAGGCTTAAAGACCTAATCTAAAATTGCAATTATGTGCATTAATATGTGATTAATTTGTTCATGTAAGAGTTTTAGATCTGTTTACCCAACTTTTCAGTTTATATGTATTAAGAGATGAACAAAGGAGTGTTTTATAATATGCTTCCTTTTTTTTCTCTTGAATGAACACGGGCATTTTATTTAAAGTTGTATTTTTTTTTTTTTCTTGCTTGGTTAACATATGGTTAGAAGGCTACAAGTACTTTTTACATTATTACTGTAAATCATTCACAGTTTGCATTTTGGCTAGATTTACTACTTACACTGGGCTCGATATATTTAATAAATGAATTTTGTCATTAAATTTATATTTTTAGTGACTATGATTTAGTTTGGTGTTTTGCATTCTTAATTTTACACCTCATAAGTATGAGTATTTGTGTTACCGAATCCCAAGCATTGTAACTATTTCTTTGCATTCCATTTGGTATAACTAGGTCAGAACCAACAAACAATATGAAACAGCATTTTTGTTGAGGTGTTATTTAATATGAATATTTGGTATTTATTTAAACATTCTCTGAAAGTAATATTCAAACTCAATATTATGTCGTAATTCACAGTTATTTCACCTCGTACTATGTAATTATTTTGCTTTTGGCATATGAAAGTTTTAAATTGATAGGTTTTGTAAAAACCCTGTAGCACGCAATCAAAAATCATTGACAAAATAAACCAACAAAGTTTATATAATCAGTGCTACGAATGATATAGTTTTCATGTTAGTTTCACTCTCCTAATTAGAAGATAACATCATTACAGTTAAAATAATGATGTAAGAATTGGATTTTATTTTATATTTTGTTTTCAGGTTTGTACAAAGTGAAGACTGTAATATATATGTACATAAATTATGTTAATATGAGGCCAGATTATATTAAAAATTCTCATACATATAAAATATTTCAGAAGTGCATATTTTTCCATGGTCAGTTTAGCAACTTTTTTAAGAGAAAAACTCATTTTCGACCGAGTGTTTGAAATAAGGTAAACATCAAATATTCTCATTTTTCTTTTACATGTACCAGGGCAATATTTTCTTTGGCCAAAGTGTATTCTGTGTGGTTTTTGGCAAAAATTCTTATTTTAATGTGAGTTGTTACTTTATTACACTTATAATATGTACCTTTTTTTTGAAAACATACTGGATCCTAATGTATTGCATGCAGAATATTTAATATATAATATTTCATGAAAATAATTGGACATTTTACCATTTAAACAGCAAAGAATAACAACCAAAGGTTACTCATGTTTTGCATTAAAACTGTTTATTCTTTTAGACAGCAAAGGTATTTATTATGCAGTAGATTGGTTTTAGTTTAGACCTATCAAGTGTAGACTGAAATAGATAAGAAAGATTTATGATAATACTTGCAAAACAATTCAAATGCACACTGAACTGGTAAGATGCTGTGTTTGCAAATAACATCATGATGTAGTTATTTCTAAAAAGCATGATACAGAAGAAGTGCACTAAAATCTCAAATAAAGTTGATTGAAAATAAAATGGTTAACTTGCCTCTAGTAGTGAAAAGTGTAAGTTGCATTAGATGTGCCTGCCAGACAAAATGTCACCCTTGTGGTTGGTGGGACTAATTGTGATCATGATCATGGCTTCTTATTTTAGTAAAAGGGGCAACGTTTGGCAAAAATAGATAAAAACCTGACCCAAATATTGCCATGTTGCAAACTGCATGGCAGGATTGCAATTTTCTTGATATTTGTTTGAGCAAAAGGGTCCAAAATTTTTCTTGGATTAGTAACCATCTAAATTTTATGCTTTGACATATTCTAAGTTGGCAGTCACATAAGGGTTTTAGTATGGTGTTGTTTAACAAAATCGTGTTGATCATATTCTTTGTTAAACCCAATAGTAATATTCTTTGTTAAACCCAATATAAATGATTATATTAACTTATTAATGTTTTATTAAAATACAACAGATGTGAAGCTGAATTTTTGTACTATCACTCTGTAAAGAGTGCTTGAATGTTTTGTCAGTATCTGAAAGAATTGTTAATTCTTTTAAACTTACAAATATGGTCAGATTATAAATTGAATGTATAAGAAATATAATACAACAATAAAACAGTTGCTTGAATAGATGATACTCGACTTCTAAATATTGCACAGAATGAAAGTCTTACAATCTTGCAACGTACCCTTCTAAAATTCAATTTTTTAGTGATAAATGTATAGATAATGTAATGCTTGTTTTTACCTCAAACATTTTGTTCACTTGAATCTATTACAGTATATATTTATGTATGAAAAAGCAAGTTAACATTTGTTTGAAAGTACTGCATCAAATTTGGAATAGGCCTTTACATTTCATAACCAACAAAGGTTAAAAATTTAAAAATCAAACTGAAAGAGAAAATAGCGTGCATAGTTTTTCTGATACTCCCTGGTTTTTATAAAACTATTACACCATCTTATTGCTCGCTATATCACACAGATGCCAGGTGGACATTTCACATTAAATAACTTTTTGCACCAAAATTTTACGTAATAGTTGTTATAGATTACAAAGACTTTTGATTAACCGGGTTTGCTGATTTAAATTTACAAGAAAATGACCCAGTGCATGTTTTTGAAGAGAGGTTTGCAAAATAATAATGTTGTTGATTATGGGATATGCAAACGAAACGAACCCTCTCCCCTCTTTAACGCAAAAGATTATTTATCAAATGCGATCATTGTGCTTTAAATACTTTAGGGAATGTGTTTATTGCGTTTGTTGCGACTAGATTGTGTTCACGCTCACTAAATTCAGCACCTTTCCAGCTTCCAGTTTCGCATTTTACACGCCAGGGTTTCAGTAGCATCTGGAAGTTGCGCATTCACACGAATATTTGCAAGTTAACCCCAAGCCCCTTACACACACCATACGTAATCAGCTGGTTCACGCCCTTCAGTTTTTTCTGCGTCCGTTGCGTGACTCAAGGAGTTATTTCATTCCTAAAAGTGGCCGGCAAAAAATTAAGAAAACTAGTGAAAAACATTGTCTTGACGTCAGTGCGCTTCTGACATTCCCCAGTCTTTTGAAGCCGACGGGGATACCAACAGCGAGGGCTATCTTCAAAGTCAACAGTTCATAAGGCTATCGCCATTTGCACAATATTCTTGCGCAGTTGCAGAAATGACGTTCTTCTTCTCTCTCTCATTTCTTTTTTTTTTTTCTTGCAGTCAGTTTTTTTTTATTGCTGTCTTTTTCCCTGAAGCAGCAGCCAGCGAAAACAAATAAGAGTTGAGACTGCGGTTTGTTTGTGTTATGAAGTTCCGTAGACAAAGGTCTGTTTAGAAATACGGCATTTGAGAACGTAATATTGAATCTGTTTTAGCGGGAAATCATCATGCAGGAAGAGAGAGAAAATCGTAATATTTTTCTAATTAATTCGTTAAGATACATAAGATGGCCAAACAGTTACAATGAAGTAATGAAGTGAAATCGATCGGATTTGCATGGAAATTACACACTGGAATCTAGAGTAAATAAAATGAGATTTTTGTTTGTTATGTTTTCAAAGCACAAGCACAATAAAATATACTTTGATTTAAGAAATGAACAATTTTATTTAGTCTAAAAATAATCAAATAAATTAAAATCAGCTTAATGTTTATATTTCGTATCATCTATGTGCCAATAAAATGGATGTAAGCGCAAGTATGACATCTCAAAAAGATGCACAGAAATAAACTGAGAGGGACAATTCAAATATCTATGATAAACTATTGATAATTATAATATAAAGTATCTGAGGCAAAAGAAAAAGAGCACCACAAACAATTAAGAAATAATATTTTCACAGCAATATTGGATTATTCTTGCTCTAAAATGCTATTCACTTACACTGAAATGGATTGTCTCAGTGACTCACCTATAGGCCTATTCGCAACAAATTTTTTAGATTCAGTGAGATTTTTTTTTTTATAATTTTTTAAAACAGTTTTGTTTTGTGGGGACAGGTGTACAAACATTTGTCTTTTTGTAATATGTTCTAGGCACAAGGTCGGGTCAGAAACAGGCAGAATTGCTTCGGTCCACTAAATCAGTTTGATTAAAAAAACGAGAAAAGTCTTGATCAAATTTGCATATACGGCGCATGCTATTGACTCAAAGCTATGTCAATTGAAGGTTTCTTATTTGTGCCCCAAGACCATTTGTTAATCAAAATACTTTTTGCATCGCCTTTTTTCATCAATTATGCATTCAAACATATCCAGTTCTATTTACACACTTTCCTGTAAAAACATTCCGGATTTTCATTATTTAAGATTATTTTTCATAGAGGTTGTCCGGTAATGAGTTCTAGTTAAACAATGCATAGAGTTCAGACCTCGAAAATAAAACTAGCACAATGTAGATTTCTTCGTTTCAGTAATGATGAAATCATTTGTAGAATACATTCGGAATGGAGATGATCTCTCTCTCTCTCTTTTTTTTTTTTTTTTTTTTTTTCGCAAACGCGAGGCTCCTGCTATATGGTTAAATAAATTTTCAATACAGTTGCCTTATGACAACGGCTTATAATGTTTTGACGTTAAAAGAAGAGGCTTGATATTTACCAGAAAGTTTCAGATTTCATACTCTGGGCGTAATATGCGAACTAGATCACATAATGAAGACGGCAGATTAACTTGTAGTTCAAAGCTTACCTTGTGTGTGTGTGTGTGTGTGTGTGTGTGTGTGCGCGCGTGCGTGTGTGTAAAACTGTTTACATAAGCCAGTAGTCTAAGCAACATTACAATGAATTCTAAGGTTTCGGTATAGGTTCTGAAGCAGTTGCCTGGGGATAAGAAATGCGTAGTCCGTTTTAATTAATGTTCAGCAACATTTTCACTTTTATTTATGATTTGAATTATTAGTATCATACGTGTATTTAATTGTGCGGAGTAGCGTTACGTGCCTTGTATTCACAAATACATGGAAAGATTTTCCAAAATGCTACAGACAGAGATTGTTTCATGTTTGATTGAACCTAAATTTTCATGAAAACATTTGTGTTTTAAGACAAGCATTTCAACCTAATTCAGTTCAAATGTTGTGGATGTTCAATATATGCATTTATCCTTTCACGACTCTGCCAGAACAACTAATATGCTGTCTTGTTTTATACAGTATAGGGAAAACGCGCTCTTCGACCGACTTAATATTGCAAATCTTATGCACCTTATCACCTGACTTATTTACATCACCTGAGAAGCACGTCATCAAGTGAACCGAAACCTTTTAATTTGCCTTCAAACATGGCAGTGCTATGTAGGTGTCACAACACACTGCTAGTTGATATATATTGGGATTATTTTGTTGCGCCTACGTTTAGCGGAGGTATTCGATTCTAGGGGGTAGTGCTGTGGTTAGGGCTGCATGAGGCCACGCCCCCGGCAAAGGGGAGTCGATCCAGGGGTTAGAAAAATGTGCCTCCGTAATAGATGTCACGACGCGAAATTTACTTGAGCGCCATTTGCGGTCTAAAGTAATGGTAATGGAAGCGATTGGCCAAAAAGTTAGAAAAAAGAGCAAATTATCAAAAGCGAGCACTGGAGCGTTCACTTTGGGGCTCAAATGTTTTGTAGACAGATGTCTTAATGTAATGTGTGTGAAACCCTCAAACAGCAGTGTTTGCGCAACATTGATGTCTAATAGGACCTGAAAGATGAAGCTTGATTGGGTCGGTATATTCAAGCGTTATTGTATGCATTGAATTGTCATAGGTCGTCGTTTAAAAGGGGCCATGGATTGTACTCTTTTAATCTTTAAGAGAACGTATGTATACAAATGAATTCAAGGTGGAAATCAAACGAATTATCTTTAAAAATCTTTGCACACCTGCAACTGATTTTTAACATAACAAACAACAATAAAAATCCATCGAAAACATCGGGAAGATGACTCCTGATAAGTTAACACATTAGCTTGTTATTTTTACTGACGACTTTTCAATTATATTTTTGACTTCAAAGGTTCTCTTTGGCAGCAAGGGTCAAGGAAGTTATGCAGAATCGTTTGGCAGTGGACCTCCAAGCGCAAACCAACGAAGGGCGTTAATTTACTTACTATGATTTTTAAGGTCAATACCATCATTGATGTCTAATTAGTTTTCGATCACGACTGGACTAGTTATTGGAGAGAGCAGTAATAATGCCGCATAATTTGAAACTAAAAGGCCATTAGACTCATTTCTGTGACAATTTTTTTGCTCTATATTGTATCTATTTGAAGTTGTAATCTATTCACTTTTTTCTGTCCGCTTTAATAATCATAAAACTTAAGTTAGAAATTGAGGCTAAAAGTAAAAAAAAAGATCCAAGATTTTTCCCCATTTTTTTTCATTTCAGTTTCGGTATATCCTCCTTTCTCTTTTTGAACGCTTTAATTAATATGAATTTAGACCTATAATTAACTGCTTAAAGTAAGGTAAGTGCCAGTTCCCTCTTGTCTTTGTGCTATATTTTCAGGTTTTTGGCGTTTTTGCTATCTCACTTATGCTTAATTGTTAGATAAAAAAGGTGTTGCAGTCAAAAGATTATAATCTTGATACTGAAACAGTGAACTCTCTGTCCACTGGAAGTCATATGCCATTAAGTCATTTAGAAACGTGGCAAGTTGTCGATAATGTTTTCTAGAGTTACATTTGTAAGATGTAAAGATAAATAATATACCATTCCACCCATGGGTTATTGCGTTGGATACAATGACGGGTCACAAAGATGTTTAATGTATTAGGGTTCCTTTAATAAAACGCAGGCGTCGAATGTAAAAAAGACAAATGGCAGCAAAAGTAAAACACATCTTTTACGAAGAACATATGCCAACTAATCTGAAATCAAGTAAAAAGCTGTGTAGTCATAATTCGAAATACATTATACAAATTCAGAAGTAATGCAATGCAATCGAGTCCACGCTCCTATGTTCACAAGCATAATACCGTTTGTTTTCTGTATTAATTATTTATTTACATAAAGAGTTCTAGAATTATTCCATTGAAAAGTAACTATTTGCAATTAAGTAAGTGAGCAAAACTTTCAAGTATACGGTATATATTCTAACGAATAAGACTTTAGATTCTTCACAGCTTCAAGATACAAGTCATTTGATATGCTATTCACTTTTAGCGACAAGCCTAATTACGTGCTTTAATCATAAGAGTATCCCTCGAGAGAACACTTGTGGTTATCCGGTAGCCGAAAAGCACCCTATAAGGAGCGTTCTAGATTTGTTTGCCCAATTGTTTGAATAAACACAAGATATCACGCAATCCTTTGTACTAAAGGAAATAACTAAGCGTTTCAAGCATTTGATCATTATGTAATTGCCCGATTAAAGCAGCACTTTTAGAGTACCCGGCGATAAAAGAGCAAGCTTCGGTGAGTACTTTGTTCGACGTTTGCCATGGAACCGATTCCAAGAAAGTAACGAGAAAGGGTTTCTCGTGCTTGACAATATATTAAATGGGTTAGAAGACAATAACGTATTTCTACTTTTTAGTTCAGGTAATTTTATACGTGGTCTGTTTGCCTTTGAGATGGCCGACGGATGGAACATTGGAAGAGTTCTACAGACGCCGTTCTTGCAACAGAAAAGATTATTGTTTAGTTTTAATCGGTCTTGCTCAAATATGCACGATTTATTGAATACGCTTGTGACTTTCTGTGACCATTTAAAGACATACACTGAAACGACAAGCAATATTATAAAACGTATGCCGTAAAAGAACAACGCCAATGATTTGGCATCACTTTTATTCTGCTTGTTAATTGCCGTAGCAATTTGACCAATGGGTTTGGACCTTATTTAGAATGTTTCAAACATGGGTAAGATCTATTGCTGCAGACTGACCCCATACATTTCACGCACACAGAATGTGACCATTTAAAGACATACACTGAAACGACAAGCAATATTATAAAACGTATGCCGTAAAAGAACAACGCCAATGATTTGGCATCACTTTTATTCTGCTTGTTAATTGCCGTAGCAATTTGACCAATGGGTTTGGACCTTATTTAGAATGTTTCAAACATGGGTAAGATCTATTGCTGCAGACTGACCCCATACATTTCACGCACACAGAATGTTCGACAAAATGGTTTCTAGGTTATTGCTCTGTGAATTTGCCTTTATCCCTCCAACTGCCTCCTCTGGTGACGGGTTTTGCGACCTTTGTGTCATAATCTTACGCCTGTCTTGCACTTTGCGACCCCATCTTGGGGACAAAGTAGATTTCTGAAATATACTGCCAATATATATTGTCAAACAGTCGCCAATTGTAAGCTCTCAGACTGAAAAATGGCCTCCCGGGCCGCGAAGAGCGGCATTTGTTTTGTAGAAAATGGTTAATTCAGAACTTAGCTGACTTTGGTCTTCTGATTTATTTATTCAGTTGTATTTATGTAAACGGATTAGAAGCTTATTAATGAAGTAGTATATTTTTTAACGTAGTTTTACACTTTTTGGCTATTTTTTAAGGTAAATATCGCATATATCTCAAATCAAATAAATATTTATTTTATTTGGAAAAACTAAACTGGTAAACAACAAGATGAATTTGACACCAAGAGTTAAGTGCTTTTTCTAGTTTTTTTTATCTCAAAAGAATATCGTCTCTCTCATGGTTATGGAATAACATACGAGCAAAGGCCAAGTGCGTTAAAATCTTTGCACCATAGGTGTACATACAGAATTGGGTTTATACCTATTACATAAAGGTCAGTCAGTACCAACTAGTACAATAATGTCAAAACTCCTTGATTTCAAATAATGCGCTGTTACCAAGACTTTTAAGGAAGAAAAATGAATGGTCGTTTTTTCATTAATGAATCAATAAAGATCACGGAAAGAAGATGAATGATGGGTACTAATTTGAAAAAGATATTGCGTGGAATTCTCGTGAAATTAATTATCTTTCAGCTACTCCCCAAGAAAAGAAGTTCAATGAAAATAATGGTCTATGTAATCGTACTTAATTGAAGCAAACTAAGATGAACCGACGTTTGAAACTTTATGATAAAGACAATATTAACAGGTTTGTCCATTGCTCATTTTCTTTCAATCCAATCATTTAACGTGGCTTATCTATCACAGATTCTATTTACACTAAAAAGGGATATATTAACGTGGTCTATTTGAACAATAGTATTCGTTTGATATGCCTCTTGTAAGACTGTAAAACGTAGAAAATTAGTATAACTTAATGAAGTGGTAGATTCTCACAATATCTGATTCAGAAATTAGCGCCGTTTTCATCAAAATTGAAGCACTTCAGCATTTTTATCCATATTTTTCGCACTTTTCCCTGAAAAAACTCAAAGTGTACTTAGTAGCCCGCCCCTCGCTGACTTTTGCCTGTTTCGTATTAACGGGTCACGAGCCTCCCGTAGTTTACATCGATGCAACTCGGTGCACATACACTTAATCATGCAGAACTCACTGTCAGATAGGCTGAAAAACGACAGCAGGGAGAAGGGTCATGATAACTACACCGATACACGAGTATTGTAGTCACGATTTGTAATGGTGAACCTAATGTAATTTATAGTGCCTTCTGTTGCAGACCTGAGTTTTGTGTTTTGATAATTTGTTTGAAATTCTGAAACAATTTGTAGTTATCAATAAAGTGTGCCTTGGTCACTGGACTCCCGCGTTTTATAGCAGATACTTGCTGATTATTATAGATTTTCGATGTGGGCCTTTTTGCTCGACGAGTCAAAGCGATAGAGTCTGTACATTTTCATTTTTTACAGGAATGCTCATGGTTAAAATAAGTCATATTTTGACGCCATAGTTTCTGAAACAAAGTCACTTTTGTTTTCCATAACATCTCGTCATGGGCGTTTCCAACTGGAAACTTGCTAAACAAACCGGTTGTTAAGCCGACTTTAATCGAGATTTCGCTGCTAGATTTGCAGCACTCTTTAACCTCTACATTTATACAAGACTGACTTTGTGTTGTCGTTTAGGTCAGCAATAAATTTCCAAGTTCAGCTCAGCGCTTGCTATCAGAATGGTGCTCTCAAGACGTCGGAAAACTTGGCCATATATTTCCTGGTGCAAAGCTCCTGTCTCGACCTAGGTTTGATTTTTTTAATGGTATGCCATGTGGCGAAATATAGGGTCACGTATTCTTGGCTACAAATTTACCTTCATGGCTTGACGATTGATAATAAATCTTAAATTCACAATTTTTCATGGATTTAATGCGACTGAAATAAATTTCTTAGTTCTTAACCCCTTCTACACGATAAAGAAATAATCATTTAACCTTTAGCATGGGTAGACAGCAGAGGCATGTTTAAGTCATCGAAATCTGCTTAATGCTCGTTTTCGAAATGATGTATTTCCATGTAAAAATAATGTGGCTACATGGTTCCCTCGTAGAAAGGGAACAAAGTGAAGGCATTATCCAGCAGGCCGGGGAATGAGTCCACATACCGTCTACTTCGGTACCTTCAAAGCGATAATTCATGTGAATCAGTGAGGAACTTCCTCAGTTTGAGAGCTTGAGAGGAAAATTGGGGGATTTTTGCAGGGTTCACCGAGTACATTGAAATGAAGTCGGCAGGTAAATATGTGCACCAAGTGCTTATAGCTTTCAATTAACTACAAGAATATACTTGGATCTTGTAAAGGTGTACTTGTAAATCACAGCTGGTATCTCTTTATATTTGGCGTGAATCTATCTATAAACACATGTTGTCAAATTTTGGTGAATTTAGTAACTGTATATCCTGTTGTTAGAATAGTGTACGTTAGTGTCTTAAACTATTCAGATAAATGTGATTTTAATGAGTTGAGTTTAGAAGATAAGAACATGTAATCAGACACATAACTGCATGCTTTCTGGTTTTCTGGTGCTTTGCTTCAATGCCTGTTAAGGCTTGCACTTCTTCGCACTATGACGTTGTAATAATTCCGTAAAATTATTAATGATAACGCTCTAATAAGTCTTTTATTTTTTGCTGTTCATTTAAGTATTCTCGGGATCAATAGTGATGTTTTAAAACCAAAAGTTACATAGACTTGATGGGATTATTTGATTTATTTTCATTCATAAGTACTGTATAAAGTCAGGGTGTACAGGACAAAACCGTACGTTATGTTCATGCATGCTAAAAACCACGAAACTATCATTAACGGCATTTAACAATTCCATTGTCTAGAACACTTAGCAATTTAATCATAAAATGAAATAAGTAAAATATCACATCCTTTAGTGAAATACTTGCACCCTATGTTATTTGCGTACTTATTTTTTATGTAACATGTATTTTTGACTGGAGTGATGAATCGATTGTAATATGTTAGGGATATGTTAGAGACATGGCTACCCACTCAAAGATGGGCACCAGCGAATATAATACTGATCTTATAGCTCCCTCAATACATACGGCGTATTAAGCATACATTTTGAGCAGTAATAGTCGTTTGCCAGCTTCAAGTACTTAGATTTTAAAAATAACATTTTCACATTGAATTCGGGAAATTTTAAGACGCTTTCTCAAATATAATCTGATCAGAACCGTTAAATGTTATCATTTCAAGAACAGATACCATCAGCTATTCTGAAATTATTTTTTGATTTTTTAAAAAAATATCCTTATAAAGTTATATTAAAAGACAGAGGTTATGGCATGTGATATTAAACGTAGCCGTTGTTAGAAATGCAAGAGGGCAAATATTTCTTCAGATAAAATGTATGCATTTTTTTCCTCTGTAGTAAGAGTATATAGAAGCCAAGGTACCTAGCTTTAAATGTCATCATGTCTCGGATATTTTAAAAAATATTCCAGAACGAGTGTTGGACCACCTGAGCTCAACTTTGTTAGAACGGAAAGATCGTAGGAGCTATTAAGCGACTGACATTGCGGTTTACCTTTAAGGTGATACATTTGACAAAAATAAGAAAACGCGTTTTAAAGACATGTTCAAGCTTCAGCCAAGCTCCCGTCACCAAAGGAAGGGTTTAGTCAACCATAAATACCATACTGATTAAAAACTAATTTAACTTCAACAATAGACTTGTACAGCTGGAATCTCTTCCTGCTGCCAAAGGCCGCCTCATTCGTAAATACCATAAATATAAAAGAAACATTATTTCAACAAAGGTCTTCCTTTCTTGCTCAGTTGGTATCCATATCACGCAATCTTGTCTTTAGATATGCTTTATTTGCACTGTACTGGTAGGAAAGAGAATTGATTTCATTGTTTTTCCTACTTTAAAAAAAGTTTTTTGCTTCATTTTTTTTCTAATTTTATTACCTGGCTTAAAATTGTTTCAGCAATTTCAATTAGATTCAATGGCAATACAAAATATATTATTAACTAGCTTTAAAGATATATACATAAAAAAGAAGTCGATCCGGAGGCAGATTTTAAGAACATGTGATGTACATTTACTGGTAATTTCTCTCATACCTTTGCATTTCCCTTCCAGCGAGACTGACACATCTCAAAACTCAAAGTCGTTTTTGTTAGTCAGTTAGATATCACTAGGGTGTACAAAAAGCAGGAGAACTGTATGCCCCGGACGATCCAGAAAAAAAAAGCTAAATCAATACTCGACTGTTTACTAACAATACAAATCATTAGTTAACTTTTTTCGATCAAGATTCAAATTCTCATTTCGTTCTTCGTAGGTTCCGTTTTTCACTGCAACTTTAATTGTTGTCAAAAATGAAACATTTTCAAGACTCGTTTATTAAAAAGATGATTCGCCATAGTTATCTTTGAAAATATCCTTTAATTAACATGGCATTGAAGGATAGAACTTGCTTGCCTGTGTCTGTGCATATAGCATATCCAGGGCGCTTTTCGTGCGTTTCAGGAAAAGGGAAGTTACCCTGAAAAGAGAAAGGAAATAAAGTAAAATGAACTATATGCTGGGCAAAAAAGCAGAATGACATCAAAGGGAAGACCGCCAACGTAATCGGATTTGAGAATCAACAGACATGTCAGGGTAAACGTTTTTTTTTTCTGTGTTCTATCGTCTGTCCAGGGAATTTAATCCACCAACCGAATGTCAGCTCCCTGGAGAATTTCGGGTAAAAAATTTAAATTTTCACAAAATATTTACCATCATATACTCGGAATGAAGTTGGTATACATAGTTAAGCCCTGATTAAAAGTGAACGTCGAAAAAGAGCTTAAATTAAAAAAAGAATGAAACAGTGTTTTTTCAAGATCAGGGTAAACTATTTGGCTTTCAAGCACAAATAACTTATTTTTAAAGATTTTATTTACTATATATATGTGTGTGTGAAAATAAGATTTTCTACAGTATATCAAGGAGTCAAAATTAACCACAAACAGTTATATTATGATATGTATTCACAAAAAAAGCATATAATAGCTAACGACAAAAATTGTGCTATCATTTTTCTTTGAATGTAGATGATTATTAATGCAATGTAACAATGGAAACCAGTGGAGATTATTACTATTTTACAAAGGAGGCTCAGGTTCACGGTTTCGTCAAAGGGTTACGCGGCCATTGAACCGCAAAGGACCTTACAGATTACATTTTATTCGGCTTTGAACAATAACAAAAGAAAAAACGCTTTTTTCAGCACGTGTAAATTTATGCAGGTGTGCTCTAATGACAAATATCATAATAGTTTTTATACGTATAAAGATAACTACGCGTACAATTGATTTTTGCGTGGACAACATAATGAAATATTTAGATAAATATTTATGTTTTTTATTGATAGAAGTTCAGACCGTTAGTTCAAATTCTGGATGCGCAACACTGAACATTACTCTCTAGTTTTCTGAAAGAAAAATATTATTTGGTGTGATATTGGAAAATTACAAAACAAAGTTAATCGTGCATGGCGAAGGAAAAATAAAGGTGTGACAAAAATGTCAACGACCAGCGTTCCAATCCAGTGAATATACTCATATAACCGTAAAGGTCAAATGTAACGCCCGGCACCATATCTGGAAATCCCATTCAATTTGGTTATATAATGGCAATTTCTTTTAACAACTTCATTCATGTTTAGAGCTTTTCTTTATTAAATGTGACATGTTGAATTTCAAAGATGCACATATGAAACGAAGGTGCGGCCGAATCATCAAAAATATATTTTTTAACCCATCATTTAAGTAATTTATCATCTGGATACCATGTGTTTGAAATCATTTGAATCTTTATTTGATTTATTATTTTCTGTTATTTCTCATATATAATTCATGTTATGGCTGATCTCCAAATATGAAAAGAATAAAATTGCTAAGAACAAACATTAGGAAAAGTGCTGTTTTTTTAAAAACGTTGTCGACTATTTAAAAGAATCATCGTGATTTTTTTATAAGAAATTGATCTTGATCTAACTAGTGACAGAAGAAAAGAACGATATAAATACTTCAAATTTCTTCCTTAACTGAAATTACGAATGTTCGGAATCATAAAAAAATGCGCATTATCCATTTTTAATCTTTTTATCACAAATTGAATCGTATTTGAGGTAATTAGAATTCATTCTATGGGTAAAATTACCAATTTACGCATTGAATTTTATCATTATAAAGGACTTGAAATAAAAAAGGGCTTTTAAATTTGTACCAATTTAAGCTAGAATAGTCTAAAATATTATTTTGAGATATTTCATACACGATTGAAATATTATATTCAAGCACTAATAGTTTATTAAAATGGACAATATTGTGAATTAATTTTTATCAAATTTATTTAAACAACATACATACAAGCTAGAGATATCGTTAGCCTGAAGAGCACATTTTCTGATATTAATACGGATCATATATATGTAATCAAAACGTAATGGAGAAAAGGTAATAATTCAAAGGCTATGTACTGTTTTTATACATTACTATTACTCCCACTAACAATAATTTTAGTTGACACGGATATTAAAAATTTACGTTCCAAATGTCAAAAGGAAATTAGTCAGACAACAATGACTCCTCTTGAAGATCTATTCTATTCGCATTTGTTGTCAAACTAGAATGACAAAATTGTATACACAAGTTGGGTTAGATGAGCTATTTCCGCAGGCTTCTACACGTCACGAAATTAACGCATTTATTTGTATTTTAACACACAGATGAACAAAAGCAAATCCTGTTCTTTGATTTCGATAAAAATGATCAAAGGTTCACGCGTCTTTGTACTAAATGTATTTCCAGTAATGTTTTCGCAAAATTCGGAAGAAATACGTTCGCAATTTGTCAATGTATGTCCAATACATTTAAAGTCTTGTGAATATACCGATTGAAGAAGCCTTATATCATTTCTCCAAGACGGAACATGACCGTGTTCACCTTAGCTAGGTAAATGGAAAAATGATTTATTGTCAAACTTTAAGAGCATTCTTGAGTAAAATATTCTTATCGTATGAAAGACAACTGCTGTCAAAAAGCGCATGCAATCGAGTGCAATGCCATTCTATATATTTGCTTTTATATTCGAAATTTGTCATGTAGAAAAATATGTGGCATTTATTTAAGAATTTCGAAATAAATGTGCGCATTTTCCATTGAACAAGAATAGAAAGGACTGAGAAAAAATCAGACTTGCTTGAAGGTTAAAAAAAAATGAAAGCATGGCCTACGCGACTATTTAACCATAGGGAAAATTCAGTTGTTCGATACATCAATTTGCCAACATTTATTAATAAGTTCCATTAGTAAAAAAGTAATCATCAATCCTACGTGCTAGGAACAGAACTAGACATCGACTAAAATATAAACTCATATCGATTCTGTCCTCGCTTTTTACGCTTGGATCGACTCTTTTGCAAGAACACGAACGACCGGTTGGGCAAATATTTGTAGGTTTTAGCATATTTAACTTAACAACGTGAAATTTCCTTTTGAGCGAAATTTCTATAGTGTCTGCACTTTATGTCACTTTCGTGGCCTGGAAACGCTCCCAGATGATTTGTCTGACCCTCGATGGCAAGCGACTCCCTTTATTTTCCTTTATGCCAAAGCATGGCAATCGATCGAACCTATTTACGGCAGGTCGTAGTGTCGTGGTAACGAGGGCGGGTGATGTCAACAGAGTCGTCTCACTACATCAGACCCTTTCACTGCTTTTTGTTCCTTACAACAATAAAATGTTTGGACTGCCACTCTAATATCGACAATTGCCCCTGGCAGACTTGAGGTGAAAGGAAGAAAAAAATGTATGATATTTTTGCAATGTCATTAAACAGTCTAAATCTCGATTGCAAAGGCAAATATCACCCCCATGAACTTTTATAAGCTGTTCTTGTACGTAGTTAACACCTCAGTAGGCCGGGATGTCAGCAAAGGCCCAGCTATCGTGTAAGGTCTTGGCTTTTCTCTCACCAGACCGTTCTTAATGTTTGTCCAAGGTCTTTTCTCGCTCATTTGATAAGCGGTCAGGGATGTCACAGTGTCACCACCTTTTATCATTTTCCATGTTGACAAATCGTCCACGTTCAAGGACCCTAATTAAATACGCTTAATCCAGTTAACCTTGTTAATACTACATAAGGTGACTTTTAAACCTCCTGTATGACTGAAGTCGTCGCCATATTGAATCTGAAGTGTTTCTCTGTCAGTGTCTATCTGCCGTTGCCCATCGTTTGTATTCTCCAAGCAACCGCAAGCTAAATCCATTAAATTGATATAAATTATAATTGCCCCTTTGAAAAATATCTCTTAAGTTCTTTTTAGTTTTTTGTCTTTCAGATGCAAATTGAACAAGGCTTTGGAAGTCCATTTTTTCTAAGAAATGGACTCAAAGTAGACCTAATTAACCTTTTTAGATTGTCTTTCTGTTATTTTTCTCTATAAACCAGGAAATACCATGTCTTCTAAACCAATATTTCCAAGCTTCTATTCATATTTAATCTACAATAGCACGAAATTCGTTACCGTAAGTTAACTATTATCATCGATATTCGTGCGCTCTCTTCCCGCTAGGTGGAACTAGGGTAGTATAGCTAAAAGAAATAATTCACTCGCCTCGTAAACTCAATCCTGTTTGTTGGAGTTAGTTTGCTGTTTTCTTTGCTGTTGTAGCTTTTTATTCAATTAAAGTATATAAATTAATCCTTAATTAATTAATTCAACTCTTTTTAAAAGGGTGTGTTTCAGCATGCATCTTTTCTTTTCTTCAACTAAAAAAATCTAGAAATACATGAGGCTGCGTGAGAATGAGGACGGCTGAAGCATGGTTCGTTGAACCTCCAGCAGAATTTTTCTACATGAAGGTTACAACATCGGACACAGTCACGTTATAGTAAATTACGCGTAGAAAGTTGATCTTTTTTAACAAATGAAAATTGAAAAGCGTCTTAAGTGGACTTAGCAACCGTAACCCTCGACATCTCAAATAAATGGCATCCCTGTCCAAGGTGATTTGTTACTGCAAGAATAGGGTGAAAGCACAGAGAAAAAATGCGATTAAATGAAAACGAGTTCGTTACTAGGCTATTCGAGGCAATCTGGATGTAATCAATTTATGAAGATAAATGGGCTTTTTATTATTACGTTACGTTGTCATGCCCTTTTTCCCCATGCAATGTTTCAGTGTCTCTGAAATTTTTATGACGATGTAAATGATTTTTCACGCCTTAACTACTGTGGTTTATATAAAAGAAAAGACGTGGAAAATTATAGATATATACACTGTATGTGTGTTTGTTAAAATCACGCCTATAATGAAACCGTAAACGCCCTACTCTCATAAAACTTTTGTAGCCAAAGGCTTTCTTATCACATTAATTGTAAGGTGTTGAAAACTAAAATTACTAATATTCGTACAGAGTCAAAACATGTGACGAATAACTTGTCACCAATCTCTGAAAAGACATTGCAAGCCCTAGTGATCATTGGAGTAAATTTCGTCAAGTTTGTCAAAGCACAACAGCCCGTCGTGTTTTTCGTAATATCTCGTACTTGTTCAACGAGGAAATCGAAACACAAGTTGCACAACCGCAAGTGTGAACACCCTTTTCCGTACTCTATTTTGGTCACCTCTGGAAATTCAATTTTTTCATTTATTAGACGACATCACCAAGCAAACCATAGGTGCTGAATCTACCTGTATATTTATCGATGCATTGCTGAGAATAATAATAATAATAAGTTAAGTACAGTTCAACTAATGTTACAATACCTGTCCCTAAACGCCAGTCCTACTGCCAACACGACAGGCTCTAGTCCCCTTCTCACGGCAGTAAATCCAATTATACTGTTAAGAAGAACATCACGCGTGTCCCCAAACTCGACGAACAGCTAGGCCGTTTAGCTATCACCTGGCTGAAATTTAATCTGTCATAATTTCTTCAAACCGTCAGAAATATTATTATATTCATTATGTGTTGTTAACACACAAAGACGACAGGGACAACTGGCATAGGAAACATTGAAAAATTATTAATTCAGAAAGGGAGGCTTTTTTCTACGCTAACGAATGGATATAGTGTTGATTTCAACGAAAACTCACTGACCGAAAATGCGGCATACAAGTAACATCACGATAGAGTACTCGCTTATGTGGATATTTTGAATACAAATTGTGAAAGAAAATGAAATGTCATATAATACCTTTTATTTACTTTGATGCACTGTGTTAGCATTGTGGAAAATGGATGAATTGAATCAGGTACAGGCGTCAAACGTTCAGCTGCCGCTTTGTTGTTCAAACGAGTTCTGGTGCTACAGGCTGCAACCGCTAAATCTGCTACCAAAACACTGAAACCAAAATATGTGTGTTTATTTTATATCAAATGCTATAAATATAATAAAAGGACGTGGTGTGATTTTTATCAACAATTTAGTCGTGCCTTTACGAGCTAGTAGCTGCGCTGCTAAAGAGGCAGCTTGATTCTTGCTTCACTCTTTATTGCGAAATGTTTGATTGTTAGCAACATTTGAAATAAATTTAGGTGGTGTTATGAAGAATTTTAACTACTTTCAGCATCGAAGTTGTTTCCTTTAAACGGCAAGTCAGTGACCCTACTCGTATGTGACTATGTGTCAGGGCCATGGTAAAAACAAAACAAATAGAGAACGACACTTGACATATGTAATGATAAATGTGCTGCTTTATTTGTAAAATTGACTTTCTGTGAAGAAACAATATTGCTAACAGGGCTTGGTTTGCCATGCATGCCCTTACCCCAGTCTCTCTCTCTCTCTCTCTCTCTCTCTCTCTCTCTCTCTCTCTCTCTCATGAATTTCTGACCTAAAACTTGAAACAATGAGAAAACAACACCAATCTAAATAAACGTGTTATCTTTATTATTGCTAAACACTTCACTGCTTTAGTACAGAAAACCCTCTTTTCATCATTGTTGTTCACCCCAATGTAAGCAGTAGATTACATTTCAAGTGCTAAAATACATTTATTTTGGATACCTCTATTTCGAGTTTCATTTCTTTTTATCAGCTGCCGCTTTGTTGTTGTAAGTTGATTTCTGTTTATCTCTTCCTTCATATATCATCTGCATTCACATCTGTATTCATTTCACTTTTGTGGTGTTTATATGTTCCTTAAATCATAATAATAATAACAATAACAATAATAATAAAATTGAATTGAATCAACGTTTCCCTTTGTGAAAAGATAAACCGGTTGAAATTTCGTTTAAAAATCTGTCGACATCCAGCCATAACTCCAAGTCTTTCTTCATAACGCAGCTTAACGAGTGTTGAAAGTGAAAAAGTCCACTGTCCGGTTCAAATGGCAGAAACCGCCCAGTAAACTGACAGCACTGGCCGTGTCTTGCTTATTCAGTTACGGTGGCTGCCTCCGACGTTGACCCTCAAATGTGCGGGACTTTCAACCTGTCAGAGACACTTACCAGCGTAATACATCATCGTGAAAAATCGTCAATTTCACACAAGTATGTCATCTTTTCTCGTTGTTTTGGGCTGTTGTTTTTTGTCATTAATGAGTCTGTTTAGAGCGATATTACCCCCAATGCACTCTCGTATTTTCAGACCAATTGAAGATCTCCTGGACCCACTGAGCCATGGTAAGTGTACTCACTGTCAGACAGATTATCGAAGAAAGGCGATGGAGATAGGCGGAGGAAGGGGGGGGGCGGAGGAAATAAATTTTTACGATTGTAGTGTAAAATTGTCTCAAATCTTATATTTTTATTAGGATCATGTTGATACTGTGGTATATGCAGAAACTGTAGTAATTCCTATACTTTCCAGCCTGCCGGTGGCAACATTGAGTGAGAAAGGGTGGGGCCGGCAGAGCGTAGTCGAAAGAATGGATGCCGTCAACTGCAACAGTTATAAATAATAGATTGGTAATTGTTATTGGTAACTTCCATTTGTGTTACTGACAGGATATGTCTATGTAGATTTATAGAAATGTTTGCCCATTGTCAAACATATTCATCGATTTTTAAATAAGTCAATATACCAAAAGGCCAAAGCAAGATCAGAAAAAAATCAGGATTTGATCAGTACGCTAGTGGTTTCAGAGTCATGAAATGATTTGTTATACTCTAATGCCACGCACAGTCTTCTTAATTCTCAAATTCAATTCACAAAAAAAGCTTTTAGTACTCATTGACGATCACATCTGACATTTCTCTAAGGGCTTTTTGGTACTTAAACCGAACACCCGGATGGAAAATGCTGTAAATACAAATCTATATTTGATGCGGAGCTTTCAATTTTCATTCAAGCAACACTTAGGCTTTTTATTGTGCAGTTATTACTTTTTTATGTCTCATAATGTGCCATGACAGTCGCTGATTATAGTTGAGAAATCATTCTGTCATTCTCCACTTAAGTACTTTTAAGGGGCATGATTCAACTATTCGGCGGCTACGCTCCTCACTGGAAAATACTGGGAACTTACAGAACGGGTAGTTTACACTCAGTTATTTCTCTACCTTTAAGATACCCAGGCTTTTTATTGTGCAGTTATTATCAGATGCTACAACGTTTCTTCACAGACGAAGTGTCCGTCATTTTAGATTCTACCGACATTTCACTTAATTAAGAAAAGGTTCTTTGTTCATTTGTTGATAGAGGAGTACTGTCATCAACATGCTGTTGTGCTGTCAACATAATGTATATCTGTCTTAATTCCTAAAAAAAAAAAATAATAATAATAATTCAATGGAATGTGACTATTTTAGCAGTATGTAGGAGGTATAATCTTGCCCGAGATAATTCACTTTAATTGGCGTCTTTCTTCAATATTTGAGAATGATTTAAATAGTATTATTTTAAATCGAAATTTTGTGCCCAGCGGATGTTAATGGTTTTATTATAGCAGATTTAATACAGGTGTCACTTTTTCATAAAAACACAAAAAAGAAAGGTTGCAATTGTGAAAATAAGTTGTTGTTTTTTTTTTACATAAGCAGTTATTTTATTTCAACCATTTCAGAAGCTGTTTACATGCCAATTACTTTTCGTAAATTTGAAGTTGTTTCTTAAATAACTAATTTTTCTCTCAGGCAGAAGTATCGCTTCCAGTCAGGTGCGAATGCTTAAATAATATTCACATTCCGCGGTTTCTATTCATAGAAAAAAAATAGAAAACTTCAGTACGGCATTTCCCGTGTTTTCGTCCGTGTCTTGGAGGCAGGAACTATTTTTCTCTGCGTAAGCGGATAAGTTGATTTCGTAGAAAGCTGTTAGAATCCTATGCAGAAAAGATAATGAAAATGCTTTGCACATGTTGCGAGTGACGATAGCAAAGTTTTGACGTAATTGGCAGCCTTGTTGGGTATATCTTTAACTTCCTAACTTTGGGGGCAAAATGCAGTTCATTTTGCTCTTCCCTCGGACCAACGTTTGCGCATTATGTATGCCTGCACAATAGCGGGCCCAGGGGACAAAAACGGCCAAATAAAGAACATTCCATCGGATCAAATTGTCAAACAATCGACTTACGTGTTATTTGCCAAGCTTACAAGCGAGGTCATCTCTCTACAATCGGAGTTGATCTCCTTGCAGGCCCCATTAAAACCGAAGCATAATTTAGAACAGAATGGAATTGAAATGAAGGTTTGAGATGCCATCGGCCATGAATAATTGATCATAAGTAATGGAGAAGGTACCACCCAATTGGACGCTTTAAACCGATTTTGCGTTTGATCATTCAGTTAATTGTTTACCAAAGGTGAAAAATATTCACGTTTTTGCGATCAATTACTTGCAATTTGATGGCTGCTGTCAAAAGACAGGTGACAAAGGGCGCAGGAAGCAAATAGACTCAGCGGCGGGGTTTGGAAACTTGGAACGTTGTACTTTTACCATTTGAACATGCTCATAGATTTTGTTCAAAGTAAACGATTTTTGGAAAATAAAGTTGTATTCTAAACACCTTTCTGTTCATTAGATGAAAACGAATGCAATTTCTCAAGAGAAGATTTTGATTAACGAAACAGGCAAGTTACGAAATGAATGAAAACTACAACCCTGTTTACGTAAAAAAATTCTTTAATATAGACAGAAATGTTAGCTATTTTAAAGGAGCCATTAAAATCAACCTTAATTTTTTTTAAATAAGAAAATGATTTAAAATAATTCTACTTTAATAAACAGAAAGCAAAATATGAGCACTTGACCTTTCGTATCAATTGAACATAACGTAAGACACAAACTGCTTAAATTTCTTCAAAATCGCAAAAATAAAAACTTGTTACCACTATTTCGGGCTGAACAAACTACACTTTCTAGGCATAACAAAGTAGTATAGATTATTTAAAGTCGACAGTAATTTTTAATCGTGTCCTCATTTAATCGATATGAAAAAAAGAACATGCCCTTGGCTGACTGAGAGGATTAAGACCGTTTTAGGATCTAATCTGCAAGATGAGTGGGCAGTGCCTTGGTATGTGCATCTGGCAGGTCTTATAATTACATCTGAGTGTGAATTTTATTGCCGTTCGGGTCATCTAAGATAACCAGCAGCGTTTTTCAATTAGGACCTCTAATCTATGTACCCAGACGTTGACAATGTCTGGCTTACGGAGTAATTTAACCAGACATGGGGATCAAAGCTTGATCAATCAGCTTTCCCAAATTTATGTAATTTCGTTTAGGACACCAAAGATGCGTAAACAGGCGTCAATGAGTTGCCGCCCGTGCGACCTTAAAAGTAACCTTTCCCTTCAGCCCGACTGGGGCTGCCTGCCCGAAAGGGAAACGGTCGCGGCATAAGATTAACTTAGAGAATGAAGCACGCATAATTGTCAATACTTCAAGATGAGCTGCGCATACTACGGAGAAGTATACGTCAATACAAATGAAATTATCTTCGGCTTGTGGTCGCTGTACGTGTTTATGATGGGTCCAGATGCGAGATCGCATTGTTCATAATCGACTTGTCCTAACCACAAAAGAAAATACCCCACGAGAAGATCCTCTTCTCGGTGTTAATCAAAGTGGTAAATATCGGGTTATCATTCCCCAAGAGTCCCGGCCAGCCGTCACTGGCATCGGAACCTGGTTTCAGTGAACGGAACGGTTCTCAATGAGCACACTAAGGAGAAAATAGTAGTAATGCTGTTACCACTTGAACACAGTTTTGTCGATTCTCTCCATAGGGTGGCACCACCGTCGAAACAGTGGTTATCATACTGTTACTACCTTTTACTATGTATTTAAATTATATTGCTATTTTTAACACTTGAAGAAGACCAGCCTGCCTTCCAATTTGGTGAGGTTTCTTTTTAATCACGACTGCTTAATAACACAATGCATGACATTTTTTTTCTAAAGAGTGAATTCACCAAATGTCATTAGTTATCACTCTTTAATCGTAATTTTCATTTAAATTCATTACTTGAACATTTTACTCTCTCCATTAGATGACAGCACCCCAGGACTTAGAAACGATTGCTTTTCATTCGGTAATTGTTAGTCATCATCGATTCCTTCTTTTCATCTTATAGATAATGCAAATAATATATAAAATAATATTCTATTTGAATTCACCACTTGTGCCCAACGCCTTAATGACACACTATGCAGTCCAAATTGTCCGTATTAGTTTGAGTTTTATGATATCGCTGTATTTTTAATTTTACCAATGTGAAAAATATAAGAAACCACTTATCGTAGTCTCCTCTCACTTGGTGGCGTTAACGTCGACAATAGTAAATGATGAATATTAATCACCCAAGCAGATTTTTTGGGCAACATTTGCCATTCTATTTCTACACTTAAAAATGATTTCAATTAAGTGTATCCTCTATTTACATTGAACTGTTTTCTGTTCTTTATTTATGTTTGCGATGCACTGTCTTTCTTTCTGATGTCTTTTACTACTTCAATTTTTAATCAAACCTAACTTAATTAAGCTAAACTTAAATAAACCATCCTTGTCTGCTCTGAAAATAATTCTGCGGCGTTATGTCGGTGATTCGTACATATCAACCCTTATATGACACGTGCTATCTATCTTGGACAAGTATCTATATATAGATCAAGAGTACGTTCATGAATAATGTAAAAGTAAGGTAAAAGTCACATATGTTTGCACATATACACGACTGCTGCCCCTTGAAACAATAAAATCCTTACACAGGTGGTCAACTGTTGACAGTTACTAGTTTTCTACAAAATTAAATGAAATATAGCGTGCGAGGTCGCAATACCAATGTAGCATTTTCCTCCACGTGTTTCGTAACACATTTGTATCATGGTTAGTCTGGTTCTTTTTTATTTATCAACGGTCGACAGCGCTTGCACTATGTTTTATTTGAAATTACTTGCATGAAACTTAAGTTGACTATCTATGTCTCTAGTCTTAAAACTGCTCATAATAGCAAGCTTTTATCTAAATTAGACGCGAATCGTACAAAATCCAAGGAGGTCATTTGATTTCAGAGCACGATGTCGGTGGTGTATTTTAAAGACGCTATTAAACTTATCTAAAGCATCGTATTCAAGATGTCCCACGTCGGATCGTTAACAGCTAGTTAACGTTCGGCAATGACATTTTGATAAAATAAAGCACTGTTCATTTCAAAGCTTAATTCAAATTTCTAATGTGACGTGTCACTCGGTGCATTTTCCTCGCTGGCGGAACATCCACAAGGTAGTATTAAGTGCATTAGAAAATGTGTTAACATATTCAGCAAAATGTGCCGCAAGGGAATATATTACTTATGATTTCTGTACAACTCGTTTTTTTAAAAATCGTTTTACAGGTGTATTTTTAAATGTCAGTAATCGCAGATAGATTGAAGGAACTGAGGCAAATCTTTGTAATGAAAAATGAGATTGCTAAAATTATTAAGCGAAGGTCATTAAAACTGACCACTCTGAAATTTGAGCAATTCTATTTTTTTTAAATTCACCAGGTTAATATAACTTAATGGAAAGAACATGTAATGAAATACTGATGGCAACAGCAGCAAAATTACAGATGACTTCATTGTAATTAAAATCAACATAAACAGCATCATCATTTGCAGGAGCATTTAAATATGTAATGAACTGTTCCATATGCAGCCTATTAGTATCGAACGTGTCGTAGAGATGTGAGAGGGAGGGGCTGGGGAACACAAGAGAAGTAGAAGACAGAATGTTGCCGGAGACTGCGTAGAGTAACATGTTAAAAGAAAATGTTACCCAAAGACTGTGAAAAGGAAATTACCTGTTTGTGTTTTGGAACTTGCGGCTATATAATCAATATATATATATATATATATATATATGTATATATATATATAAATAAATATATGTAAGTGAAATTTGAAATAAGCGAATTGTATTTGGAATTGTGATATGCGCATAATAATACCGCCGCACTGACGAGTTTTGAGTGCCAGAAAAACCCCTACGTTCTAAATCGTTCCCAGCAACTGCATTGATATGACACGCAGTATGATATTGCATGTAGTTCACAAGGTAGCAAGTTCGTAAAGTGCGAGGACATAAAGCAGCCCTTCATAAAATCAAAAGCAGATTCGCCAGCTAGCAATGAATATGGGGGTTAAGTGGGGGGGGGGGGTGTGCGGGGGTTTGAAAAGAATGTCAATTAAAACATATTTAAGCTGAAACCTATATTATTGATGCCGTGACTATTAGGTATTAATCTGTGTTAAATTAGACCTAATTCCGTTTGATAATTCAAGTTCAGATCTACGATTTGATTCATGAAAATATTGTTAAGTACACACTGTTAAGCGTTTAAAAACAGTCGAAGAATTAAAAAATGATAACAATCAGCAGAAATTGAAAACAAAGATTTGTACCCGTTGACACCCACCTTGGGTGGAGCCGATGGCTCGCCGAATGATTCACGTACACGGGCGCTTCTTTCTTTCAAACCTTCTAATCGTTCCTTTGCTTTACGCGCTACTACCTCTGCTTAAATATTTAACCTGCAGTCTAGGACCTAGTGAATAAACGCCCTATAAATTTTTAAGGGTGCTTCAGAATCGAGGTAGCCCGCATCCGCCATTTTTGTTTACCTCCCGACTCCAGTGAAGTTGTTACAACAAAGAAACTTCTTCGTCCCCTCTCTAAAAATCGATGATTCAAATATTGGGCAATAATTTATGGACAATTTTAGGGCTTTGTCTGTCTATTTAGAAATAAACATTTTGAAACAAACATCGCTTACATTTCTCTCCGGGGTTCGTCTGGTGCTTTGACCTTAGATGGAGTAGATTTCTCGTAAAGCATCTACACTTAAAGTTCGTCTGTCTGTTCCGAATGACCCGTGCTATGTAAAGTCAGCGCAGACATCATTCATTCCCTGACAGGAACAAAATGGAACTGGACGAAAATGTTTACTGTTTTGCCGATGGCCTTCTGTGGCTGTAAACTGGTTAGGAAAAGTTTTATTTAACGTGCGCCATAAAGATGCAGCGCAACCCCCGGTTTCGCTCGGCGTTGTCTAAGCTCTTTCTGTTAGGAGCCATATCTAGGGGAGCGTTATGAGGTAATACATACTTACTTTCAAACTTACTTTATCATCAATTTTATATTTTCAAACATGTGTCACCGGTGTTGATGTAAGTTGGACGCGTTAAGCACTTACGCCCATAACAAGACTGACAAAAAGGACTTTTGGAACGCCAGTTGCCTTAAATCATATCTGACAGAACGTCTTGTTTCGAGTGTCAAGCGGACACGGGTGACACATGGTTCACAAACGGTAACATTTCTTGATTAGACCCTGATGAACTGCCATTGGTGATTGATACTCACAAACTAACGCGGCCTTGTCAGACCGATGCCATTCCCACATGCCGTAAATGGCAGTAAAAGGCGCATCTTTCAGCGGCACGGCGTGAGTTTTTTCCACCTTTTTTTTTAGTTATTCTCGATCAGCTGGGTCTTAGATAAGTTACCATTGGTTTTCATTGAGGAGCAGAGAGAGAGAGAGAGGTGATATCTTAGCATGAAAGTATCTGTCAATCTCAATTTTCGAGATTTTCGAGACGTGAAAACCATATAGAGCTATATATGACTTCAGTTCAGGGACTACATTTCATTTCAATCCCAAACGTCACACTAACCTGGATTACGCCAACATGTGGTACCACGGACACTTGTTGGGGGAAATAGGCTATTAGTCTTTCCAAACTGCATTATAACCTGAATATCGTAAAATTATTTGCCTCCTTTTTTATGTGACCATGATACTGCCTCCATGCTTTTTTTCAAAGTCTATCAAAAAACAGCTGGTCTTGTTCAACAATATATTTAAATAATTACTAAAGTTTCCCACTGAAGGGATACGGGTAAGTAGGAAGTGCTTGCAGTGACCCCCGTAGAATAGCTAACCCAAGGTTACCGAGACACAAATTTGTAAATACCTCAGTCCTTGCTCAAATTAACAAACTCAATAGAAATGTCTTTTGAAAACCGGGTTCTATTTGTTTTTCTCATGTTACCATGTGATAGCAGTTTCCTTCGCGTATTTTTGTCGAATGTGGATTTTCGGACACGCAAAACACGACCAAGGCTCGTCATGTGACTCTTGTCAATTTTGTTTGAAGTTATTATGAAATTAAAGTGAACAGCGCGCGAATAAAATTGTGAAAAAGTCTCCGAATATTGATTTCTCTCACGTTCCGCTTTTCAGGAACAATCCGTATCTTATGTTGTACCTTCGATGGTGGTCTTGAAGCTTTATCTTGGTCCCACCGCCCATTTATAACTAAGAACCATCCATACACGTCATCGTATCCTTTTTGTGCAGGGTTTGCTTTATGAAAAAGAACACGCAATGTCGTAATTTAGTATTCAAATTACAATTAATGATCCGTATCGAATGTAAAGTTATGTTTGATTGCCTTGTGCATTTTGAGCCGTATACGTCAGGGAGCAGTATGTGGCATGGAGTTTCACACGTGCAGTTTATTATCTTACCAATTATCCAGTTAAATTTGAAACATATTGTGTGGTGTCGCCAGTGTCATCACAGACTTCTTTTTGTCCTTTTAGTTAATTTTCCGAAACATTTATAATATCAGCTGTTTACCCTTTTTATATCGTATTTGTCTTTCTTTTCTATCTAGACAACTTCACAGTTCCCACATTCGGTTTCTGCTCTATGGTTTGATTAGATGAAATGATTATTTTTCTCCAGTTTCACGTGCACCGACGATCGGATGACAATTAAGAAAAAGAAAATTGTTTCTTGGGTATTTGATGAAGTCCTAGATCGGTACATCCGGGCGTCCGCATCACTCTTGATCTATTCACCAGGTATTTTATCGACAACAATCACTCGGTTGATTTTTTATATCGCGTATTTATGAGTCTGTTTCATTGAAAGCGTGGAAATTGCCAAGATTATTGATATGGGGGCTGATTCTAGATGACCGCCAAAGCAAAATTTTCTTGTTCATTAATTTTCCACATTTCCTCCCGTGCCTTAAGGCGCCTTTCAAATTCTAGAGCAATTACAGCTCAAAGGATGGTGATTTCATTTCTTTTTTCACCATATCTGCAGATTAATAATAACGTTTTTGTGCAGAAAAGAACTCTTGCATCTTTTTAATGCTAAATTTGAAACATCTTGCTTTTGTGAAATTTCAATCCTTGTTTAGTCAGTGTTACAAAGACTGCAAAATATTATCATACTTTAACGATATCCGAAGAATGAAGATGTTTATATTTGCCATTAAGTGTACATAAAATGTGATAAACTGGTAGATGTTAGATATTTGTTAAAATAATATGAGTTTCTACCTTGTTTTCTCATTGATTTCACTGAAAGCAGACTCTCAGCGTAAAAAATCCACAATCTAATGTAATTGTAAATTTGATACCAAAGGATAGTAAATTTGATCTAGTTTGCAAGCAGTTGTTGACTTTTTGTACAGGTTTTACAGGCTATCATTTTCAACAGTATGATAAAAAGCAATTTCTTGATTAATCTATTTGGGTAGTTTTCCTTTGTTTGCCTAGCTTGAATAAGAGAAAATGTTTGTTGCAATTTCGAAAATGTTGAATTTTAGGAACAGTAAACAACATAGCCTCTGAACATCTCTCTCTCTCTCTCTCCCTCTCTCTGAAACGCAAAGTACAATTCATTTTATTTGACAAATGTTGCTGACATATTGACTTGATTTCACACCTGAACAGTAGTAGCTAGCGCCCAATATTGGCAATGAGTCATTTTCAATTGATAAGCTAACAGCCAAGTTGCCACCGTTCTCGCTTTGTGCGGAAATCTTTATTTTATTAAAATAGAAATCATTCAACGATATATTGTTTCATTAATTTACAATGAATGTTTGACATGGCACCCGCAATTCTTTGATAACAAAATCGACCGTTTGACTAGCTCTACCAGTGCTACTTTAATGGCAACATAATGTTAGGTGCTTGCAATGCTTTTTCTGTCCTATTATTTTAAGCCACTCTCGCTATTTGAACTTTCGTGATGACTAAATGTCACCCCAAGTGACCGTTGGCCAAGTGTCGTTTTGCAGATTTCTGCTCATTGACGTTTCTCCAAGTGTATCTCTTGGTCCTAAAAGGTGACTTCTACCTTCCGTGACGCGTTTATTTGCCCTCTCTCTCCCACACCCTTCTTTCACAAAACTACTTCAATAAAAGACCTACGATGAAAAAAAACCTTACTGGTCAATTACCTTTCAAAGTTAACGATTGTACCTTATTTAGCAAGCTGACCTAATAGAGACGCCTACGTTATTGGTGTCTCTGGCACACGATAAGGGTGCCAGGTTGTAATAATCCAATCAAGCGTACTATGTATTTTTCATAAATAAATGCTACAGTTCATTAAGGAAGTTCTTACGGTAAAAATTGCAATTACTGCTGATCAACAGAAAATGCTTTTAGAAACCAAATAAAACTTAAGTATCAGGGTGAAAGGTGATACGAAAGCGTGGACGGTAGCTATCCTAGGCAAGGTTTCGAAGCATTTACGTATACAAGTAACTATGAAAAATTTGTAGCCTATATTCGTACATCTCATTATATAAACTAGTGGAATGCGAGTTAAACACACACACAAAAAAAATGTTGCCGAATAATTATCAAAGCGCGGGGACATCTATGAGACATGTCTTATCGACACGGATGTGGGCGATTGAATAGTGGGAACAGGATTAAAGAGGGATTTAGCCATAGCTAACAACAGCAGTGGCAGCTAAACGTGAGCTTGGCACAGGGAATTCTATATATTTCTTTAAAATTATTTTACTATTAAAAGAACAGAAAGCAGTTCAGATAAAATCAAGACCGAAATGTTGTAAGAGAAAAAACGGGAAAAATATTTGCAAAATCGCATCAATATTTATATATATGTGGTTACGAGAAAGGTCTTGTAGACTTACGAGATGTTGAGTTGAGTTGATAGATTAAAATATTGGCTAACTGCACACTGCATTCTTACCAAGACAAATTTGAAAAAAATAAGAACAATATTAGATCTAAATGTGTCGCTGAAAGAAATCGTCTTCAGTTTCATTAAGGGTATAATGTTATGCTGGAACGTTAAAAAATATAAATTGACAGAATTTTAATTTTAGCTCAATCAGCCAATCAGTTATCAAACAAACGATACTACATTTCTTATCCATCTATCAATCATTTTATATTCAAAATGTCAATCATTAAAAACAATATTTATCGGTGTCAGAAAGTTTTGACCTCTGTCTTAGATGGCGGTGCTAGGTCAAAAGCGCCCAAAACTAAATAAATGCCCATAAAAGAAACACGAAATATATTGCTTATTTTGTAAATAAATTCGTCAAAATGTGAATAAAAATGTGGACTGGATATTGGCAAGAGGACCACGTGGGCGCGCCTTAGAACACAGAGCTTCTGTTGGCAGATATGCTTATAGAAGTTCAAGTCGTATCCTGTTGAATAAATGGCCTGTCTTGTAACAAGCGTTAAAATATTTTTTGTTAACAAAAGAAATGTGAAAATTTCCCACAAAATTTAATGCATTAATTTAGTATTATTTTTTTCATGTCAGAGATTTATGACAACCAGAAGCTGGAAAAATGCCCTCCCTGTCACGGTATAAGTGTAACTGGGAAATGAAGGATATCCTGTAGGCGACGCATGTGAAACATAAACAATTAAACGGTGGTAGTTTAATCTAAGAAAATAAAACAGATTTCTAACGAAACAGTAATCGTGTCCCGAAACAGTAATTGTGTCCCGTATTGATCATTTTGCCCTCAAACTTTTCCATTTTTTAATATATTTATGGTTTTATTTTATTTTCAGTTTATCTTTTATAATTCTTTTTCATTATTTTTTCACTTCTCTCATTCATACATGTAGCTGTAATATGTTACTTTAATTTTCACTGCAAATGGACAGCGCATTTAATGACTATATACATACATGTACATTTTAGAAAACACATCTTTTCATTGATACCCGTTTCGTGTGGTCTGTCTTTTCGATAGGTTTGCTGTCTAGTTTTACGTTTGACTTCCCAGGTAAACAGAGGGCGCTTGTCAGAATTGGCAGGTATACCCAGTCAGTTTTGAGTTATTCATTGAACCGTTTTATGCTGGTTTGATTTATGACTAAAATAATTGTCAACTTCACCCTGTAGCTATTACTCTCATGCCAAGTCTGGATTCAAATGATTCCGCTGGAAAATCAAACGTGGTACAATTTAAATATATAAGGGTACTATATTTTTCTTGAAAATAAATCTGCAAAGCTCTTTTTAAGTCAAATCATATAAGTTCTTGTGTGTCTTTAAAAGTTTTTGCTTTGATATGTTTTTCCATGCGTGAAACAAAAAAAATCAGTCTGTTTCTTACATTCAAATGATTATGTATACCTGTATAATCACTGGTGTTTAACGCTTTTGAAATAGTTTCTGTTTTTCTGATAATTATATACTTAGACTTAAGACCAAAAAGATGGAACTTTCGATGGAGCCAGGACCCGTGCCCGCTACTCCTAAGTTAGTAGGCCACCCAGGTTTTTTTGTTGTTTGAAAGATAAAGGCCACCTCTCGAACACAAACCAGTGCAACGTTAAGGTAAAAGGAGAGCTGAATAGCAGCACAGATATTTGTCAACCTTTAGTAAACCGAGTAAAGTCTAGCCTAGGGCAACGTTACCGGTGAAATATTTACTACCAGTTTGAAGTATATCTCAATACACGGCGGCCCATGGCGCGTTTTGTAGCAGATCCTAATATGTGTATTAAAACAGTTCATGTCATGACAAAGGTCACGGTTAATCAAAAAGAAAATTAATTTCTGAGCTTTTGATCTACAGATCAGATGGTTTTGGGGGGACGAACGGTGAGTTATGCCAAAAACATTTCTCTTCGAAAACATAAAAGTTAATTGGAAGGCGCAGAGACGTCCAAGGCAATCGGTGCAATTCACTTCACTGTTCACTGAAAACAATCTGTCAAACACCTCGTTCAAACGCCTGGTGGCAGACGTTCTGATGGATGAGGGGAGAGGTACTTGGACCGTAGCATCATCTATTTCACTTGAAAGTGTGTAGAAACGAGGTGACAAGCCGATAACAACCTCCTCACCTCCGACATTACTCATTTTGATGTCATCCTTGGTTTTAGAAAACTAACGTTACGTGCCTAGATTCTAAATGATATCTTGTAATGAAATGGCATTTTCAATATATACACCTGATGTGTGGAAAATGGCAGTTTTCATGGATAAAATTTAAGGCATTCCTCCTATGCTTTTTGAAGTAATGAAGCGGCGCAATAGTTTAAACCTACACCACATTAAAAATGGGTTCAATCTGAAACTCGAAAGCACACTGTTTTAAACCCATACCGTGAGTGATATTTAACAATCCCGTTGGTTATAAGTAGAGTTTTCTATTCACAAAAAATGAGCTTTTTTTACGAAAGCACTCATCGAGTGAGTACACATTTTTCTGCGCGATTACAGAAATAATATTCCAGGCCAATACAAGAGAGAGGGCACCCAATTTTTCCCCTTCTAAAACGTGGTCGTCTGCGATATAAAGGTGAAGCTCGCCACAATTTCCCAGGCTAGGGGCCCTGGCTCCTGGGCAGATTTCCCCAATTAGTTTTCAGATTTTTATCAAAGGCTTTTACGACACTTCACCTCATTGTACCTGGTTAGGATTCATCTCTACCCAAGTGAACGCAATCTTTTCTTTAACATGCCTTAATACACAATTCTATTCGGACTGCTTTTGACGCATTACTATACAGAGAGGTGATAAGAAGAAAGATACACGTTTACGGACAATTTGTTCTCTTTGAAGGGACAATTAGGAGAGAGCATTAGTTTAAGAGCGTTTAGATACCTAACGTTATATCAGCTATAATAATTTTTTTAAAAGGTGAGATTATTTGGAAAACTTTTTTTCTCTCTTCTGGGTATGAATTAATCTGTTTCTCATGGACGTTCCAGTTTTCATGTGGCAATCTATCAACACCTTTGCGGTTGCCCTGTCTGCCATTTACCTTAGTTTGCACTTTATATGATCCACCAAGTACGACCCCCGCCCTGATGCACAAGAAAATTATTCTGTTCCAACACGATTGTGAACTTTTCAGTACATTGACCATATCTTCATTATGAGATCGGCTTCACCATAATTTGAAGACATTCTTTCTACTTGATTCGTTTCCTTTTATGCGATTTACGTCTGGACTCAAATACTATTTTCCCCGTCTAGGCTTGAAGCGAAAATTGAAAGACCTCTTTATATTTACTTTCAGAGTGTTTATCAAGGGAAGTTGGCCTTGTCTTGAAAAAAAGATAAACTTACTTGTGTGTTTTGTCGGCCATGATGAAACTGCTGCAGACGACAATAAGGAAAGCATGATAGGTTGGCAGGTAAGCTCACCGCAATTTTCTTCAAAATTAACCTTTTCACGGACAATGTAATCTCAACAATGGTTTAAATGGATAGCTTAACGAATGTTAAATTGCTTGCAAGCCCTTTATTAATTTAAATTGGGTTTGATTGAGGTGACCGAATCACCTGAAGATATGTATAATATTTACAAGTGGTTTTGTAAAGTTACCATTATATAGGTGGGACTGTCATCTTTACAAAAAACGAACCGTACAAGATGAAGTTTGCAAAAATAATAATAATAATAATAATAATAAATAATAAATAAATAAATAAATATAATAAAATAAAATAAAAAATAAAAATAAACAAAAATAAATAAATAAATAAAATAGATAAATAAAAATAAATGAAAAAAAAAAGCTATCATTTAGTGATATAGCTGAAAACGTATAAAAGTTCAGACCTTCCGTCTATTTATGGTTATAGGAACCATTGGTTCATTTTTTCAACGGATGAAAATATTTGATACACATAAAAACAAACATCTTTCGTCGATGAATGATGATTTATAAACTTTTAAAATTGTAGCTAAATGATGAATTCCATTTTATTACTTTTAATCCTAAGATAAAGATGATACACGGCCCTCCTGTCTGCTGATGATGACAGAGACGAACCCTTTGTGAAGATTTATGATTGAAAAAAAAAATCAATCACTAATGTGAATTTCTTACATTGAAAAATTGGTTCTGATAAACACGAACAAAGGAAGGTAAATGTTATGTAATTACAAAACAAAAGAAAAAAATGCATTATATGAAGGATTTTTACAAACAATAGACAAACAAAATTGTACACGAAGTGCCTGTGGTGATAACATTAGTCATGGCAGCTTTACGGACAAATCAGTGCAGATTTTGAAATAATTGGTACAAACTATAGCATGCAGTGGAAGGAGGCGAGCCAACTAGTCGGGTATGTTATTGATAAAATCCTTAACAATCGCATATATGCATTGTAACACGCTAGTACATCATTTCCCAAAACGCCCTTGATGTATCGCACGTTTTGAAAAATAAATACTACAATCAGGGGTGAAATTTAACCCATAGTGGGTTGAATAGAAAAACGGTCCCCCCTGTCAACTTTCCGAATGCATCGGTCAGGCACAGATGTATACTAGATAGTGTTACCATCGATATAATGTGCCGGAGAACAATACTGGGCATAAGGCGTACCGTTGTAAGGGACAAGAAAAGAACAAAGATTCACATATTTCAAAGTTGACACCTTTTTAACAAAAAGAAGAAAATAGAAAAAAAGACTCAGAATTAATGAGATTTGGCAACGCGGTGTTCTTTTCTACATCGAATTTGCGCAGAACGCTTGTTAAAGGTTTTAAGCTTTGATCTCCTATAGCTTTGATAATCACGGGTCTTGTCCGGAGTTACAAACAGACCAATGCTACAGAACACAGAGCACACGAAATAATTTTTGCTCTGTCGCCTTTGAAGAATCAACGTTGCGGAAGGAAACGCCTGGGCTCGGATCGTAATTTTCAATCATAAACTTTTCAACACACCTGCTTCGGCTTTGATTATAAACTTAATTATCCAGAACCCTCCATCCAACCTCTTCTAATCGGACTCATTTTGGCCTCCTACCACATAGACAGCCGGTTTATGATTCTTACCAAATGGAAGCTGAATTGAAATTATTTCTCGCTCAAAGACACCGACTGCGAAGAAGAAAGATAATAAGTTCTATTATTTGCTAGAGCCAATTAGGTAAAAAAATAATCCTCGTCGGCAGACACGCAAGGTGTGCTTGGTGTAGCATTTCTTTTTAATCTACAGTTGTTAATTTTTATCATTTTCTGTCTGTCAGTTTATTTGCATTTTCGTCTTCTTTTCGAACACAAAGTCCAGGTCTAGTGGAACGACAGCGGGTCTCATAACCGGCCTTTGTCATCAAATTGATCGTGTGAAAAGTACCACCGTTCACGCAATGATCACCGTCCCAGTTCTTGTTGTGCATGGTGCCCCCTTCATTGCAATTAACTACCTAAATAGTACCTGATTTTTTGTTTCATAATACATGATTAGGATGGAAAAGCAATATAGAATTTATTTTGGCCACTTATAATAGACGACCCTCAATACAAAAACTTACATTTCGCATCAAGTGATTGCTTATTTTGTAATAAAAAAGGAAAAGAATATTGTCTGTAACACGAATGAAGGGCAATGATATTTCACTGTTTACTGTTCGATGTTCCGGGTCGTTTAGAGCATACGCTTCAATAATAAAAAGGAAAAAGACTGTTGTTAAATATTCAGCCACTCGACGTTTTGTAAAAAAAACAGATTTACATTAATAAGTTATTAATACTCTTAACCCGGAACGCACTCTCGCCATTACCACGAGCTAATTAGGGCAGTCGAGATGAAATAACCGGGTGCAAAATGTAGAGCCAATTACCCATATTTTACTGACCCATTTATGTGAATAAAAACACGGGTATGTGATCTGTATGTTTTTGTTATCGCAACCGAAATTGTGGGCGCACTGAAGGAGACCTTGGTTTAAACGTAGTAAAGTCATTTGAATAAAAACAGGAGGAAACTTAGATTGGAAAAGGCCGAATCTATGCATTTAGTTTAAATTTGTTTTTATGGGAAGGCAATTTAAAGAAAAAAAGAAACAATGGCATATTTTGAAGGAGACTATATAATAGAGAAAACCGACTACTCCTTCAAGATAAGCAAAACGCTTTGTTTTTCCGCTTTCTCATTCTCTTCTTTAAACATTGGATTATATTTATCTTATCATTTCTGTAGTAGAATAGGCCTCACACGGTTTAACGCAATGTCATGCCGCTTTTTCGGTATAGAAATACTAGAATTTTCGCAGAAGAACACGCAAATCCGATTAAAACTCTGTTCCCTTTTCCAGCTAATGATAGTCAGCCAGCCTATCGTCCTTGAAAAAATATACGCACAAAAAGAAAAAAGAAAAAGCCCTTTTTTTCCAAGGGACGTAACATTTTCCGCTATTTTTTCTGTATCTGGAGGTCATACAAGGTTTACCAGTAATCAAACATGCCCAGTTGTGAGTAGAACGCCATTTTTCTTGCTTGTTTTTCATTTTTTATAGAGCAAAACAGGCTGCCTGCTCCAATATAAGAAACAAAATCAACATACCACCTAATTTCAATGAGATCCAGCAGTTTCAATGAATCATGAGCGATAAGCAAGGGCAAAACCAGAGAAACTACCGAGATCGGAATGTTTTTCTCGGCCTTGAGGAATACAGCTGCAAATTTATCACAGCACAAATATCTACACTGATTCAAGCTGTGTTTTACTGAGCTAGAGTTTCGTTGTGTTCGCATTATTCAGTGCAGATGGTAAAGGGGGAAAATCGCTGTTCATCAATCCAGCAACATTATTATGGTATATATCTTTTAGTCATACACAAATAAGTTTCTGTGATACATAAGGTTTGTTTGCCAAAAGCTGAAAACATTTTTTACATATTTTACATGAAGCACAAGCGGGACAATGTGTAGGTGTTGCGTGAGGCGGGTAACACTATACAACAAGTATGAGTCGACCCAGTGACAAACCCTTTGATTAAAGTTCCAGGCCAAGTATTTGCCCTGTGATACTTTTAAAGATTCCTATAACCCCTGTGATTATTAGTTCAGAATAATTTGCGTAAGACGAGAGAAGAGTTGGGCATAACTGCACAGGGGGCATTATAAACGCCGACAGCTAGTAGCGCTAAATTAGGAGTACAAATAGAACATTTTTCTAGAAGAGGATTGTATAAACATCACGTAATCGTGCGTTTGGTTCTTTGACCCGAGGCTGCGCAATGGGTGATAGCCTGTTGCTTCTGTGCTTTTGTTCTTTGATAATGGCTTGTTTTCTGTGGACGTTTTTAATACCTACAAGCATCAACTGAGAGGAACCTCCAAATATTAAAACTCTGTTTGGGAATTACCGTCAAGTTGGATATGGAAAAGTGCTACAATGGACTTTTGAATATTATCTCTATTTATCTAAATTGTGAGTTTAAGAAAGAAATAGAAATGAAACAATCCATACTCATTGATAAGTGACGGTTTTGCTGCTACCAAAGAAAAAAATCACATTGAAAAGAAAAAGAGAATTAAAAAGAATAGTAAAAAAAGCCAAATATTTCAAGACAGTTTAACGTACTAATCTTGCACTTAATTAATTGTTGCTCACGGTGAAAAGTTACCAGCAAACTATGGCATTATCCTCTGGAATTTCCACCCAATCAAGTGAAACAAATCTTTCTTGAAGGTATAAAAATGATCAATGCCTCTTCCGGCACTCTTCGATCGTCCCTGTGATTTTTATTTCGAGATTATTTGTTCGAGCCAATTAATATCGACCACTGCATCTCCGGTGAGTGAACACAGTTATAGCTAATTTTACGTGTAAACGTGTAAGGGAGAAAACAAACAAAAACATGGAAAATATACCAGAAATATTCCCCAAACATATGCCACAACACAACGCCTTAATTGTTTTGCAAACACATTCAAAATGCATGCGTATTTTTCTCTCATTTTGAAAGAAAATCGAATATCATAGACTTTGTAGAGTGTCGAATTTTATTTCAACAAACATTTGCTCAGGTTAATAGTATCCAGTGTGTACAGGTTGTACCCCATCATTTTGAACGTTTTGGTTCAATGAGCAGGGGAAGGGCGGGCAAAAGAGGTGACCACTTAACACTCAATGTTCAGCACCATTGCCATAGACATCTCATTAGATTGTGTAAACTTCCCTGCGAGGTGTCATTAAGGGTATCTGGGCGCAAAAAAGGCGACCCAGTCACAAAACAGGATGTCGCAACGGTTGCTCCGTAACTATTGCCCTCTGGCCTGCTCAATCAAAGTTTGCTTAGGAGTCAATCGTTTGTGAAGCTATTCGCCCTATGCCTACAGTAAACTTTGCCTCATAGTTGAGGTTTTTTGTTGGAAATGGAGACCTTTTGT